ATTTGTTTCTATCCTTGTCCTATATTTTAACATTCATTCAGGTCTCTTTTAACTACACTTTGTTCTAAGTCTTCGTCTGGGATTTTATCATTTGGCCTTGGTTAAAGACATACTTTTTTTGTTGCCTAATTTCACTGTTGCATTTTGCCGGACTGTTGATAGTGTCACAGCGTGGTCCGTTTATAACAATTAACCTTTGACTGTTTCATTGGAAATGTTGCTGGAATTCTTGCAGATAGATATCTGATCTCATCTTATTGAAAATATTTTTATTGATTCTCAGTTATCGAACACACTCACTACGAGTAAACAACACTAAGTGAATTTTATCTTCACTTCATTGCACAAGGAAGTAGCTATCAGGACTCAGTAGCTAAATGGATAACGCGATAGAGTTAAAAGCTCAAGATACTGGATTTGAGTCTCACAGTGAACATGAAGTTTGAGATTTGGGTACATCCGGTTAACGAATCCCAAATAGGGCGAAAAGCGCGTCCTGGATTCCACTGCTAGCCACTATCCATCTTTGCTTATACGTTTTGTTGTTTGGCACGTTAGTTTGTTCTAGCGGAACCTCTGACTGAATATCTCGGACTATGCCGTTTGAGGTATTTTCTAACTTTATATATGTTTTCGTTCTTAAATTAGATGCGCGTAAACTGAACAAAGGGTTTGTGTTTTATTACATTATAAAGCGAGCCACTCAAAAGCGCTTCGAATGCTATAAAGAAGAACGTAGTCTGACCTAATAGAAGAGACTTTGAACCGTTAGTTCTGAATTCCAAAGGAATATTGATATTTCTGTCGTTACATTGGTTCTGAAGTCTGGAAAAAGTGGTTGGTACGCGGAGCTGCAGAATTGTCGTTTTCATTGCTAGGATTACGAAAACCGCACAGTTAGAATACATATGTGGCATGTCGAAAATATACTGTTTGACGAAATATGTTTGGCTGTTTGGAAAAGATTGGTCCAGCCAGGTACCGATCTTTTTCATCTCTATGGCTTTTGTGAGATTGTTTCAGGAGTATTTAAAACGCACACATTGCCGGTAGTATTCATAGTAATTTTTTTCATTTCTGACAGGCGAGTTGCTTTACAGAAAGAAGTGCTTTAGGAAATCAATATTTCTTCCAGCAGATTTTAAGTCCTAGAGTGTATCGAGTCCATCATTTGTCGTGAGATTGTGTAAAATTTTTAAAACGTGTCACAAGGAATGGGACCCTTTTACAACTTGTTCTTTTTGAAACTAAGTTTGGTTTTCTCATCCTGATATACACTTTTATTTTACTGAACAGTTGGTTAGTTATAATTTTCCATGAATTCAACTATGTGAAATATTTTTTAAACATTGGCTTTCGTTATTCCATTGAATTTTCACCAACTTCAGTTAATGGGGTTGAAAATGTTACCAGGGTAAATGACACGTATGTCTTCGCTATATGCATGTTTTAGTTTCTTATTGATAGTGCATTTGTTATACCTAGTGCCTAATTATTTGAGTGGTTGAACGACCTTGTATGAAATAAAGATCTTGGCAATCACAGTTACCGAATAAGCGTAATATATGTTACTACTGTAAGTGGATAAAACAGCAACATAGTCAAACCAAAGTCAAATGAACCTAGGGTCTGAATGAAATATTTATTGAGACAATTTTTCTGTATGTCTCACATTTTAGAAATATAAACTATTGAAGAATCGTTACTAAATAATTTGTCATTATCAGCATATAAAAATTTCGAAAAATACATGTTCATACTTTTCATGCATCGGGATTTCTGAAACTGAGAATTAAGCCCTATGGAAAGTATAAAAACGTTGAAAATTACGTTAAATGAAAACAACTAAAACAAGATAGGTTTGGTGGATCGTGATCTGACTCCGATTTGATTGTACAAATGATTGTTAATGAAATATATATGTCGCCTGTCATCGTATATGATCATCGATTTAAATCGTGTTAGTCAACAACGGAATTAAATAAGTCGAATAACGAGAATGGACTTTTGGATATATATATTGTATATGAAGCGAATGAAATAGAACGAAACGAAACGACGCACAGTGGAGATGGCGGGTAAGCCAACTTTATTTAGACAAGCGTTAATCAATGTTTACAGTCATACAAAAATAAGTTACAGACATGTGATGAATAAGATGACGAATGTGCACACACATGCTCATATAAAAACAGTCAGGGTTGATAAGTGAATAAATGACAAGGCCAAAATGTGACTAAAGTAAAATGAATAGACTGGCTTGTCAGAATGCTAGAATAGAGTATATGGGCTTAACATAGTAACCGAAACTACAGGGGAACATGTACTATGAAAGTAGGCATTGAGAAAAGGAGTTGACTTTAATTATGTTAATTGATGAATCGGTTTCTAAACCAAATTATTTCTTTCTCTATACGGCTGTAAGACCCATTTTGAAGGTTTTGTGTGTGAAAATCCCTTCATGTATGCACTTGTAATTTATTCCTATTGATTGATTCAGATTTACACTCTGTTATGTTTTTTATTCAATTTGAGATGATAATATTTATATTTTGTTGTAGTTTTTATTTTCCTTACACTTTCACTACATTTCCGTGTATTTGCCTGAACTGCATTTATGGTCACTTAGTTGATACAACTACACCAATTTGTTCCCTCTTTGGTCGTATTCCTTGCATTGACTGAAATTGTGCATTTCTGACTGTGAATTGAAGCACTCTTCCAGAATTTGAAGTACTCTGTGTCATAGCGCAACCAAATATTGTCTCTCGAAGGAATCTGTACGTGATCTTTTCGTGCCTTAAAGTAACCCTCGTGCTATTGATAGAAGAAACCAGACAAGTAGTGAATAGGTCTTTATTTCGATCTTAGCGCGGTCACAGTGGAGCGTGGGATTATCTGTTCAGACAAACAAAGGCTCTCAACATTCAATACGAGATAATAGGGAATATAACGCTTATAAAAAATAAGGAAGTGAATGAATACTTGAACAATACTGTTTTGGCATATGCTTGGTTGTTTGGGGTCGACTCTTAACCAACCAACCTAAGCTGTTACAATCCGTTCAAAGAGGATAGAATAACATTTATTTGTTGCGATCGGTAATTCTCTTACATCCTTTATCAACTAATTTATTTTTCGTAAAATGAAAAAAGACATTCGTTTGTTAAGTCTGGGGCTGAAAAACCGTTAATTATGTTTATGAACACTAAAATAACTTCATTTAATCTGGATAATATAATAATAATGATGAACGAGAGGCCTGGGCTAGTCACTGATACGAAGGAAAATCGGTTAATGATATATAGACTACCCATAGACTCACGCGATTATTTCGTTTTTATAGCCGGTGAAACGTGGCGGAGTCCTAATCAAGTCATCCAGCAGGCTAGTCACTGCATGTTGAACAGTTCATCAGTCCTCGTCTAAGTCAAGGACAACCAACATATATCAATTAATCGTAGCCATGGACTGGCTCATGAAGTGGTGGTTTCAGTATCTACTCTGTGCTCAATCTTATTTACATATTTCTGTAATAACGTTCTTTGTGTTCTATTATCTTCAAAGCAGCCATAGCATCTTAATATGTTCAAGGGATAATACACGTTGGGTGTTGACAACGAGGTGTGACTTCGACGTTAGCTGTTGGTCACACTATTCCCGTCTAACTCTAGTTGGCTCCCAATCATTCTATATAGATCATCAACGTTGATGATCTACATGTGGATTGCGACGAACATGGGAGGCATTCGGTGTTGTACAAAAGGTCGGCAGAGAAGCGTGTCATCAAAAGTCAGACGAGTATTTAGGCGCAAAGTAGACAATTCAGTGACATTCCAAATATAGGGCGACAACATGTGGTAATTCCTCTTTATTCCCCAGTGACAGATGGGAAAGCAGACATTCTGGAGCGTCACCTTATTATTTCCCTTTTAGTTTCTAACGAAATTTAATTTTTGTTTCCGTTTTATTGATTGTTTAGGAGTTGACGTTTAAGTGTGGCAATAAAAATTTGAGGATTTTTTATTAATGAAGAAAGGTCATTCAGTTTTCATTTCTTTTGCACATTATGTAGCGGACTAGATTACTAATGCTGTTATGAGTATTATTGGCCAACCTCTTTCAATCTCACATTTTTGACACTCCTGTTTCTCTATTATGCTTAGATCTTTGCGTGCTTAAAGTGTTTGTGCAAACTTTCAACAACCTTATTCCATTATTTTTCTTAATTATCGTCAAATTAACTGTTGAATTCCTTCGATGAAGACTAATTGAACTACCTACATTTCATGATATCAAAGATTTGGGACCGTTACGTGATGTTAAGAAGTAACTGAAAAAAGATCAGTGAGTACATAGAAGGTTTCAATGGTTAAGAGCACGAGTCAGTTGAAGCTAGACCATCATGGAAAACCTGGAAGCACTGGACGGCCGTTTCGTCCTATTGTGGGACTCCTCAGCAGTGCGCATCCACGACCCCTCCCCCTGTGAGATTTGAACCCAAGACCTACTGATTTCACGCGCGAGCTCTTAACCAGTAGACCGCTGATCCAGAATCCATTGGTGTTAATGTCTAACTTCTATTAATCCACGAAATTGAACGACATATCCACTATCGTCTTCAGTGAGTTACTATCTCACAACAGACCTGGTTGAACTCCACTGGTCACTACTACTCACTAGAACTCCAGGGTATACCTCATGATGCCAGTCACTAGTGAGCATATGTTGAATAATATTAGATGGGTTTTGTGGATGTTATAGTAATTTCAATCTCGCAAGGGGCGGGGTCGTGAATGAGCATTACTGAGGAGTCCCACAATAAGACGAAACGGCCGTCCAGTGCTTCCAGGTTTTCCATGATGGTCTAGCTTCAACTGACTCATGATCTTAATCATTGAAATTACTTAGAAGGTTGCTACAAGTATATTGAATATTGGATGACCTTTCGTCCTAAGCACCATAACAACAGTTGACAACTTTTCAAAACTCCTCCCTCAATGTCTTCAGTTGAATCCCTTATCCGGACCTTTCCCGATAACTTATCGTCACAAAGGATACTGGATAAAAAATGTGAGAAAAAAGGAAGCATTGTGGGAGGTGTTTTACTGAGAAACCGTAATGAAGATATACCTGTACGTTTATAGTTATTTTTGTAAACTTTGTTCTTAAAGCTCACACCATCACTGTTTGCCTACAAAATGTCTTTGACTTCAGAAGAATTGTATAAGCAATTATTTTACAGTCATATTCCTGAGACGTTGGCTCTGCATGACATGTCTTTGATTGGGGATCAAAAGGTGCCCTTATGTGTTTATGTAGATTACTTTAGACGACATCATTTCCTGTCAATCGTCCATTTTTTCAACCATTTCCTTCTGAGCTTATTTTTCAACGGTATGAACCTGGAAAATCTTATGAGTTGCCGTTAGTACTTCGTAATATGGATAAGGTTTGTTATAATACAATAGTAAACTGTTTTCCAGGTTTCAAGAACAGCTCATTTGATTCAAAATGATACTCCATACTTTAAAATAAAATGTTTGAGTACACAAGGGTCTAAAGTGGCAGCTGGTTTGTCACTTTCTTTCACAATTGTCTTCACTCCTGATGCTAACCAGGATTATCGACACGACCTTATGTGTGTGACTGATAGAGAACTGTTCTCCGTTCCTGTATTTTGCATTGGCCCAAGAGCGGTTCTAGAACTGCCTGATGATATCTGTTTTGATGAGGTTCCAGTGAAAGTAATGAGTAAAAAGTTAATAGGCGTGAGGAACATTGGGAACTGCCAGGCCTCTGTAAAGTTTGATACCATGAAGTAAGTTGTATTTATTTTTGACTTTAGGCCGTTCTTTGTTGAACCCATATCTTTGAAAATTGAATCTGGTGCACTAGAAGAGATAAAGGTTTCATTCATTCCTGAAAACACAGGAGAGGTCTCGAAGAGTATGTTCATCATTTATGATACTGGTAAATCAGTTTATTTACATTTACTTAACAATTTTACAAGGAGAAAGACTTCAGATTAATCTTCACGGTCAGGGACGAGAATCGTTGGTTTATCTTAGAGATAACAAAGTGTCAGTGAACGGAACATTCATTGGATTACATTCGCAAACAAAAGCTTTCATCGTAAACGACTCATCTGATGTTATCAGTTTTAAGTGGAGTCCTTTTGAAAATAGCGAAGAAGAGTCACTTGTGAATGACTTATTAGTTGGAACGTTGAATAACGCTTGTGATTTTAAATCTTTACTAAAGCAAAAGTTGATTACGTGGGTCAGGAAATTTTCTGATCAACAAATAGTAAGTTCTCTTCAAACATATCGTAGTCATAATCTTATTTGTTTTCGTTATACTAGAATCCTACTGTATATTTTACTGGGCATTTGCTAGAATTTATAGTTTTATTTGTGTAATCCAGTCAGAAAGCCTATCTGTACTTACTGTTTCTCATAATTTGACTTCCTATCTCAGGATTTTAAAAATATCCTAAAAGCTTCTTGCATCTGTCTTTTTTCAACTAGTACTAAATAGGTTTCTTACAAAAGCATCAACCTCAAGGATAAGCAAAATGCTAAATTTAGGAACTGTGACTAACACTAACTGGTTAGTTACCAAGTAAATAAAAGTTCAAAACAATTCCTGACAGTTGTTAAACATTACCTACCATACACTATGCATGAAAATACAAATGAAAAGTAAGTATATCACGCAAAAGTGGTTTACGTTCCGTTGGCTCACTGTAAGGAATGAATAATCAGACAACTTAGCAGTATTACGGACATCTGGTCATAAGCCTGACATAATAAAATTTAATCCACAGATTTGATCACAAACTGATCGTTTAAGTGTTTATGTCAGCTATTTTGGATTAAAGTATCTAAAAAAAGTATTTACGTAGTAGCTACTACCAGAGCTTGCAGTATCAGTATGCCTATCGGCTAAATGCCTAGTCGTAATATTACTGTTCAACCCAGTGATATTTACATCAGATTTAATACAACTAGTGTCACTGAATGTCTGCTCAGCCTACACATTGATTGCTCGTGATAGGTGGAAGTAATACCAACCAGTAGAAATATCTAATAAGTGCTCTGGTAGTCATCAGTAGGTGAGACATTCGTCCGCCAAACAAAGAATGATCTTACTACGTAACACTGTGCTCCATTCTGCTAAGTGTCTATGAAAAGTGGCCCTTATAAATAGAGGATATTCGTGCGTCACTGGCATTCAAACGCATATCTCTTTGAGGCACTGTTCCTACATTTCGAAACCGTTGAGTGAGTGTTGCTTACATGAGGCTCATGACATCAGTTAAGGATAGCAAGTTGATTGACGAGGTAGTGAATCTTTGCCGACAGAGATGGTTGGGGCATGCATTACATATTGTTATTCACTGACTACTTCGACGTGCATTGATGACTGATACAGAGATAGACTGGAATAAAGATAAGGGCGGTAAAACTAAAGCGTAGTATTGGTGTAAAAGTACCATTAAAGATAAACCTCATACCTTAAACTACTATAATTCATTCGATTTACTCATCATTGTTCATGACATGATACTTTTAAACGGCTTCAAGGTGCCTGGTTTTGGCATGGGAATTGCTCAAAAAAAGTATTCGAAGAAGTACTTACGCCTGTCGCTCCTCGTGAAGGAGCGTTGGCGCCAACACTCTCTATTTAACCCTGTTCTGGGCAAACCTTCCCAGCTCTTTCCAGTTGTTATTCATCCTTTTCATATCTGCTTCTATTTCCTGACGTAATGTGTTCTTTGGCCTTCCTCTTTTTCACTTCCCTTCAGGATTCCAAGTCAGGGTTTGCCTCGTGATGCAGTTTGATGATTTGCGTAATGTATGTCCTATCCATTTCCATCGTCTTTTCCTAATTTCTTCATCAGCTGGCAGCTGGTTTGTTCTCCCCCACAAAAGGCTGTTGCTAATGGTATCCGGCCAATGGATGTTGAGTATCTTGCGTAGACAACCATGTATAAATACTTGTACCTTCTTGATGATGGTTGTGGTAGTTCTGGAAGTTTCAGCTCTATACAGTAGAACTGTCTTGACGTTTGTATTGAAAATTCCGACTTTGATATTACTTGACAAACAGAAACATATAATAAAAAATTAAGCATCTTTTTTTCTGAACTTTCTTTTTCCCTGAAATAATTTTAATATATTTTTGTTTTTATTCTTAAAAAAATAATATTTAATCTAATAAAGCCATATCCAACAAATATTCAAACAATGGAATCTTCTCCATTCAATATTGAACCAATTGAAGGACGTATTCAACCATATACAACATATGAATTTATTGTACATTTTAATCCAGAAAAAGCTAATTTATATGAAGATCTATTTTATTGTGATGTTGATGGTGTACAAAAACGTTTAATTCTATCAATTCATGGTGAAGGTTTAGGACCGAAAATTAAATTCTCATATAAATATTTAAATATGGGAAAGATATTTATTGGTTCAAAGCATAAATATGAATTGGTTATATCTAATACTGGATTAATTGAAACAATGTTTTCAATTCATTGTAAAAATAAAACTGAAGGAGATGAGAATAGTCAAAATATAACTAAATTTGGTAAATATTTTCATCTTATACCTGATGAAGGATTAATTTGTCCTGGTGGTTATCAAGTAATACAAATTGAATTTAATTGTAATGATTTACTTGGAGAATTTAATGAAATATTTCAATTTGCTTTCGATGGATCATCTAATTTGAAGAGATTACATTTAGGTAAGAAAATGGTATTGATATTGATCCTGTTGTTGATATTAAGGGTTGAGATTGATAAGTTTCTTTAGGCATGTGTATATTTTGAGATGGTTGTATTGATGCTTATGTCAAGCCAAGCATCTCTAAGTGAAGAATTCTTTCTCATTCTATAAGCTAGTGGCTATTTGGAATCGGTAGCTCAGTGGGTAACGAGTTATTGGTTTGAAATTAAAGATAATGGGTTCGCATCAGGACTGAAATATCACCATTGAGATTCTGGTACATCCAGGTGACTATTTCCAAATAAAACGAAACCTACATCCTAGATTTCACTGCTAGTCACTATTTAATTTTCTTTATAGAGGTGTCATTATCAAGCACAAGAAGAACTATAAAAAAATCACTACTATTTCAATTGGATTGGCTAATCAAACGGCTTTTATAAAAGAATTTAATCTATGTGGTTTCATTAGTATCCGTAAATAATCCAGCTTAGTAAGCATAGCCTAAATATGGGATAATCTTTGTGAAATATATAAGGATAACGTTCACTAATTTTTAATGTTTCCGCATAATTAATGACCATGAAGTATTTAGGCCTATAAATAATGTGTTTAACGGGATGTTTCACCAGAGATCAACTATTTACTCCCAAGTGACACTCAAAAGAATTCTGGATTTGATTGGAAATTAAGAGTATATTTAGAACAGTAATAAAACTAAACAAGAATACAAATATAATTTTAAAAGAAATTTGTTAAAGGGATAAAGAAAATATGAAGACAAAAATGTGTCACCATGATTTATTCAATGTGCTAAGTTCTAAATAGAATTACCAGGAACTCCTGAGTGCTTACTTCGTGCTACTTAGCACTAATCAGCATAAGAGATACGGAACAGAGAATAATTTGATGTTTCTTTTGAAATTCCAACACTTTCCATCCTTTTTCAGAGTGCGTAGTGTAAATATTGAGCTATTTACTGGACTCTGATTACACATTCAACCTCTAAACAGGATTTCTTCTTGGTTAGATTCAACCATTTAACATTAAATGAGATGTTATATGATATCAAATCATATAGATTATTGTCCGTACGTCAATTTGATAGGTAGAATTCGACTAGAACTACAGAATAGAGAACATGATATTATTTACTATTCAGTGACCGATTGATGCAAGTATACAAAAGCCTAACAATTGATATTATTCCTTTAGACGATATGAATAAACACGCAGTAGTTCAATTAAATAGTGCAAATAGGTAATGGATGAAGTGAAAATTGTTATGTCCCGATAAGCATAATGAATGGTAACTTTTGGGATCCATTTATGAACCAACACCATATGCATATTTTTATCACATAATTGCTAAATAACTAATTTGTTCATATTCGTGTTCCTCTTATCATAAGCTTTATTTTAACCTATGAACTAATATTATACCACTTACCATTCTTGAATTATTCCCTGTCTATTAATTAATATCTCCCACATTCACAGACACTTTTGGCTAAATCTTGTACAAATGTTCTTTCCTATTTTCTATTACGGTGTGGTCTGTTTGATTGGTATATAGACCCAGTATGTTTGAAATAAATGGTTCATATTTCAGAGGCTGTGAATGGTGTTCTGGACTTAGCAGGAAGGGTTAGGCAGAAAGCATGACCGATAATGACTCTAGACTGCTCGTAGAGGTTTTACGCGTCATTAGTCCGATCGATAATTCACTGTTCTCTAATTGGCGCTATCGTTAAGTTATACATTAACATGGGACACAGGTTCACAAGTTATAACAAAAACAACAATTACATTATTCCGTTTTAAGGCATAAACATAGTTTAATATTTTACTCTCTATTATTTGCTATCACGAGGAAGATTGAAGAATGTCTCAGAATACTTAGTGTCTGGAAATACTTTTTTAAAGTAATAGAGTATAAAAATATTAACAAATGATTTACGTCATTTAACTGAATTCATAGAGTTGTCTACTTTAGAACATTCATTATTGAAGTACAATTTAAAGTTTTGCTAAGTCAATCATTGTTAATAACTGTCATTGGATCTTAATTTTTCTTCAGAATATCAATGTTGTGTTTTCAAATATCCATATTGTGTAACTATTTCTATATAATACAGAAGTTCTATTATTCTTTAATTTAATTTATAGTGGTACTGTGGTTGGACCAACATTTCATTTTGATGTTCCATCAGTGGAATTTGATCAAGTTTCTTATGGTAAATCGATAATTATGATATATTGATTCACATTTTTATTTTTGTTAATTGAATATCAAAGATCAGTGTTAATTTATATGAATATTGGTTAAGATGTAAACTAGTAGTCTGGTAGAAATTGGGCTCTGAGAATACAAAATATATTCAATGTAAAACTTTATTGAAATAACAATTTATTGTACTCGATTCTACCTTACGAAATTCTAGTCAAATTTCAAGAAGAAACTTTAAAATTATCTAGATTTCAATAACAGATTACTTAATGAAAAACTGACAGTGGCTAGCAGTGGAATCCAGGACGCGCAGTTCCTCCTACTTATGACTCGTCAACGGATGCACCTGCACTCTGGGACTCAAACCCAGTACCGTTCACTTCAAACACCATCGTTTTATCCACTTAGCTAACGAGTCCTTATAGCCACCTGCTTGTGCAACGGAGTGAAGCTTAGATTCACTTGGTGTTGTTTTACTTGTATCTTCCCACCCAGCTAACGTGTCCCAAATGGGACGAAACGTGCGTCCTGGATTCCACTGCTAGCCATTATCCATCTCTGCTTAAAAAGCTTGTGACTTAAGGCTATATCGAGGCAATCTGCACAGGATGTATATATGCCGACAAGAGACTGATCAATTACAGTCCTAAATAACAATGAGAAGATACAAGTAAGACAACACCAAGTGAATTTACAGATTATTTAAATACGATTTTTACATAAAAATGATTTATATTACTTTGAGTAGTATGTGATTATACTTTCGATTTACTTTGTGGTTTATTTTCAGTAATCAATGTTATATTGATTGCTATTACATTAGGGACTATTTAACGTAGACTATACCGCCTATAAGAGTTTAGCATATTGATTTTATGAGTGACATGGTTTAATAATTTTTGTTTACCCCAAGCAAAGCCTCATGATGCAATTTCGAAGAATATTTTAAAGTGACCACGAATCATAATCAATATACTAACTTCTCTTTCTAGTAATGCAGTAATATGAAAGTACGAAACGTTTATCTACAGCTGAGCATATGATGTAAATGTATATAGGGAAATATTTCCAGGCAATGTAAACAACAAAATTAGTTAATTATGATTGATCGAGTAAAAAAAGTCTGCCGAAGTAGCTCAAATAATTGACATGTAGAAAATGAACTACTTAATTGAATATTTTTGTTTAAATTTAAATACACTTTAAGTTGTACACTGATAAACACTAATAAATCAGAACAGTTTGTGAGTAGTTAAATACAATGACGGCAATTACACAATTAAAATAATTGAAAAAAATGTATAAATTGAAAGGTGTTATGACATGTGTAGTGGTAGCAGCAACATTCTAAATGGATTATAACTTGAAAAATCAATAATTGAAAGGTACGCGTTATTGAAGGATTATATTTGGGAATAATTAGATTCTGATTGCCAAATGTTGTATAAGAAAGATCAAGTCAGCCAGTTAGTGCTGTTATAGGTGTATGTGTGGTTATCACTTCCCTATCGTTCATACCGTGGAAGACTATTTCTTATTAAGTTATCTGGAAAATAATTTGAGTTTATAGTGGTCTTGGTAACGTGGAAGCATGACCACAGGGCCAATGGAACAACTCTTGGGGCTGGTCGTAAACGGTCTTTCTACGAGTATTTCTTAATGTATTAGTTCCATAGTTCAAAGGAGTTATCAATGGTGATGAAAATCCGTGTAGTGGAGTAAAATGCGGAATGCTTAAAGTATTAACTTCCTAAAAGTTTTCTTCTAGTGCAAGAAAGAAGGGTCGCTCTAACGCTGGTTGTCCAGGTGAAACACTTTATTACCGGAAGACTTCAGTGCAGTCATGACTACGACTTAACCGTTTTACCTTAAGTTTATTGCTTTCAGTCCTGTTTTTCTAAGATCCACCCACCTGGAATGGTAGGACCTAAAGCAAAAAAAGTGTTCCAGTCAATATAGCTCAGTTTGGTCATCATGGTAGGCGAGCTAGACCACCACATAGAGGTAGTGGCTACGGCCGGGACAGAAAAGATTCAAAATAGATAGTCCTGGAAGGAATAGATGTATTACAGAGAACTTTTTACTACAAATACTAAAACAGCTTAATCAAGTAATCATAGTTTAATCTAAAAATAAGAGAGTTTGTACTTTATAATATGTTAGAATTTGATAAGTTATCCGTATATTCTGGGTTTGATCCCATGTGGAATCTTGGGTACCAATTATTGAAGGATTTAAAAACGGACAACTTTCTATTCTCTGACTTTGCCTCATTCTCTGATTGACTTCAGTTAGCGAAGAATACCAGTGTCAAAATATTTTAAGTTTTAGCATGTAATTACTTAAACTAACTGTATGTATAATATGAACTGTTTTACGACCGATGTTTATAAATATTATACTGCATATTTTATTGTTTCTTATGTAACTATTCTAAAAGGATTTTCAAAAGAGAAAATTATAACGTTGCATAATACTTCATTTATACCAATGGATTTTATTCTTCGTATCATTGATGATGATGATGATGATAATGATAATGATGACATGGATGGTGATAATAAGAACAAACAAGATGAACAATTGAATGTTATTTCAAATCATCATTCAAATTTACATAAATCATTTGATAATGCAATATTTCAAATTACTCCAAACTATGGAAATCTACTTCCAATGAGTTCAATAAATATATCCATAAGATTTAGTCCAAAATATTTAGGTTTAAAAAAGTATAAATTAATTGTTGATGTTATAAATGTTGGGAAAAAAGCACATTGGTTACCAGTATCTACTGAGTAAGTTATTCTACTAATTGGAAATGCTTTGAAAAAGAATATATTTAAAATATTGAAGTTTGTCTAGCTTTTTAATTATGTTTTTGTTATAACTTGTGAACCTGTATGCCTTGTATATTGGATAACGCAACGATGCCGCCAATCAGAAAGCAGCAAATTATCGGTCGAATCAGTGACGCATAAAGCACATGCGAGCAACCTAGACTCCTTATCGGTCATGCTTTCTGCCTAACCCTTCCTGCTAAGTCCAGAACACCATTCACAGCCTCTGAAATATGAACCATTTATTTCAAACATACTGGGTCTATATACCAATCAAACAGACCACACCGTAATAGAAAATAGGAAAGAACATTTGTACAAGATTTAGCCAAAAGTGTCTGTGAATGTGGGAGATATTAATTAATAGACAGGGAATAATTCAAGAATGGTAAGTGGTATAATATTAGTTCATAGGTCAAAATAAAACTCATAATAAGAGGGACATGAATATGAACAGTTTAGCTACATAACAATTACACGATAAAAATATACATATGGTGTTGGTTCATAAATGGATCCCAAAAGTTACCATTTATTATTTTTATCAGGATGTAACAGTTTTATCCGGATGGTGTTAGTCTGTTAGATGAAATCTGGGGAGAAAAAAAGAATGTAGTGAATTGTGATTTCCTGCCTTTCAAACCTTGTTATCAGTGAGTTCCGACACTTCAATTCAACAGGAGATCAATTACAGCCTAAAATAGTAGTAAGGTATCTGACTATAAAACGAGAAAGAAATTTAATTTTCTTAAAATTTTACATATACATGGCAGGAGATTATCAACATTTATGGTACATAACTTTAGAAAACGCGTGTCTCAATGTTAAGTCGCTTAGAGTAGCTGTTCACGAAAAAGAAACTATTCAAGGTTAATCTGTAATAAATCCGGTTTTATTTTGGGGGAATTTCAATTCTGTTCATTAAAAAAAACAGGCAATAAATAACAAAATTCACCATTTAAATAACTGAAAATCGTTATTCTGTTGTTTCATTATCAAATATAGTCATCAATATCCATGAAACGCCACAACGCTGAACTTAATAATTACGGCATCCATAAAATGCTCTTGTGCAGTTTCAAATGGGAAGATAATGTTACTACATGAATCGTTTGCAATCGCGCAGGTGCATCCACTCTTTGTGTTCTAAATTCTAATCTTCTGAATTCTTCATCTCTCCTTTTTTTTATCTTTCCAAGTTTATTTCACTGGATTATACTCCTTGAATAACATCTTCAAACCCTAATCTTTCCGATTACTGCTTGTACTCTTACCACCTCTACCACTATGGAATTTGAATTGACAATTGTATCTGTGTGCTAATGTGGTATGGTAAATGCAACTGATGTACGTACGTATGAAGTTCTACGTTGTGACTGACTGACTTTGCATTGGCTGTTGTATTTATTTGACTAAAAACTATTCAGACATTTCACGGATTGATATCAAATATTCCGTTTGCATTTCATAGTATATATGTAATATGATGAAAGTTTTTCGGAGATTTTTCAGTTTGGTTATGTCGACCGTGAGAAACTTAATATCGATGATAATGGATGATGGTTGTTTAATATCACTAGTTGACTAAAATTGGTAATGTGAACGATTAAGTACCGCTGCTGTGAACTTCAGTTAACATGTTTGTATGAGTCATGAAAGAAACACATTTGTTCCTTTGTGGGACTGTCGGTGTGCTTTATTATCTTATGTCTTTTGTGCTTTGGGATTGGAAAGATGTCTAGCAGAATCTAATCTGTACCGAAAATCTTCGAAAATGAGGATATATATATATATATATATATATATATATATATATATATATATATATATATATATATATATATATATATATATATATATATATATATATAGTTATTGTTGCCTGTATTATTAGAAATATCAAGCGTAATCTGACGTTTTTTCACACAGGGCTATCCGTCCAGATGTAATTGTAACACCGGAATTGATAAATTTGAAGAGATGTTTTATTAATTATCCCTATACCATTGAAATAACATTAACAAATCAATCAATCGAACCAGCTAGTTATCAGTTTGTTGAACAATTAGCAACAGTAGAAAAAGTAAAAACTATAAAACTACAAACTACTACAAATCAAGAAAACGATTCTAGTAAAGAATCCAAGTTACAATATTCAATAAATAATCCAGAGGTAGAATATCTTTATTTGTTTATTATATACTATTGCAATTCTTGTTTGATTATGTTTTTCATGTATTCAATCTGAACTACAACATTTTTTATTATTTAATTAAACTGTTTTGAAATAGGACCAAAATATAAGAGTTCTGAATTCCAATACTAGTCATCATTAAGATATTACTATGGAATAAAGAATAAAGATGAAAAATAATCATAAGAGTAGGGAGAGTAGCTTACTTACTTACTTACGCCTGTTACTCCTCGTGACGGAGCATAGGCCGCTCACCATCATTTGGTTTGAATTATTTTTTTCTGGCTAGAGTTTTTTTTAGCGAGTTAGTTTTATACAGGATGGGGTCGCTAACCCTATACCCAACCCTCCTCCTTTACCCGGGCTTGGGACCGGCAGTATTTCTAGAAGAGCTACAGGCGGAGTTAGGGAAAGTAGAGTGAATGTAAATTCAAAGTAATATAATGTTTAAAATCGATATAATTATATCACAGTAATTGGTTTTATATAAAGTCTCCTAAAATCTTTAACAGAGGATATCTTACAGTTTAAGTAGTCAAAGAAAAATTCCTATAGTTAATTAGTCATATACAACATAGGACGTGACACACAGTTCAAATTCTAAACTTCTGTAAAGGGCTCATCTAAGGAATCAGTAATTTCATATTTTAATGTTGTATTATGCAGTTACTAGACATTTTATATGCAGCAATTTGGATGACCCTCCCTGTCTCCCACACTGTATGAGTATTCTAGTTACCTAAATTAATTGTTGCTCTGGTTGTCAGAAGGGGTATCAGCCTCATGACTTCCGAAGGAACTCGGCTTTCATCATGAGGCGTTATAACTCTTCTAAGCGAAGACCTTGTATCTACTAGAGCAGAGTTTAAATGGTTTGAATTATTTTTTCTGGCTAGAGCTTTTTTTAGCGAGTTAGTTTTCTAAGGGATGGGGTCGTTAACTCCATGTTCAACCCTCCTCCTTTATCCGGGCTTGAAACAGGCAGCATCCTCAAAAGGGCTCTAGGCGGAGTTAGCCATTTTACATAGATGTTCATAATTCATTTTATTTCATTTGTTCTAAAATGTGATTGATAGGATTTATTTCATTAAAAAAATTAATTAAATTTCTGATGACTGATTAATTCATCAAGATATTAAACGTGTCTGTTGTCAGAGTTGGAAATAATCAACAACTCCTAATTGATCAGATCTCTTGATATAAGATTAACGTTTGAGAATTAATTGGTTAATAGAATCTCCTTATAACTTTTTCAACAGTTGAAATCATGAGTCGATTGAAGCTAGATCACCATGGCAAACCTGGAAGCACTGGACGGCCGTTTCGTCCCAGTATGGGACTTCTCAGCGGTGCGTATCTACGACCCCACCTCGCGGGATTCGAACCCAGTGCTTCCGGGTTTTCCATGGTGGTCTAGCTTTAATCGACTCATGATTTCAACTATTGAAATTTCTAAGATCTCCACAAAACCCCTTCTGTTATTACTTTTTTATCTTGTTATTTGTACTATTTTTTTCAATTATTACTGAATTTATCACTGTATGCTTTTGTGAGCATTAGAAATTTGTACGAAGCTACCTTGTGTTCATTTTTTAGATCCAATCAATCAGCTACAACGTAGGACTAGGCACATATATGTATCGGTCCAAGTTGCCTTTCCTCATTAACACAACAAGATGAACATCAAATTTGTAGTAGTCAGTTCAATGGTAGTAATATATAAAAGAAAGATTGCATAATAAGGATATAATAAGGGGAGAAAGAATTAGTTCATAGACAAGAAGATATAAAACAGTTTTAATCTCACGGTTTAAAGGAAGACAGAGAGTGTATACACCGACGCCACTGTCATCGATTCTGAGCCATGTCACCCAGAGTCTTCAACCATTAGTTACAATAGTCGCGTGGACCCCGACCAAGTAGTCTGCATATACCAACATGGCTCAGAAAAGAAGTTAGTGACTTCAAGGACTGTTGCCACGTTTATAGATTCAAACTATTTCCATTCATCTAAAAAAAACTATGATCGATTATAAATATTTAACTGGCTTATGTACATATACTTTAAACAGACCCACTTCTAAAACCAGGTAAGGTAAATGCGACTAGAAATACCGTAAATTCAAAACTGGATATATTAAAAACTATTTTCTTTACTATTGTAATTATTATAGCTTTCACTAGGGTCATGAAACGTGCTTGGTTTACCTGGATAGATCAGCTATTTCCACCTATATTTAAAACTTATGATAATGCTAGGTAACCATTTTTTGTGAACACTTATAACCTGTAGTTCTTCAGGTAGTAGGTTAATCTAAACCTAAATGATTCAATTTGAGATTTCAAAATCCATTAAAAAGAAAACGCTCACAATATTGTTATGAATGTTACATAGCTTATCCATCAAGTTCAGATTTATATGCTCATCTTTGAGTTTCACAATTTATTTAGAGGATAATGAGCCTAATTGGCTGGCCAAACTGAAGTAGGTTGAACGACGCTTGGTAATCAATTCAATACTTTAACTAGCAAATTATAACTTCACCCTCTTGATGCTGAAAAACTAATTATCACCTGAAATACTCATAATTTGTACAAGTTTGATGTAGAATATGCATTAGGGTTTTAGCTTACATGTATATGAATGTAATTTCTATATTATATAACATTTCCTTACAGGGATTTATTAATGGATTAAATTCTGTTAAACTGTCAATAACATTTAAAGCAAAAGTATTAGGATCAATTACAAGTGAATTATGTTTCAAAATTTGTGGCATCAATGAGAACCCATTGGTAAGTGTCTTTAAAACTAATCAATATACAACTATTATGAAAAGACCACAATGTTCCATTAGAAAACCTCTTAACTGATAATTTTATGCTATTGGTCAAGGAACAGTTTCGTCTTCAAACAAGTAGATATAAATATATATGTAAATTAGTGCTTATCCATGAGATTTGGTTTAACCCAATAAACTTCCTTCTTCACTCTTAGCCTTCACACACGGTAGACGGTTTAGGGCTTCGGTATAGATAGTTTATGTATCAGTATCGAACTCAGAAACTATGTGTTGTAACACCCGCCGGTCTAAGTGACCTGAAATCGTATACACTATGTTTTGACATTATATATATGTATATGTAAATTATCATTCATCATACTGCTACTTCTAATCAATATAATATAACTGCCTGGATATAATGGAAAAATGGGAGAGATGTAATGTCTCAGTTATTACAAAAGTAGTTTGAAAGCGTAAGTAAGACTGTTTCATAGGAAAGGTACAATACAGTTAATGATATAAAAGGGTGTTAGAGATAAGAGTTTGTAATTTAAAGTGTAATGATCTTGTTTTTTACTTCAAAATAAGCATTTTCTTCTTAAAATAAAATTCAAATGGAAAATCATTAAATTTCGATTAGTTGGTAGTGTAAACTATGAACATTCTACACTTTCGACAAACATCCCTAAAGGAGTCAATAAGTTAGGCAAGTAACGTATAAATATCAATCCCTGTTGTAGACTACAGGAATTCTTCCAATTCATTATGGCATTAAATTTTTCAACATGAATGGCAGAGAGATATGGATGTAGGACCAGTTGACCCAACTACAAATCACGAAATGCCAAATGAGCACAACTATCTGTGTTGTAAATAAGATTATTATTTGGCTAATAGATTGAGTAAGTTAAGTTCAATCGCCAAAAAAGAATTAGGGGATTTCGCATATTTTTCATTTACAATTGTTATTCTGATAATAAAACCTATTCAATGTACTGGTGTGGCGAACAAGAACTCGAACGTATACGACACAAAATTACAGAGCATCTCACTAAAATCTGAGAACCATATAGTAAATAGGTAATTTGCAAAATATCAATCCATCGTTTCAAACCTGACTGTTCCTTTTGCATATATCAGTCCATTGTTTCAGATTTCACTGTTCATACATTTTCATACCAATTGCATTCCGTTCCCGTTCTTTCCTTATCGATCTTCTACTGAATTACATTCTATGTCCGACCACCGTTACATACTAATTATGTGGATAGAAGTAACCCACACTACACTAGTACTTACATAATATTAGAACTTATCAGTATGATCGTTTATCACCACTTAACCAACTTACAATGTTTAAAGATGACTTATATCACGGACTATTATTAGTGTTAGTGAATTACTAAAATTCAACCAAGTTTAAATTCTAACAAAGTCACAATAAGAATTGATGACGAACAATGTGATTTCACTAGATTTAGTGATTCATTATCAGTTGCCTGCAATATAATGAATTCATATTATTCTGCCTCAAGTCTTGTTTTTATTTTATTCAAATACGTTGACCACTCCTAACCATTGTATACTCATAACCTTACCAGGGCTCGAATATAGGACCTGTGATGCCTATTTAATTAGTACCCTGTAGTTTACATTTTCAGGTTTTGGTAGTTTACGACATAATTCAACTATTATCTAGTACTATCAGTGACAATTTGCCTTCTTGATGAAATGATTGAAATCTATCAATCAGTTTGTGACAATTACTATTTCCAAGTTCAACTTACCTCTATAAACTACCTAACTAAATAGTTTATAAAATATTTTCACTGTTTTATTTTCTTTATTAAAATACAGAAAATACCTGTAAAATGTATGGGAGAAGGTCCAGTGTTACATGTTGATCAAACAAAATTAGAATGGGGAACAATCACTGTATTACAACCAGTTGTTAAAATATTAAGAATTTCAAATGAGTCGTGTATTGATGCTAATTATAATGCTAAGCTGGTGAGTCCTTTCTTTTTCATTAGTAACATTCAATATAAACATTTTCCATTATATAACTATGTCATTTTTGAAATTGTACATTGTTATTGGCTTCTTAAGTGAAAAAGGAAATTGATTTAAAAGAATTATTGACAGTTGGCTAAAAAGCATTTGGCGATTACAAATTAACAGATCACACAGCTAGCTTATTCTGTGTAGTCAGTAGTGGTATACTGTTTTTATCAAACATAAATTTCTGGTGTAGATCTGTTTGGTGAAAAAACATAACGTCTTATATCCACTTTATCCAACAATACAAGTATGTTTTTGATGCGATTATTTTCGTCCAAATGGAAAATATTGTTTTAGGACTGGCATATGTCAATACTTGAACTGATTGTCGGAAGTGAACCAATTAAGAGTATCGACTGCTTCACTTATCTCGGGAGTCTAATCATTCCTGATTGTCTTGTATCTAAAAGAATATCGGCACGGATTCAGAAGGCTTGATTGCTTTTTGCTAAATTGCGTCACTTGTGGAGTAGGCGAAATATCCATCTTCCAACCAAAGGGTTTTCTCCGTCCTACATTATGGGTGTGAAATACAACCATTAAGAATATAGGATATTCGTAGGTTGCCAGTATTCGACTAAAGGTGTCTTCGACATATTGCTCGTGTATTTTGGGACCAATGAGTATTCAATACCTAGGTTAGGAATAGGATGCTATGTAAGGCTAAGGTACTAAATCTTCATCAACTGAGGTGGTTGGAACGTTTTACGTATGCATAATTACCACCTATATTGACGAATGATACTGTCTGATATAGGAATAGGTTGAGAGAAAGGCAGTGATGGGTAAATCGAAATATAGCTTCAGTCTATTAAATGTTTAACAAGTGGAATGAGTTTTGTTAACAATACGGAGACTACCTGGTTGGAGTCCGCGTGATTGTCGTAACTAATATAACCGATAGTTCAAAATATTTCCCCCTCTCATAGGTATACTACGATAATATATTATACGATAATGTGACTAGTTGCGTTATATCAGATCCAGGATTCACAACTCACAATAGAGAACCTGATTAATACTAGATAACACTTAATTCAACATAATTACAAGCAGTCACACTCAGTGAGTCCGGAATAGAAATCAATGAGAAGAAGGAAATTACATGTTTAGTAGTCAGTAGACTGTGTCTGTTTGTCCACTTTCAGTGAACGATCATGTTTTATTCTCACTATCATACGCCAGTAACCTATCGTTAGAGTTTGTTTGACATGGCTGAAAATCATTTGCAATGGCGCAGGTAGATTCACTTTTTTTATCTTCGCTTAGATCCTAAGTTTCTAGAGTCCTCGTAAAATTTTTATTATTTCACTAATCTACGTTTTCTTGAATCGTATCTCCTATGGATCATCCTTTATCGTTTTATTCATACATTCAATAAATGTATTTGCAGTGAAATACCTTGAGGTAAAAAGGTCTTTCATGTGTTAGCTATGAGTTCAGATTTAACCAAGTACAAAACAGGCAAAAGCATATTGAGTAACCCGAAATATTAAGAATAAAGAACTGGAAAATCTGATCACTACTTTGTTTTTATTCTTCACCCATAGAATTACCATACTTTATTAGAGTAGTTAATGTTTTGGCAATGGCTTCTGAACATTTTAATGCTGGTCATTCTTTCATAATGTTTAACATATTTCATTTGATGTGGATGATTAATCTCAATCTTCATTATTAATCTTATTAGGTACGAAATGATACTGTTTATAAAGCTGAACCATATTCTGGAACTATTCCAGGTTATAGTCATATAGATTTGAATATAATTGCAAATCTAGATGATATTATATTATTTAAAGATCAGTTAATTGTACAAGTTGAAAATACTTCAAAACCATTAAAAATTGAACTAAGTGCAACTGGTCAAGGTGGTACAATTGTAACACAACCATCAATGAGTTCTGTATTAAACTTAGGAAGTCAATTTAGTGTTAATCCAATGAGAAAATATTTTAAAGTTATAAACAAAGGAAGGAGGTCACAACAAATAATTTGGTCTATAGATGGACAATCACCACGTAAATCAATCCATATGGATGGTCAAGTTAGTTTTCGTGTGAATCAGTTTACGAGTGTATTTGTTTATCAGTTTGATAGTAATAAACATTTAGTTTAGTATTCAAATTAGATTAATCAAATGCATAATATATATCTAAGATTTAATGATTTGAAGTACATTCTTGTAGGGACCTACCTAATACTCGTAATCAGTTTTTGATGGAGTTTTGTTCTCTGATCTGAATGGTTTGGTCGTGTAGCTTTCATAGTTCTTCTGAACGACATGCTGATGAACAAAACTTCATCAAAATCATCCACCTGAACTACAAATCTCCACCAACTCGTAATCAGTGCCTTCTTCTAAATTTTGGACCTTGATGTTATTTCATATCTTCTATTCTTTGATCTTGTTTATTCTTTTCGAATTATATTATTCGTTTAAACAAGGAAGAATAATAGTAATTGTGATGTATATTCAAGCCTATTACGGATATAACTAAAAGTTCGGCTTTGTTAAACTAATTGCTCTATAATTTATTTAAGTTTCGATTAACATTTCTAAAAAGTTGATCTCAGATTTTATTATGGTTTGATTGCTTCTATAATATCTTGAGTCTCATACATTCTGCCCAAGTTTACAAATCTTAATTTCTTATTGCATCTAAACGGGTACAAGGTAAGGATGGCAAATCAATTGATGAAGTAGTGAAACTTCATCACTGTTAGTCAATCATTTTTTCAATGAGCGTAAGACAAAATGGCTGGGACATGTGTTACGTATGCCCAATTACCGACTGCCCCAAACTGCGATGTTTTATGGTGTAGAAGTTGGTTGGAAGGAAGTTAGGGGCGGCCAGATCAAAACATGGCACAAATCCATGAGGTCACTGACAAGTGGACTGAACCATGTTATTAGGTGTAGACTACCTGGTTCCGGGTATTCGCGAGACGATAGCAACCGATGATTAGAGACCTTTAATCACATGGCTCAAAATCATTTGCAATGGCGCAGGTGCATCCACTCTTTGTGTTCTCCCGAATCCTTATCTTCTGAATTCTTCATCTCCCCTTTTTTTATCTTTCCAAATTTATTTCACTGGATTATACTCCTTGAATAACATTTTCAAACCCTAATCTTTCCGATTACTGCTTTTACTCTTACCACCTCTACCACTATGGAATTTGAATCGACAATTGTATCTATGTGCTAATGTGGTATGGTAAATGCAACTGATGTACGTACGTACGAAGCTCTATGTTGTTACTGACTGACTGATCTAAAAGTTTGAAAATAACTGAGAGTAATCGAGTTAATGTTTCATACTTATTTAGTTACCTTATGTTCTTTTAAAATCATACCATCGACTAATCATCTGTTAGTTTAATTGCTATTAGCATTTAATATAACGATAAAACAGTTTCTTCAGTATGAAGTAATCTTCTGTGTTGAAATATTCCTTTTACATTTGGGATTATCAGAAACCACGACATTAGAAGCAATAAAATGAATATACAGTTGATTTTTTGTTTGTTACTGTCTACAATTTAGATAAGACATCAAAGCTAATAAATAATTTTCTACATTAATCAGAAAAGGACTTGACACACTATGATTTTCTTAAGCAATTATTTCGTATTATTAAATAATCGATTCGAGATTAACTTCTAATAAGATTTTTACTGTGGTGTGTGCTACTTATATCGACGCGAGTTAAGAATTTAATGTCTGGCAGCAGAAGACTAGTAAGATCGAGAAGGAGAGAACGGGAACAGAAAGCAATTAATGTGGAGATGTAGGAATAATAAAGTCTGAGACAATTGATGAACATTTTGCAAATGAAGTCTTAGAGTATGGTTTTTCTATTTTACCAAGTAACTCCACTTATTCGTAGTCACACTTTGAAAACGAAACCGCTTGATCAGAGATTGATCATGTATTTATATTGAGTTGAGATTGTGAAGTTTTATCAAGAAGTCGTAACTGGTACAATTCAATAACATACTGGGAGTAAAATAATCGGTTACCCAACATTATCAATGAATGATGTTGCATTGTACAATAAAATGGTTGACTCAATAGGTTCGAGGATAACTGACTGATTACAATCTTATTGTCTGAGACTAAGAAACAAACAATAAGATATGTCATTCTTTACAATTTATTAGATAATGGTCTAGTCAATAAATGAATGTTCATTTTGGAAACTCAGGTTATTTACTACTACGAAAATATTTTTTTTATGAACATTATCATATAATACTCAAAAGTAGAAACAAACAATAATGTATATTTAAAGAGCTCATTGAACATTAACACCTTTGTCATTTCTTTTGTTATAATTTCATTATAGTTATCAGATAAATCGGAATCAAGATGGTCAATTACACCACATCGTTTTGATCTTAATCCAGGAGCATCTACAGAAATTTGTCTAGAAGTTCAATGTGATAGGTAAGTTTTTAGTGAAAACAAAACTTGCGAAATAGAATTACTAATAATAAGAAAAACATAAAATAGCCAAGGTTGAACTTGATAGTTTCAAATAAGTTGAGCATTGGGTTGAGAGTTAATAATAAATATATTGGTGAGACTATAATTTATGGACGACATTTGAGCGATGCAAGACTGATCTTGAGAGTGTTCACTTAATAACCAAGACTAAATAAGGGTTATGAACCTGTGTGAGAAATTAAAATTTAGATTTAGGGTTTTCGTCACCAACTGACATCAGCTATAATGCCAAAACTCTATTTATCGAAATGAATGGGTGAATTACGTGCCAAAATCCGAGACATATTGTCTTATAAGTGACTGGTTCGGCCAGTCACAGAATATATTACATTTTGTTATATCCCAATGAGTAAAAAGATTTTATTTCTGGCGTTTCATGACTTATTGTAAGTCACTACTTCAGAGCAAATAATGTCAGAAATACAAGTTTTCTACTCATTGAGATATAACAAAAAAATATATATTAAATTCCCTTGTTGTTTTACTTGTATCTTCCCATTGTTATTTAGGACTGTAATTGATCAATCTCTTGTCGGCATATATACATCCTATGCGGATTGCCTCGATATAGCCTTAAGTCACAAGTTTTTTAGGCAAAGATGGATAGTGGGTAGCAGTGGAATCCAGGACGCACATTTCGTCCCATTTGGAGCTCGTCAACTGGGTGGGAGGATACAAGCAAAATAACATCAAGTGAATTTAAACTTTACCCCATTGCACAAATAGATGGCTATAAGGACTCAGTAGCTAAGTGGATAACACGATGGTGTTTTAAGCGAATGGCAATGGGTTCGAGTCCTCAGGTGAAGACCAACTTTTGGATGCTGGTACATTGAGTCGACAAGTTCCAAATAGGACGAAACTCGTGTCCTGGATTCCACTGATAGCCACTAACCATCTTTGCTTATAAAAGGATGTATTATTATCATTATTATTATTATTATTATTATTATTATTATTATTATTATTATTCAAACTCATTGTTTATATTTGAAGATTAAATTTCAACGTGGGATATGAAATATTATAGCGTCAGTTCGTAACAAATTAGTAAAGTGTGATAAAATTATCAATATAAATCCTAGATTACTAGAAGTGTGTCATATGCCATGTCGGCAGACATAAGTAGTATGTAACACCAATCAAGCGTTGAATAGCTGACATCAGAAAGCTAAGATCGAGCTGAACAGAATAGAAGGGGAAATTGAAAGGAATTGTGAATCGGGGAAAATAATACAGTGTAAAGGATAAATGGTAGAAATTTGCAAATACAGTATTCAGTGTATGGTTCTTACATTTTACCTAGAGATTTTGTAATTTTGTATTAATATATATTGGTTGTCTCCACCTGTGTTCTTGTTCGCAGCAGGGGCAGTAGCATTATCAGAGATATTATAAAGGATTATTAATAGGTAGTAAAACCTGGGAGGTAAAAAGTAATTTACGGAATAAGAAGCATAAGATCATTTTTGAAGGGAAGACTGAATCCATTATAAACGATTCTGAGACATTATTGAACTACCATAAGAAGTGGTTGCGATTGTTCAGTGATGCTAATCACGTAGTTTATCCTCCCAACATAGCCAAGTCCAACAACAAATGATTTCGTGGACTGATGCCACCTTTCGGTTTCTCATTCTCTAATGTTGATTCGATGAACTCGCACACCAACAAACATCGCGTGTTAAGGTTGTCAGCGGTTGTACATGATGGGGATAATTCATAATCCAATCACTTCAGTTTATAAGAAGTTACTGTTTGATGTTACTGTCCGATTTACCACCTTTATCTAGTACTCTCGACATAACCTAGGCGTATATGAGCGATGCTTTGGTGGAATCTATTATCAACTACCAGATCAATAACCTAAAAATATCCCCTGTTTTCAAATATCACATAACACGGCTATAGAGCAGGATAGAGATAAATGCTGTGAAGTACACTCTCTTTTTCGTTGGGGATGATGTCAGCTACTTTAAATATCAATAAATCCCTGTTCCATCGAGTATTAATCGTTTATTTATCGGTTGTCATTTTTTGAGATTAAGTGTGTGATCACTTCTGTGGTCAACGAATTCGGTAATGAAGAAGCTACTAATAATTGACGATACCAAGCAAAGAGGGGATTGGTAACTACTGGATCCCTGTGTCGTGAATGAATAATATTGTGTTCATTGACTGACGTGGATATCAAGGGTTCAATTTCATATAAACCATGGATTCCCACTTTTGATAAGTTTTAAATCCAAATGAGACAGATGTCTATTGCTCCTCAACGTTCAATAATTATCCGGTCTATATTGATCTGCCGCAGAAACTATCTTTGAGTCAAACAGGTTTCAAAGAACTATTTTTACTATTAATAGTATAGGGTTGTGGAGATTTTTGAGTTTTACTGGAATCGTGAACCAATCAATGTTAGATCGTGATGGAAAACCTGGAAGCACTGGATGGTCATTTCGTTCTAGTACGGGACGTTTCAGCAGTGTGCATCTATGATCTCGAAGGCAGGAACCGAACACAGGACATTCGGCTTCATATTCAAACGCTTAACCTCTAGACCATTGGTTCGGCATCCAACGGTGTTAATGTCTAAATTAATGAGCTCACTAATGACTAACATCGAGAGGGAATTCTAAGAGTTCTGGTGAGAAGCTGTGACCAATGGAGTTCAAACGTCCCCGGCATGAGGGAGTTACCCACTGAAGTTAATGGAAGATGTTATCGTAGATTATTCGAAGTTAGGCACTAACGCCGATAGATCCCAGTCCAAAGGTACTGGGTTTGAGTTTCAATCTGAATATCATTACTGGGATCCGTTTACATCCACCTGACAATTCCAGCTATGACGAAACATATTTCCTGGATTTCACACTTCAGTGACATCAAAACTTGTAAAAGAGGTATGAAATTCAAAAACGAATGAATTATATCTTACATCATCTAAAAAGCGGGATACAAATAGTGATATACATAGGACTCAAAACGTTTAAAATTTTATTAGGCAAAAGCAGTTTAATATCAGAAGGGTTTTTGTGGATATTATAGTAATTTTAATGATTAAGAGCATGAGTCAATCGAAGTAAAACCACCGTGTGGAACCTGGGAACACAGGACGGCCGTTTCATCCCATTGTGGGACTCCCCAGCAGTGCGCATCCATGATACCATCTCGGGAAATACCAACCCAGGATCTGTCGTCTCACGTGAGAGCGCATAACCTCTAGACCACTGAGCCGGCATCCGACGGTGTTAATTTCTAACTTCAACCAATCCACGAAATTGAGCGACACATCCGCCATTATCATCAGTGAGTTACTATCTCACAAATGACGCGGTTGAACTCCACTGGTCACTGCTTCTCACTAAAACTCCAGGATAAACATCTTGAAACCAGCCACTAGTGAGCATATGGTGATTAGTATCAGAAGTAGTTTTATGGAGATTGTAATAATTTCAATAGTTGAGATCATTAGTCAATTGAACCTAAACCACCATGAGATTGTGGATGCGCACTGCTGAGAAGTCCCATAATAGGACAAAATGGCCGTTCAGTGCTTCCAGATTTCCCATAGTAGTCTAGCTTCAATTGAATCATGATCTCAACCATTGAAAAGCACTTTAAACAAAAGATTGAATGAAACTATTAATCAAACATTTTTATATTGCTTTTATTTTTCTAGTATTCATTACAATTATATTTTCATTATATTTTAGTGTTAATACGATTCATGAGAAAATTTTATGTCATTCAATTATTGGACGAAGTGCTAAATATTTAATTAAAACAGTTGATGTTTCTATTGACTTTATTAAACCAGTTATTGAATTATCTACAAGTGAACTGTTTTATCGAATAGAAAAGGTATATATATTATGTAAATTAACTGGGCAATTTGTAAAGGTTATTCTGGGTTTTTTGGAGTTAACATTATGAATAAGCTTTAGCCAGACAGTCATTTAAAATTATACAGTACATTTAAGTTTTATGACTTACTTACGCCTGTTAACCACAACAGTGCATGGGGCGCCAACCATTTCACAACTTTAATAAGCAAAACTTCTCTCTTACTTATCTACGGTTAATACTCCCAATGGAGCATAGGCCACCGACCAACCCACTCTGTCCTGAGCCTTCATTTCTAGTTCTATCCAATTGTTGTTCATTCTTCTTATGTGTATCTCCATTTCTCGGTATAATGTGTTCTTTGATCTTCCTCTTTTCTTTTGGCCTTGAGGATTCCAGTTGAGTGTTTGTCTTGTGACGCAGTTGTGTGATTTCCCCAATGTATGTCCTGCCCACATCCAGCGCTTCTTCCTGATTTCCAAAATATTACTCACTAAACTATTGTATTATATATCTATTAATTGCATTTATTTATAAACTAGTTTAGCATATATAGTATTTCTGTATACATTTTGAAATTAGTCTGAAAAAAGTTCCAATGTATTTAAGAAGCGTATAATTCGATTTGAAGTAGTCCAACATTTTCTTTACAAGTGGTTTTACATGTAAACTGTAAATAATCAATTGTTTGAGGGTTGACAATCAAAAGTTCTCGAAAGAGGGAAAATATGTTATGACAAAATAGACTAGCAATTTCTAAACAATACCTTTATTGGATATAATAGTAATTTCATTAGTTGAGATCATGAGTCAGTCGAAGCTAGACCACCATGGAAAACGTGGAAGCACAGAACGGCCGCGAAGTGGGATCGTGGATGAGCACTGCTGAGGAGTCCTATAATAGGATGAAATGGCCGTTCAATGCTTCTAGGTTTTCGATAGCGGTCTAGCTTCAATCGACTCATGATCTCAACTATTGAAAGATACTTTTAGTATTGAAAATTACTTAAGAATTACCAGGACAGGTTTAAAGTAAGAACAAATTATTTCAACATATATTATAGTGGTTTAAATTCTTTTAATGAACAATGTTTTCGGAAACTAAAAAATGAGTATCCAGTAGTTTTTATTTATGATTGTTTACGTCTGGGATAATCTAATATTGTGAGGCCTACGAGGTTCCACTTCATTTAATCATATATTTATCCACTCTTAACCGAATAGTTCACTCACTCTATTGAAATTTATGTCCACAAAAGTATCTAAACTATTAAATTCAATAAGATATGATGCAATTAACTGTAGGACTTTGAGGCCTATATAAATCGTAGCTTTTGTTTCCTCAGTGACAAGTAGGTTGATAGGGTCATCAACCTCACTCTATATGTTAACGTGTTTGAGCACTTTGTTTGAGGACAGGATAAAGGGATTTGGGCATAAGTTTACTTTTACATCGGTCTATAAGGTTCATTCAATAAATGTTTAATGTTGGTGCTTTAGTCATTTCACAAAATACCGTATCTCCCCCAAAAACTGACTATTTTATTCATTTTACCATACTTTAGGCACCATCAGATGAATTATCTATACAATTCAATCATTTCACAATGACTAATAAAGTAGATTTATTATTAACATGTTTATTGGAAGTTTGCAGTCCATTCAACTTGTTTATCGATGAAAGTTACTCATCTACAATGGTAAGAAACGAATAGATTTTTAACATATTTAATTTACTTTTCTAATTATTTCTTCATTTAAAATCCTCATTTTAAATACTGAAAGTTAAATTGATCCCAGAAACACAGGTTAACAACCAGTTAACTAATTGAAGCGACACCAATTACCAAGGAGAATAATATCATTCATCCAAATTTTCATGTTACGCTTGATTTTATAATCTGTTAAACGGAGAAATAGCATTGGTTACAATTTGACGACCGATTCTCATACATTATGTAGACGTGTTTAGGGAAAATATTACCAAGATTTATGGATCCTATTTCGTTAGAGCTAATACCAAGTTTATAATCGAAAATGATGGTGAAGAATATATATATATCCTAATATTCGGTAAAGGTTTTATCAAAGATTACCTGACACAAATGATACGATAATGACTGTAATGAGTGAGGTCATAGAATGTTTTCCCTAGAACGATCAGCTATTAAAACTTGGTCACATATGGAGTCTGATTTCGTATACCCAGATCCATGAAATTTAAACCATCAAAGCGGTTGTTCGATAGTGGAAACACAAATTTGATTGGAAAAACAATTTATATATATTTTATCCAATAAATGAATGAGTTAAACAGTATAAAACATTCAACAAAAATTGAGAAACATTATCAGGAAATTCAATAATCTTGTTACTAACAGTCAAAGAGTATTAAAATGTATCAAGGGTTTCATTGATGACCGTTAAGACTGTATAATGCAAGATCAGTTAGGTTATGGACTTTTTATATAGATAAAAACAACAATCTTATACCGTCGCTTGTGAAGGAGATTGAATTATTAAGCCTTTAATTTTGTAAAACAATGTTTTCCCAGTTTCCAATTTGTATTTACTGGACTGAATCACTTACTTATTTACGTTCGTTACTCATCGTGGAGCATAGGCCACTGATCGGAGATTTTCAACCAACTCTTGTTATTTCAAAGTGTTATTTATTCTTTAGATATCTGTCGCAATGTTTTCTTTGGTCTATCTGTTTTCTTTTTTCATCGGAGTTTACAAGTTAGGGCTTCCCTTGGAATGAAGAGTAATATACATTTAATATCTAGCTTCACAAGAGTTAAAAATCTGATACGACAGTATTTGCTAATGAATATTTCTACAAAAATATTCTGTAAATATTACCTATTCATGAAGTCATTAGTATGAATTGCGAAATCGATAACTTACATGTAAAATGTGATTAGCCATTGAGTTCTCACTGCAAGACCCTAACCGTTTAATATATGATTTCCTTCCTATGATTGATTTTTACCTTGGACTCACTGAGAGTATAAGTCGTGTTTAACCAAGTATTGATTAGATTATCTCTTGTTTCTTTATATTTGTTCGTTGAATTCTACCTGTGGTATAATATGATCTAATCTATGTATAGAGTTTTGATCGAGTATCCATTTTAGTGGTTACCTGTTTTATAACAATAGATCACAAGAAAATAGTTTTATTTCACCCTTATAACAGATATTAAACCATTTTTAAACATATTTTATAGACATTTCAATTGAAACCATTTGAATCAAAAGAAATAACAGTTTCATTTAATCCAAAATATAAAGATGATTTATTTAGTAGAAGAGCTGATGAATTATTATTTATTAAATATGCTGAGCATCCACAAACTGTAAGTTATTACTTATGCTACATTTTTTGGTAAATTTTTGAAGGCGAGATTCTAATTTATGGATGAGCTAATCAGAAGCGTTTTAGGGATTTCAAGGTTACGGTGCCAACTTCAGTGCTTAAGGCTAACGTACATTCGGTTCATAGGGAATTTTGTACAAAACGTGATAATTGAACGGATATAACAAACAAAAACGGCGAAACTATAATTTGTGGACGTATCAATCAGGTATAAGATAATAGATCTCGGATTTTAACGCGAAAGCCTTTCATGCATTTGGCCAAACAAATCTCTGGCATTATAACTGATGTCAGTTCGTGATGAAAACCCCATATATAATTCCTAACTAAGGTAAATTACGACGATTATTGCGAACTGGATATTAAAAGCACCAGTAACACCATCTGCAGACAGGTACTACAATATATACGGATGATTGGAGAGCCTACAGACTCCTACATAGGCTTGATTATTTGCATCGTGTCGTTATCCAAAAGTGGCATTTTGTGCACTAAACAACCGAAGTGCACATAAACAATAGTGAAGCTATGTGTTAGAGGTTGAAAGAGTCTCTGAGACTTTATCATGGCTACAGAGGCCGACTATTCTGTAGCCGTATGGATGTTTTCTTCAACTGCATGCATTAGGATTTCAAAACCTCTGAACATTGACACGTTTTTTGAACCACGTATAAGAAGTGTATCCACTATATTTCCTTGGTTTTGTATAATATATTTTTACTCTATACTGACTGTTTGCTGATTGGCTAATATTTCTCAAGGTTACTTAAGATTCGTTCAACAGTCGTCCATAAATTAGAGTCTCGCCATTTTTGAACTATAATATAATTCTAGTTAAAGTATTTGTTAAATCTGTTATTAGTTGTTTTATTAACCAAAAATGATCAATTATTTAATAAAATATGGTTAATGGTGACTAGTGGAGTGAAGGATTAGCGTTTCTTTAAACATAGGACTCGTCAGTTGAATAAACCTGCAAACCAGTTTGGATGCTAAGATTGGAAAATCAGTACTTTTTGCTTGAAACATACAAAGCGTTATCCATTGAGCTACTGAAGTTAGACAGCCACTAATTTGTGCATAGAGTACAAATTTATATCATTTATTTATAAATGTTTGAATCTAATTGTTTTTTGTCTCACGTTTATTTTGGTGTGATATGACTTTATTTATCAAGAAACCATTGAACATATTATCTTCCTATAAGTATGATGAGTTTACATTATTACTCCTTGCATTTCCTATTACTGTTTGGTATATGTGTATTCTATACTTCCTTTTTTCCGTTTGAAAATATTTCACCATCTTGTGTTAATTATATTACCTTCAGAATAGGGTTCCGGGAATTGTTGGATTTCATTGAAATCATGAACCGATCCATGTTAAACCTCAATTAATAACTTGGAAGCACTATACGACCGTTTGGGATTTTTCAACAAATCCCATCCACGATCTTGAGACTTTTAAAAACAAACTGTTCTTTCAAAACCAAATTTTATTTATTTTGATCACAGTTACGTTTAGACTCCAATTCAATAATTATGTAGTGTCCATGAAAATATACATGTAGGCGAAACAAGTCCTAAATCTGTCTCGACGCCTTTTTTATGCGTTAGTCACATTACTCATAAATAGTGAGTAGCTTGATATCCTGCATTAAATTATTTTTTAATTTTTCATCGAGCAATCTTCTTCATGTAAAGTTTTGTTTATTTTCTATAATTTTCTTAACCCAAAAACATACCGTTTGATTCGTTTCCGGAACTCGCCAGTTGTCTCGTTCGACACAACAATTTGTTGCCTTCTTATTTAAATAGGCTATTGCAAGTTAATTCTTTTTTCATTTATTCACACGAAGTCATTTGTAAAATCAAACTGTGACATCTAAAATAGCGGGATAAATCAATGTCACAGTGGGTATAACTTTAGACGAATGTTTTTTATAAGTAACACAGCTGTATTCTAACTAATATTCACCCTTAAGTAATAAGTTATCCATGAATATTCCCATAATACCACTTCGCTCATTGTGTTCTAAATATTTTTTTTTCAAAATATATAGTGCATACGAAGTATAGTATTTGATAACCGTTGACATCTTTTGATTCCTACGTATACCCAACCACCGACTGCCTCGACGTGCGATGTTTTATGGTGTAGAAGTTGGTTGGAAGGAAGTTAGGGGCGGCCAGATCAAAACATGGCACAAATCCATGAAGTCACTGACAAGTGGACTGAACCATGTTATTAGATGTAGACTACCTGGTTCCGGGTATTCGCGAGACGATATCAACCGATGATTAGAGACCTTTAATCACATGGCTCAAAATCATTTGCAATGACGCAGGTGCATCCACTCTTTGTGTTCTCCCGAATCCTTATCTTCTGAATTCTTCATCTCCCCTTTTTTATCTTTCCAAATTTATTTCACTGGATTATACTCCTTGAATAACATTTTCAAACCCCATTATTTCCGATTCCTGCTTATACTCTTACTATTTCTACCACTACGGAATTTGAATCAACAACTGCATCTCTGTGTTAATGTGGTGTGGCAACTCGAACTGATGTACGTACGTACTAAGTTCTATGTTGTTACTGACTGACTGAATTAACTATTTATACACTTTCAGGCTCTTTACTTGTCATAAATATTGAAAAGGCCCATCCACTATGATGATCACTTTCAAGTTCTAATTAGTAAAAATTAAAGAAAAATATATTTTGTTCAGTTCCCTCCGTGAAGTGTTCAGCAGTTTTAATGCATTCAGATACTAGTCAATAGCAAACTAAATAAAAATATTAAAAATTGTGACCATATTTATTTTTTTTTTAATTATAAACTATAGGATGCTGTACGATTAATTGGTGAAGTACATTTTCCAAATGTTCAATTTAGTTCTAATCTAATTGATTTTGGTTGTATATTAAATCATACAGAAATGACAGAACATTTAAGTATGAAAAATATTAGTCCTTTACCAGTAAAATTTCGTTGGAGTTTACTTATTGGTGATCGACCAAATATTATATTTAAACGTCAAGCACGATTAATAGAAGATCACATTCCTATGAATGTTCAAAAATTATTATCTAATTCTCATATCATTGATAATAAAAACATTGAAAATACCATACAAGATAGTTGTCAAGATACTAATGACATAGAAGATGAAATAAAAATCAATGAATCATATAATGAATTCAATCAAACTATTCTAAATGATTCAACTAATGAACATATATTAGATAATGTAAATCTTAATTTATCTACTACTGAAAATAGTATATTACGTAATTTAATTGATGAAGATGAAGATATTATACCATTAGGTATTGAAGAATTATTTGATATTGTACCATTATATGGTGAAATTAATCCAGGTGAAACAATCTATTTAAGTTGTACATTTTATGGACATTCTAATATTGAAGCATCTGTATTAGCTTTATGTGAAATTGATCATGGTCCTAAATATCATATTGAATTAAAAGGTTCTGCATCAGATATTGATTATCAAATTGATCAAACTGATCATATTGATTTAGGTTATCATCGTTTAAATCAATCAATAATCTATCAATTTAATATAATGAATATAGGTAAAGTGAATTTTAATTATAAAATTTCTTTTCCTACACATGATTTTATTGAACAAACAACATTAATTAAAATGACTGAATATGGTCAATATAAAATTATACCATCTTATGGTCAAATTATTAATAATCAATCACAATCTATTCAAATTATTTATCAACCATTAAAACCGGGTTATTTTGAACAAGAATTAAATATTCAAATAGGATATTTTTTACCAAAATCTATTAAAATACATGGTTTAATTGATTTTAATTATTTAAATATAAATTTACCACGTTTATGTATGATTCAAACAAAAAATAATCATCATCAACAACAACAACAAATCAATAATGATCAATTAATAATCAATAAAGAAATCTCTTCATCGATTTATCAATTCACTATGTTCAAATTAATTAATCAATTATATAATGATCTAATCAATTTTATTGATTTATTGGAAAAAGAACAACAACAAAATAGATCAATTGTTTGTTTATGTGATACAATCTTTTCAAATCGATCAGATTTCATATTAAATTCTATTCATAATCATAATCAATATGATCAAATATTTATGCATAATATTAATTGTCCTATTACAAAAGCAATTAAACAAATATTAACAAATCAATATTATAGAATGAACCATATACCTGAGAAGATAATCAAATTGATACCAGATTTATATTTACAATTAAATGCAGAATATGAATATATTTGTAATCTATTAAATGATAACAATAATAATCAATATCATAATGATAATCAATTAAAAGTAGTTACCGAGACAGAAGAACAAGTGAAATTATGTTTTATAAAAAAGTAAGTTTGGCGAGATTCTAATTCATGAACGACCTTTGAATGAATCTTAAGTGACCTTGAGAAATATTAGCCAATCAGGAAACGGTCAGTATAGAGTAAAAATGTGTTATACAAAACCAAGGAAATATAGTGGATACACTTCTTATACGTGGTTCAAAAAACGTGTCAAGGTTGGAAAGAGGTTCAGAGGTTTTGAAATCCTAATGTATGCAGTAGAGGCTACAGAATAGTCGGCCTGTAGAGCCGTGATGAAGTCTCAAAAACTCGTTCAACCTCGACCACATAGCTTCACTATTGTTTATATGCACTTCGGTTGTTGAGTGCACAAAATGCCACTTTTGGATAACGACACGATGCAAATAATCAAGCCTATGTAGGAGTCTGTAGGCTCTCCAATCATCCGTATATATTGTAGTACCTGTCTGCAGATGGTGTTACTGGTGCTTTTATTATCCAGTTCGCAATATTTGTTGTAATTTACCTTAGTTAGGAATTATATATGGGGTTTTCATCACGAACTGACATCAGTTATAATGCCAGAGATTTGTTTGGCCAAATGCATGAAAGGCTTTCGCGTTAAAATCCGAGATCTATTATCTTATACCTGATTGATACGTCCACAAATTATAGTCTCGCCATTTTTGTTTGTTATATCCGTTCAATTATCACGTTTTGTACAAAATTCCCTGTGAACCGACTAGTTAATAAACCATACAAACTATACTTGGTTGACTAAGATATGTTAAAACAACTCATTAATCATTTAGTTAAAGATGCTTTCTAAAATAGATGTAGATGAAATGATTATAAATATGATACAAAAGAATTGATTTGTGATTAGATGGTGGTTGGAGGTAGTCGACAGGAAACCCTGTCAAGTCAAGACTTGACACGCATGACATTGATCACCCAGTGATCAATCAATTGTGAGACTTGATTTGTAAATGTAGTGAGAATAACCGGAATCCTTAAAATATTAGTCTTTCAGTAAATGAAGGTAGTAGAAAAATATAGTATGAAATCGAGAAAAACTCACAATTTATCATTATATACAGAGTCCTGGTCAATTTTCCAATGTTTAAACATTTCCGTTTGCTAAAGATTACAATGATAATATCGTCTGGAGTTTTCCGACTAAACGTATGCAAATATGAGCCATATTCACAATCTTTACCCTTTTTTGGTCTTGACCTAACATTCTGTCACAGGAATAATTATTGATTGAACTGGTCATTTTGGTTAGGTTCAAATATTTTGAATGATAGGACGACAGGAGGGATTTGATATTGACAACAAACGATTGCTTCTGTTCGATACGGTTCAGCGGGAATATTACTTAACCTATGACTATAAATAGTTGTAAGTTAACAAGAAAACAACATTGTAAACAACCTAAAATTATAACGCAAAATCCACTGAATCACGTATTTCGAATGGTTTAACGATGGAATAAATTACTCAGTGGGATTTATCAGACTTTACACAGTGGTCTCGCCCTCGTCATAGGTGACGTAACTTGGCAAAAGCCAAACGAGCTTTTCGAATCCGTGCTGAGATTTTGTCAGACACCAACCTATTAGGGCTTATCAGACTTCCAGGATAAGTGAAGTTGTCAACGCGTTCGACTGCTTCACTCCCTATCCTTAGTTCACATGTTGACGCCGGCCAGTCCTGAAGCAACAACTTGCATTTAGAGGGAGAGAAGCGCATCTCAAACATTCTGGCATTGTTGCTTAGTGTTATTAAAAGACTCGGCATTTTATCAGCGTCTTGGTTACATAATCAGTTTAGTTCATACTTTCTTAGTTAAGTGATTAAGCCCAGTCATTTTCCTTTCTCGGTGAGACTATAATTTATGGACGAACCAATCACGTACAAGATAACAGATCTCGGGTTTTGGCGCGGAAGTCGCCCGTCCATTTGGATAAATAGAATCTTGGCATTCTAGCTGATGTCAGTTCATGATGAAATCCCTAACTGTAATTCCTAACTTTAATCATCAAATATAAATCATAATTATAATTCCTGACACTGGTTTATAACCCTCATTTAGTCCTAGTTTTTAGGTGAACACTCTCAAGGTCAGTTAATCGTCGTTCACTTGTCGTCCATAAATTATAGTCTCACCAGTGTGACTGATAAACATTAACGATCAAATATTAACACCGAATAAAAGCACTATTCCCCTGATGAAAGTCCTTACATAATACTGTTGTAATATATGTGATGAAATATGATCATTTCATTACTCGTCTATTATGTTTTTTTCCCTTTCTATCATATTCAGTTTATACCTACCATCATATTTACTTGATTTTGGCATAGTTATAATCGGTTCAATTATGAAACAAAATATATCTATTATTAATACAAGTTATGAACCGATTAGTTTTCGTTTTGATACAACATCTTTATCAAAAGCTAAACAATTTGGATTTAGTACAAATATAACAAAAATTTATCATTTACCTGGTTATCCAGATTGTGAACAATTAGATGTGGAAATTACATTTGATACAAAACAAATTAATCAGTTAATAAATGAAAATTTCATTCAAACAGAATTAATTATCAAAGTAAGTTATTCTCGGTTTATTGTCAGCTTTAATCTGGATTTTATAGTATTTTATTAATGAATATTGAAATATAATCAATAAACTGATAGGTCTTGGGTCCAAATCTCACGAGGCGGAGTCCTGGTTCTGTACTACTAAGGGGTCCCATAATAAAATGAAATGGTCGTTCAGTGCTTTCAGGTTTACCATGGTGGCCTAGATTCAATTGACTCATCAACTCAACTATTAAAATATATTTTATTTTGTTATATCTCAATGAGTAGAAAGATTGCATTTTTGACATTTCGTAACTTCATATTAATCTATTACTTCAGAGCAAATAAATAACCAAACTGAATTAACACAGTCTTAAATAGTACTTTTTAAATTTTTAAAATTTGATTTGATTATTTATCTACTCTGAAGAAGTGGTTTACAGTAGCTCGCGAAACATCAGAAATACAATCTTTCTATTCACTGGAATATAATATAATAAGGTTGTTATATCAGAGCAAAGATTAAATCACAAGTAACTTCTGAGACATATTAGTTAACTAATATTATCTATATATTCTTATGGTATAACTGTTCAATAATTGGGTTATATATATTTATATTCCCCTTATCATAAACTTTATTTTGACCTACGATTTACGGTTCTAAAGCTATATTCAGTTTATTGACTACTGCCTTCCACGTCCACAGTCACTTTTTGGCTTTATTGTATACAAATGTTATTTCCTATTTTATGGTGCGTTGCGGTCTGTTTGGTTGATATATAAACCCAGTATGTCTGAAATAAAAGATTCGATTCGATTCGCATAGTGGAAGCTGGTATTGGTGTTCTGGACTCAAGTGGACGGGCTAGGCGGACATTGGACCAATAAGGACGCTAGGCTGCTCATACCGATCGAACGTCATTGGTTTGGCACAATGCTAAGATCGTATAAGTCGTATTTTGATTGATGGATAAGTCACATGATAAAAAGCCGGACATAAAGTTACAACAAAAATATATTTGTTACTGACTCTCGATCCAATGCTCAATCTATTTGAAACTATCAAGTCAAACCTTAGCATTAGTACTTCCAAACATTGAAATATCTTTATTATTATTATTATTATCATTATTATTATTATTAAGGAATAATTAATAGTTAGATTATGTAAGATATAGATTACTGCAGTTGCTGTAGAGAACTGAATTTACCATCGAATTTAAAAGTTTAAATGTTTGTAGATCTGATAGGGATTGAAAAGTAATCAATGATTATTGGACTAATTTTATGAAAAAATATTTGTCGTTAAATCTAGACTCAATATCAAGAACAATTTTGATGGTTGTGTGATCTGACCTTATTGAATTCACTAATATCAATAAATGAAAATGTCTAAAAACCAATGTGATAGAGCTTATCACTAATTAGTATCTTAATAATTCAGGCTAGACGTTTTGTGAAAATTGACATCATTTTATCCTTCATTAAAAACCAATGGGGTGAGACTGAACAACTGTTTAATCCTACTTTGAAGGTACAACAATGAAGATGACTGAAACCAAGAACTTTGAGTAGATTGATTGATTTTCACAGTGCTGAACTGGAATTTGTATGCTAACAGCTGTAAACGCAATAAGGATAAATCCGAATGAGTTTTTGTGGAGATTTTAGGAAATTTCACAGGTTGAAATCATGAGTCAGTTGAAGCTAGACCACCATTGAAAACCTGGAAGCACTGGACGGCCGTTTCGTCCTAGTATGGGATAAATCCCTTCAGTTATGAATTTCTACTAAAGCTTTAAGAACTCACCATGAAGGTCATCACTACTGGTCTCACCAAATAACTGTTCACTGATATTTCAACTACTGTCAATCCATAATAAAAACATCTATACTTTTATAACATTCTCAACAATGTATGACTAAAATTTGTGTATTTTTCACATATTACAATTTTTACTATTCTAGATACTCAATGGACCTTCAATATCAATATTACTTAGAGCTAATATTGTAAAACCAACATTAACATCACATATAAATACAGTTGATTTTGGTGAAGTTCAACGTGGTGAAGCACGTATAATTACAGTACAATTACATAATCCATCTCCTGTTTCAATAAATTGGTATCGTTTAATACCAGAATTACAAACTACTAAAAATACTACTGATTCAGTTTATCCGGTTAGAGTTCAATATAAATCATACCAAAGTTTATTAAAAGAGAAACAAATAAGGATTTTTGAAGTTATACCAAGTAGAGGGATATTAGAACCGAATGAAAAAACTAATATACAGGTATCTTAATTTTTATAATATTCACTTTATTCCTTTTTTTATTGAATTGATTGAATCGTTTGCAACGGGATATGTGCATTCGTTCTTTATTTTTCCCCCATATCCTTAGATTTTAAATTCCGTTTAACATTTTTTTTTGTTTATATTTCACTAATTAATATTATCTTCTCGAATTGTACTTTCGATGCATAATCTATCCTATTACCACTGATACTGTTACTGGTATTTGGTTTCACAATTTCATCTTTCTGTGATAATAGGATATGGCAACTTGAACCGATGTACATACGTACCAGGTTTTACGTTGTGACTGACTGACTGATTCGAGTTAATAGTATAAATGTTTACATACTATTATATGGCCTTCAATCTAATTCTTCTATTATACTGAACACAATCTGAAGGAAACTAATAAACTGAATAAATAAATGAATCAGGCGATTTATTTGATTCTATTCAATTTTAGAGTCTAAAAAGTACGTTTATACGACGAGTTAGGTGGATTATTAATGTTTTTATTAAGAACAGACTTTGTTACTTCTGATTCTCTGATGGTTGTTAATCTCTAAACAGTATAAATTCTCTGAAGAAATGGATTACACTGAGTCACGAAACGTCAAAAAGTCTAATTTTTTTAATTACTGGGATATCTACAAATGTATTAATCTATTTATAACAATCTACCCAATATTCAATATATTCTAATTTATCAAGTCAAACCTTGGTAATAATACCTACAGTGTAATAACTGTTCAGAATAATATACATTGTATTATATGCATGGTGTTTGGAGCAAATGGTACTGGGTTAGAGTCTCAAAGTGAACTTCAACTCTGAGATGCAGGTACATCCACTTGGCGGGTCCCAAGTAGGACGAAACGCGCGTCCTGAATTCCACTGCTAGCCGCTATCCATCTTTGCATATAATGCTTGTGAATCCAGACTAGATCGAAGCAATACGCACAGGATGCATATATGCCGACAAGAGACTGACCAACTGCAGTCCTAAACATCAATGTGAAGATTCAAACAAACAATACCAAGTGAATTTAATATACATTGTATTTACAATGTAATAATTTGTTCAATGTAACGTTAATCTTATTTTCAGAATGATGTTTAATTAGTATAAAGGTCCTTTGTCCTAAATTAATGTAAACTTTGATCAGTATGAGTTTTTGTAATAAGTCTATACAGTTTCATTTATATGACATCTGTTAATAAGTCATCAAGTGGGTGTAAAAATAATATAAGTGAATGTATTTTGACTAGAGGTGATTTGTTTTTGGAAGATTGATAAATCTTCATATCCATTAGTCTTCTATTTTCTTACATCATGTGGTGGGAATTGTAATAGTTACTGATTTCAGTTCGTTAGCAATAAGACAGTTAAAATATCAAAAAGGGATAATCCAAACCATAATAAATTAATCTACGCAAAATACTTCGGATCTGTTGGCCAAACACTATCAGCATCAACCTACTGTGGGAGAGAACTGCTATAATTGTGACGGCAGATTAGAGGACAGCGAATTATCGATCGGACCAAGGACGCGCAAACACGTATGAACAGCCTAGGGTTCTGATTGGTCCTGCTTCCCTGTCTAGCCCAGCCAGTTGAGTCCAGAACGCAAGTCTCTGCCTCGGAGATATAAATCATTATATTTCAAACATACTCTGTCTATATACCAATCAAGCAGATCACATCGTACCATAAAATAGAAAATAACATTGTACAATATTGACCAGTAGGAAAATGACACCTGAAATAAATATTGACCAATAAGAAAATAACACCATTTCAAGTCCAAGGATAGCGTTAAACTTAACAGAATAATTTTCGGGATATTTTCCTGAATATCCCAACAAGAACAAACCATATTCCAGAAGAGGAAGAAGCACTGAAAGTGGATAGGACACACGTTGAGGAAATCACAAGGCAAGCCCTCACATGGAATCCTCAAGGCAAAAGGAAAAGAGAAAGACCGAATAACACATTATTACCGAGAAGTGAAGACAGACATGAGAATAATGGAAAACAATTGGATAGAACTAGAAATGAAGGAGCAGGCCAGAGTGAGCTGGAGAATGCTGGTTGGCGACATATGTTCCATTGTGGTGAACAGGAGTAATTAAGTAATTAAATATAGTAAATTAAAATAAAAATGTTCAAGGCCTTTGAACAAGTGAGCAGTTATTTGGACTTAGCAGTTAAATAGATAACATCGTGATGTTCGAAGTAAATCATACTGGGTTAAAATTCCATGGTAAAATTAACTCTAGGATACAGGTACATCCACCTGATAAGTTCAAAGTGGAAAGAAACTCACGTCTCGGCTTCTTTTGTATTAATCACACCTATTTCCTTTATTTGTTTAGATAAGGTTTATACCACTTGAAGAGAAGAAGTATGAAACCAAGATTCTATTGAGCATTGAAAATACTGATACAATTTTAAAAATTCACTGTCAAGGTAAAGGTTTAGAGCCACAATTAATATTCGATCGTGTTATGTTACAATTTCAACCAATTTTACCATATTCATTAATTGGAAGTGAAGAAATTGTTACTATAACCAATCCATGTGATTACCCAATAGAATTTTATTCACTTGAATTGGATAAACAAGTTGTTCAAGTAAGTATATATAAATTTATGACAGATTTAAACGAATATTATGACCTTCATGTTGTTTTGTGTAGAAGAAAACTACGTTTACCTTTGTCTAGTTAACATTGACAAAAATCATATCGTTATTAGAAAAGGTGTGAACATCAACACTAAATTGCAGATACACTGAACTGACTAGTCCCACGTAGGACGAATCGAGAGTCCTGGATTCGATTGTTAGCCAGAATCTGTCGGCTCAATATAAAATCTAACTAGGTAATGAATGAAATATGAGATATATGTGTTAACCAGGATCTTTCTCTTTTCTAACCGGTTTAGGTGTTATAAACGTTCTATTTTTGTTTCTTGTTCATAATATGCTTGATATAGAAAATACATAATTTTGATGGAACGTACGTTATGACAATCTACTTATATTCACACACTTCTACAACCTTATATTTTAAAAACAGTACTATTGTGACATGGAGCGTCCGAAATCTGATACTGATGCACAGTGTGCTATGCGCCACCCTCCTCCCAACTGGTTACTTGAATAAGGACACAAAAGTGAACGAGAAAGTGTATTGGGCACAAATACTCATTCATAAATATACCGCTCTATCCTTGACCCATTGACCCCAACGAAATGCACTTGACCTTTAGGTTACTTCTGATCGGTTCTCTATATCAAGTACTTGAAGAAGAACTGAGATTATTATTGAATCAGCTAACTTTATTTGAAGAATCTCACTAATGTCTTCTCTAAATGTAGTCATCTTCAATTCAAAATACAATTTCCAGTAGATTTACTTACTTAGTTACGCCTGTTAATCCTCGTGGAAGAGCATAGGCCACCCAACAGTACACTCCTGGACAATCCTTTCCAGTTTTTATTCATATTTTTCATATTTGCTTCTATTTCCCAACGTAATGTTCTTTAGTCTTCCTCTTTTCCGCTTCCGTTCAGGATTCCAAGTTAGGGTTTGCCTCGTGTTGCCAACCAGTAAATTTAAGCAAACTTTAAATCAAAATGATTGTGTTGAACAGTGTGAAATAAATAAATTCGATGCATATAATCTTTTTCTTTTTAATATTAAAATTACTTTATAATTTTTTAATGAAATTTATTTATTCAAAAGTTAGATTATATATTTTGTGACAATTACGTAAACAGTTTATACATTTATTGATTGAGATCATGAACCGATTGCTTTTAGACCACCACTGAAACCTGGATGGCCATTTCGTCCTATTGTGGGATTTCATAGCAAAGCTCATCCGTGACCCTCCTCGTGAGATTCGAACCCAGGGCCTTCAGTTTCACGCGCCAACGCTTAACCTATAGACCACTGAGTCGGCATTCGACGGTGTTAATGTCTAACTTCAGTTTACATTAGTTATATAATCTCATTAGTAAATTCTTTTCCTTATTTTTTCTTCAACTAGGAGGATGAAATATTAAGATCTATAGATGGATATGATGAATATGGAAGATTATTATTACCATTACGTAAACCAGGTGATTTGTTACCTTCAGAGGTTATTGCTTACTACGAAGAACAAATAAAATTGCCAATTCTAAATTATCTGATGAATTAGAAGAAACTATTCCTCTAGAAAATAGTGATGAGAAAAATGTCAAAGAGTTAAAAGTAAGTATATATAACTTCTTTATATTTATTATTTTTACTAGGATAAATATTAGTTTTGAGTACTGTTAGAGGTATGAGGGCGGTTATCACTTCTCAGTTGCTCACACTGTGGAAGGGTTCTGCTAGAGGTACTTAAAAGTGGAATTGAGTGAGAGTTGGTCTTGGTGACCTGAGAGTGTGAATGCAGTGCCCAAGAGACAATTACTTGAAGCCGGTCACACATAACCTTTTTGTGAGTAATTTTCGTGTTGGCTCCGTACTTGTTGGGATCTCACTATCGGATCGGAAATCCGTGGGACAGGGTGAGATGTACATTTTTAGAGTCGACCTTTTCTAACCCTTCATTGTGGGAAGGCAGCGTCGCTGTTATACTGGTTTTCTAAGGGAAACACCTTACTGCCGTCACACCTCCATACAGTCAGCAGTACAACTTCACTTCGGACCTTGGGTTTGTTGCTTTTAATCTTACTGTTCTTCAACCAACCTGTCTGACAAGATACGATCTTAAGGAATGATTGTCCCAACCAGTATAGCTCGATTGGTTCATCACGATAGGCAAGTCCAACCACAACGTCAAGGTAGCAACAGCGGTCAGGACGATAAGCAATTATAGTAGTTTGAGGTTTTTGTGCGTGCCAGTTTGACGAATGATAGTTGAAATCAATTAAAAAAATATTTATGATCACTTAACTCTTTTGCATAATCGTATAACGCATTTACAGCTAAATTTAGATGCCTTTATAAGTAAGAGAATTCGGGAGATGAAAGAACATCATCATTTTTTTCAGAGTATGCTATTAGTTGACGTGGATGAGTGTACATTGGATAAATTAGCAACATGTTTTGTTAATATATATAGTCTGAATGCAGGTGATGATTGATACAAACAGATTTCCGATTAGAAAGTTCTTATTTGGGGCTTGATGTACCTGATTCTTAGCAAGTTTGAATTTTGAGCTGAAACTGGACAATGTAGCCATTGTATAGAGAGACGATTAAATATAGTCATCTTGATATGTCAGGCAAAATCCCTCCTCACATTTCCTTATTTAGCTCAATACAATATCATATATATATATATATATATCTTTTTTTCCAGTTCATAGGAGTTTCTTCATCAAGTACATCATTAAAAGAGGTGAAAAAATCTAGTACAACCACCACTAATACAACTCCAACAAATAATACTACTTCAACTAGTACATCAGAACGTAATAAATCTGATCATCGAAATGTATTGTCTGAATTAATTCTCGATGAGATTAAACATGAAGGTAGTAAAATATCAAATTTCAATAATTTCAGTAATGGAAAACAAACATTAGATGTTACACCTGTATCACTAGCAATATCACGACATTTGGGTATGGATTTAACTCATGAGTCATATAAATCAGGTAAATTCGGTATTGTAATTCTTGTCAATGGAGCATTAGAATCTATTAGACGTGGTAAGTTATTTATATTTAAATTAAGCATTTGCCATAAGCTAGTTAAGTATTTAGTGGTTAGTAATCCTCATTTTTCATGCTTTTAAAAAATTAACTGACATAAACTAGATAAGAAAACGTTTGAGACAGTAAAGTACTGAATATGTTTCTTACACACAACTCCATAAGGCATTAAACCATTGACATATAGGTTTCAGGATGACCACATTAGTTTGATATCCAAAGGTTCTGCCACTGATTTCATTTAAAATTATCTATTGGCACGAGAAGTTTACAGAATATCAGTGTCCTGTGACTTATGATAGAAAAAATTTAAACGTTTGGCATGCTTAGTTAATGTTATCCTGGGACCACAGAGTAGGTAATGTAGGTGTTAGGAAACGGGTACTAGGTAAGGATGGCAAATCAATTGATGAAGTAGTGAAACTTCATCAGCTCAGATGGCTGGGACACGTGTTACTTATGCCCAATTACCGACTGCCCCAAACTGCGATGTTTTATGGTGTAAGAGTTGGTTGGAAGAAAGCGAGGGGGGACCAGATCAAAACATGGCACAAATTCATGAAGTCACTGACATGTGGATTGAACCATGTTAGTAGGTGAGGACTATCTGGTTCCGGGCATCCGCGAGATGATAGCAATCGATGATTAGAGACCTTGAATCACATGGCTCAAATTCGTTTGCAATGGCGCAGGTGCATCCACTCTTTGTGTTCTCCTAAATTCTAATCTTCTGAATTCTTCATGTCCCATTTCTTTTTCTCTTTCCAAATTTATTTCACTGTGTTATATTCCTTGAATAACATCTTCAAATCCTAATCTTTCCGATTACTGTTAATACTCTTACTACCTCTACCACTATGGGATTTGAATTGACAAGTGTATCTTTGTGCTAATGTGGTGTGGCACCTGGGACTGATGTACATACGTACAGAGTTCTACGTTGTGACTGATTGACTGATTTTTAATCACCGATCACATCTTTATTCAATGTGATTAAAAATGTAAATAATTACAATAGAAACTGATGTGATTAAATGAAAGTATTATTAATTCATCAAATTTGTTAAACTAAGTTATACAGATAGTAATCATTGTATAATATCTAGTATGTTTTTGGTTTAATATCAGTATCCAAATTGTCAACTTTTGTATTCACTAAGACATAATTTCATGGTTTAAAGAAACTATGATGATCTTTATATTTGCTTCAAATAAACTTTCAAGATGATTTCATGAATCACATTTTTCATTAGCAAAATCAAAAATCCTAAATAGTTCAATTAAAGGCCAATTACCATTATGTGTACATAGATATAGATTCAAGTTTTACAAAGAGTAGGTTACCATATGATTTGAAAATGATTGTCAAAGTTTATCAATCTTAAAATCGATAGCTTAAAGTAAAAGACAAATTTACTTTCCAGAAATGAATTACTCTGTAGATATTAGGTGTTCTACGATGTTATTATAAAGGAATGAGTGATTTACAATCATTTTTCAATTGCTTACCAAATAACACTAAACAATTGCTATGGACTGAGAACTTTGGAAAAAGATTGTTTGTAAGTTACTCTGTTTTAACATAGGATAAAGAATGAATCAGTTTTTTAAACTGAAGTGTGTATGCTTGTTGAAATCAGTTAACAAGAAACTCGAACCTTATGCTAGATAGAACTTGTCAGCAAGTTTTACCTGTAATCTTGTGCGAACAAATGGGTCATCAGTTACTGAAAATCATGCCACTCATTGTCAACCAAGCACGTTATTCGTTAACTTATTTGAACACATAATCATTGGTGCAAGGGGGCACTAAAACATATGCGCCACACAATGAAAGTGAGGTCATGAAGAGATAGAGAAAGAAAGTTTAGTATAATCAAGCACAAAACAATGATGAATAAAAATTAGTGCATGAAAATGAAATAATAATAAGAATATTAATGATATGGGGAGCAGTTCAGTCAAAAAAATACAAGCAGAAAGAATTCTTCCAGTTAAAGAAGTTACGTTCACTTTTATGAAGAAAGTAAAAGAAAGTTACAATAGGATTGCCACTAGTTTCTATTCTGAGCCCTATCTGATAAAGTCACAATCCACTGTGTTGCACCATCTCTAAGACTTCAACCAGGGAGTTGTGAAAGACCAACAGAAGCCGGTTCTGCACAATTTTCTTGCATTCCGTGAGAGCATGTCATACATGCACCACCTCTCTGCCTTTTCTAACTGGTTCCAGTGTCGACAAATAATGCATGGCGTGGAGTCCTCTTGGACGACATTCGTAGAACATGTTCAAGTCACCGAAGTCAATGTTTGAAGATAATGACACCAATTGAATTATCGTCGCTGTGCCCAAACACATGATGCCGAACCTCTGTATTACTAACACGGTGTTGCCACTAGATTTCAGCAATCCTTCGGAGACAACGATGATCAGACACAGAGAGAGTTGTCTAACATCTTCAACTCGGAGAGGTCAGGTTTCAAAAGCATAGAACAAAATTGCACTCACTAAAGCGTTGTAGATCTGACCTTTTACAGCCAGACTGACATCTAGAAAGCGCCAAAATGGCTGATGTCGGCATAGATCTCTCCAGCCTTCATTATACATGAATTGATCTCATCACTTATGCCACCATCAGCACTTACACACCTGCACACACGCACAGACTTGTCGATCAATTGTATCTTCTCACTCTTAGATATAAGTGCAAGCATATGCCTTACCTACTGACACTAAATACTAACTAATTAAGTGTGAATTGTATGGCTTAATTGTCATTGCACCTCTATTATTGTTCTATTCAAATTTCAACAGTCCTCCTATTAAATTAAGATATTTACACTTGTTAATCACTTAGTAATTCATAATTTTCTACAATAAATCATGTTTTTCTTATTTTTGTATATGATTTCTGTATTTTACAGATATTGTCAAAGATTTAGCTAGTAAATATCAAGCAACTGTAATTAACCTTAATCAAATTATTATTGAAGCATTACTTACAAGTACAACTGATGCAGCTTGTCAAGCAAGACAAATCTGTTTAAATGTTGGTCTAGAAATAATTCAAGCAAAATTGTATACAAAACAAAAAGAACTTCAAGAACATGAGCTAGAACAATGTCAGTTACAACAATTAGCTGATTTAGAAGTTAAATTAGATTCACCTGTAGAATTATCAGATGATGCACAAAAAGATGAAGGTAAATAATTTTAATGAATAAGAAATATGAGATTCAAATTGATAGATATGGTTGAAATCAATCGGCGTGATTGGTTTAAGTTAGACATTTACATCAATGGTCCATAAGTTGAGCATTCGCGCGCAAGACCGAAGGTTCTGAGTTCCAGTCCTGCTTGTGGAATCGTGGTTGTGCACTTCCGAGGAGCCTATACCAGGACAAAACGGCCGTTCAGTGCTCCGATGTTTGCAGTAGTGGTCTAACGTTGATCGACTCATGATCTCAATAGAAAATTGATGAGAAATGATATACTTTGGTTTTTTGTTAATCAAAATTTTCTAATGAGGTAAAAATGTAGTCTTAAGGAAACTAACCATTCGTATACTACTTATATCTGTATGATCAGGTGTCAAAGTTGAAGATTTCATCATTGAATTTTTCATGCTGCTAGTAATTTCCTTTGGGACAGAGATATTTACATTGATTTAGTCAGTGAGTAGTAACCAGTGTTACATTTTACCTAGTATTTAGTGTTGATCCAACAGTCTAGGAGACAGTTAGGAACAATCTGCATGAAGCCATGAACTTCAGCCCTATTTCTAGTTGACATATGTCACCAAGGTATTTGATAAAGTTATCTCGTTAGTTCTAAATAGCGATAATTAATGATGAAATAATCTCCCGGTTACTACCTCACCTTCTATCACCAGCTTTTGGATTAATATATAAATCGAACTATAAAACTGTGAATATAGTATACACTTTGACAATCAAAGTAAAACATGATCATTTAATTAGTCCTTCTGACGTATCCCTGTATGATTCGATGTTCATACAAGCTGTGCTGACACCTACATGAAATTTCATATGATGATAATGTTAGGTCTATTGAGTATTAAATATTTGATGCCATAGGAAATCTTCAGAATAAAATAAAAAGTCTATTCGATAGGTTTCGTGAAAAATATACCTTACACTTGCATAAGATGCATATATATATATATATATATATATATATATTGAAGTAAAACGTTTTCGGTTTATTCTGCTCTTGTACAGTTTATATCATATAATTTGTATTCCATATACTTTAATTTAAAGTGTTATTATTTCAATTTGAGCACATTGCAATACGTTCTGCTAAACGTTAAACAAGGTGAGAATTATTGTGTAAGATTAATAGAGTGTGTAGCGGCTGGTGATATGTTAAGCCCACCAATTTATTCATTCTACATTTTGATCTTGTCATTTATTTACTTACTAACCCTGACTTTTTATGTGAGTGTATGTGTGTTAATTATTTACCTGATTTATGATGTGTCTAACTTATTTTGGTTTCACTATAAATATCGGTTCACACTTTATTAAATCGTGTTAGTTCACATGCCATCTCCTATTCGTTTCGCTTCACTGTCCTCCAATTCCCGTTCTTCGCTTCGTTTCTTTGGTCATCTGTATGGATCAAAGATTGTATAAAATATACCTATTCGAAATCCATTCTCGTATTTGACTCATTGAATTCAGTTATTCACCAACACGATTTAAGTCAAAAATTGTATATGAGGATTGGCGGCACGTGTATTTCGATAGCAATCATCATACGATCTGATTGGAGTCAGATAAAGGGTCATTAAAGTGAAACCAGTAAATAACACTAAACAGTGACAAGACTATTTTTTTCATTTCTAATCAGTCTTATAAGAAAGTCAATAGGGTTCCACATTAACAATAACTGATATCCTTCAAGTTTCTGGTGCAGCATAACATAGCCTTTTCTTAAAAGCTCATATGAGGATAAAATGAAACTACAGAGAGTATGAATTGTATACAAATTAATATTTTGGTTTACATCAAAGATACATTGCGTTTCCACATAGTAGACGTGAGCGAAATTTTTCTTCATTACTAATGTTATAACTTGTGTTTGTGGCCAATTAGAGAACAGTAAATTATCGACCGGACCAATGACACATAAAACAAGTACTAGCAGTCTAGAGTCTTTTTATCGGTCCTGCTTCCCGCCTAACCCTTTCTGCTAAGTCCAGAACACCACTCTCAGCCTCTGCAATATGAATCATTTATTTCAAACATACTCGGTTCATTTAACAACCAAACAGATCACATCATATCATGATATAGGAAACAACATTTGTACAAGATTTAACCAAAAGTGACTGTGAATGTGGGAGATAATAATTGATAAACTGGGCATAACTCGAGAATGGTAAATCGTATAATAATAGTTCATAGGTCAAAATGAAGCTTATGATAAAAGGAACACGAATATGACTAGTTTAGTTATTTAACAACTATATAATAAAAATATACTTGTAGTATTAGTTCAGATATAGATTCCAACAATGACCATTCATTATTCTCATCGGGATATAACAATTAACAAAATATACATGAAGATTAAAAAGAAAAAAAACTAACACAAAAATAAAAACTGAGGAACAACTGGTTTTACTTTTTTTTAAAAATGATAAAGTATATTTGAGTCAAGTCAGTCAGTCAATCAGCTACAACGTAGGACCAGGTACATGTAGGCATCGGTTCAGGTTTTCAAGTAATTCCCTGAGATTATTTCGTTCATTTTCATATATAATCTTCAATATAATAGTTTGATATCTAACAGAGACTATCATTCAAAATTTGCTAATAACCTATTCATTTTAATCTAATCTGAATGTGACAAATTTCATCATACACAGTAAAATCATCTACATTTCTTATAAGTGTCTTCAATAGAATAAATGAATATATGATGGAAAGTCAATCCGTTATCATCATTGTAAAGTTTCTCATAAATAATACATTTTCAGAATGGGTTTTGCGGAGATTTTAGAAATTTCGCTGGTTGAAATCATGAGTCAATTGAAGCTAGACCACCATGAAAAAACTGGAAGCACTGGACGGCCGTTTCGTCCTAGTATGGGACTCCTCAGCAGTGCACATCTACGACCCCGCTTCTCGTGAGATTCGAACCCAGGACCTATCAGTCTCGGTGTACGGTGGCGCCACTTCGTGGATTGGTTGAGGTTAAACATTAACACCGTTGGATGCTCGCTCAGTGGTCTAGTTGGTTAAGCGCCTGGCGCGGGACTGATAGGTCCTGGGTTCGAATCTCGCGGGGAGAGGGATCGTGGGTGCGCACTGCTGAGGAGTCCCATAGTAGGACAAAACGGCCGTCCAGTGCTTCCAGGTTTTCCATGGTGGTCTAGCTTTAATTGACTCATGATTTCAACCAGTGAAATAATACATTTGTCCAAGTTGTCATACTACATTAGTATGACAAAGAGAAACTAACAAATTTAACTCCCAAAAGTAATTGAAATAATTTTTCTAGCAGTAATTATGAGAAAGATTAAAGAATAAAAATAATGGCATGAAAAAATAGACTGGAAAAGTATGTATAAAGAATTACAGAGATGCAAAATCTTGAGTAAAATTAGATAATGAAATTCATTGTGAATGATACTAACCCATCTTGTTTAACACTGACAATCATTGATCATGATTATTTCACGGAATCCAACCTGATAGTCTACGTCTACCTACATGACTCAGACCAACAATCAATGACTTTATGGACTGATGCCTAATTTGCCCAGTTCATAGCTTTGTTCAGACTTACTTCTATACCAGGAAACACTGTTCATAGATGTAGTCATAATTAACATATGTTTTAAAAACTTCATTTAACCAAGGTAAACTCATTTAATCAAAAAGACAACTCTTTGATGCGCACAAAGAAGTGGGAATGTTCTTACGTGTACAGTGCTATTTAAATGCTAATAAAACGGAATTTGTGAATCTTTTGGTTTATAGAAATAACCAGAAGAATCTATGGAATTGATGCATAAGCAACTGTACAAGTTATTGATTAAACGAGTTAATTACATTCTATAAAAAACAGAAACATTACAACATAATTCAGTCTGGCGTTAAAGAATTGATTCATGTTTTGTAATCATGACAAGATAGTAATTGCGATTCGTGCTTATTAAATAATCAATCAAGCTCTGGATTGTCATTTTGTTTTTTAAACATAGAATCTTAGTCTTTCTCATTGTATTAAATAATTTCTGTGCAAACTCGTCCAAAGTTAAAGTGCTAGGGAACCAACCAAGATAGTTTATAATTATTAAAAGGTCAAGCTAAATTGATCAAAGATAACCTGAAGTTTATCTGAAACACGTTGTATTACTTTTAATGTTCTTTAGAAAGCAATGGTTTTGTGATTTCATGTAACTCATTGATAGTAAAGTTTCATTTCATTCACTTACGGTAAAACTATGACTCGTCTATAATTTAAAAAGTTACATGCTAGTTACTGCTTCGTATTATTTAGTTTGACTGACCTTAATACTACTGTTTACTTTCTTCGGTAAAGAATGATCCAAAACTTATATTATTATTAATATTATTGAAACTCACTGCTTGACGGGTGTAGTACTGGCCCTACGTCGAGCCCACATAGGTTGTTCTAGTTTCCGGATAGAACAATTTATTCATTCTTCTCAAAAATATATTTTAAACTTGACACTTATTCGTGGTGGGATTATAATTTATGGACGAACCAATCACGTACAAGATACCAGATCTCGGATTTTGGCGCGAAATTCACCCATCCATTTCGATAAATAGAATTTTGGCATTCTAGCTGATGTCAGTTCATGATGAAAACCCTAACTGTAATTCCTAACTTTAACTATCAAATGTAAATCATAATTCTAATTCCTGACACTGGTTTATAACCCTCATTTGGTTCTAGTTATTAGGTGAACACTCTCAAGGTCAGTTTATCGCCGTTTAAATGTCATCCATAAATTATAGTCTCATCCTTATTCGCTTACCAGTCTTGAATGTTTTTATCTAAGAGTACATGTGTGCATTCTTTGTCCTACTCATCATATGTCTGACTATAAATATCGGTTCACACATAGTTAAATCTAGTTGGCTAATTCACCTCCATTTCGTGTTATTTTGTTTTGCTTCGCTTTCCGATCAACGATTATGAGAAATATACGTATTCAAACTCCTTTTGTTGTATTTGACTTATTTAATTCCGTTATTCATCAACGTGGGCTTGAGCCCACAAATATATACGAGGTAGCTAACTCAGTCAACAAACTCATCGATAGTATCATCATGTCACTACTATATGTGATTGATTCATCTACTTTTGATTTATTTTTAAACTTGCTTTTTTTTCAAAAAAACTAATTTTAACAGTTGATCTATCTACTGCATCTATTAGTGGAGAACAGTCCAAAGTAACCACTGGTCAACAACATAAAACATCAGTTAATCGACAAGGTCAAGTTCCACACAAAATGATGGGATATCGTGGTGCATTAAATGTACCTCGAAAATTAAACGATACTGTAAGTTTGTAAATTTTATAATAGATCAACTGAATTATAACAATTATAGCAGCATTCAAGGAGCAGGGTAATTCGTAAGAAAAATGAAAATATATTTAAGATAAATTGTTCCATACTAGTTGTTCCATTGTTCCTTTTTAATGGTATCCAACTGAGGTCAATCCGTAACAAACATTAAAGTGAAAATAGTTTATTTATGAATTCTAGAATAATTAGTTTTCATTCGAGTTGATCAATCATCTTATATTTGACATTACCTAAGAAAAATTTTGCCAAGTCCACATTACTTATGAATTTATAACTATTAAAACTGTCAAATATGCTATTGAATATACTTCTTGACTCAACTATTCTATTTATTTTCGAATATTCTATCGGTATCTTTAAATATATAAAGACACTTAAAACTTCAATCTTTATTGAAGTCTTATACAGAATCGTGGACTGGTTGGGGATAGACATTAACACTGTTGGATGCCAGCTCAGTGGTCTAGAGGTTAAGCGTCCAAACTCAACATCGAAACCCTCAGTTTGAACCGCACGGGGCGGAATCAAGGATGCTCAATTCTGAGGAGTCCCACAACAGGACGAAACGGACATCCAGTGCTTCCAAGTTTTAAATGTTGGTCTAACATCAATGGGTTCAAGATCTCAATCAAAAACTCAAAAACCTCCACAACCTTATACCGATAATCATTGTAAAATTACTTATACGTCAGTCAGTAACAACGTAGAACTCTGTACGTACGTACATCAGTTGCATTTGCCATACCACATTAGCACAAAGATACAACTGTCAATTCAAATCCCATAGTGGTAGAGGTAGTAAGAGTATTAACAGTAATCGGAAAGATTAGGTTTTGAAGAGGTTATTCAAGGAGTATAATCCAGTGAAATAAATTTGGAAAGAGAAAAAAGGTAGGGACATGAAGAATTCAGAAGATAAAAATTTGGGAGAACACAAAGAGTGGATGCAACTGCGCCATTGCAAACGAATTTGAGCCATGTGATTCAAGGTCTCTAATCATCGGTTGCTATCATCTCACGGATGCCCGGAACCAGATAGTCCTCACCTACTAACATGGTTCAGTTCACTTGTCAGTGACTTCATGGATTTGATCTGGTCCCCCCTCGCTTTCTTCCAACCAACTCTTACACCATAAAACATTGCACTTTGGAGCAGTCGTTAATTGGGCATAAGTAGCACATGTCCCAGCCATTTTGTCTTACGCTCATTGAAAAAATGATTGACTAACAGTTAGTCCATGCTCAAATCAGTATATATCAGTTACCAACATGATCATGTAAAATGATTAAATTAACTTGCTGGTCTTATTACTCATATTCCTCATTAATTTTTCTTTTGTTTATAAGTCATCAACTATACCTGAATATAATACAACATGCAAATCACGACGAATTACATATTCAATATTTGATGATATAATCAAATCATCTATTGAGAAATCAACATTAAATTTATTAAATAATGAACAATTATATACAACAATTTTACCTGATGATATAATATTACATTTAATACATGAATATTTCAATCAACATAGTAACAATAACAATAATAATAATACGAATAAAGGTATCATTATAGATGGAATTGAATCAGATTTTACCAAAAATAGCATAGCAACAATAGAATTATTATTAAAATATTTTAAAAATAATTATAAATATATTTATACAATAAGTATTAAATTCAATTATGAACAATATAAACAATATATCAATGAAAAACAAATAAAATTAAATGAAATCAAAAATGTATTCAATAAACAATATCATGAAAAGTTAATTGATTTAACTGATTATGAATATGATGAATTAAATGAGAATGAACGTCAAATCATTGATCATTTACAATATGAATTACGTCATGAAAAACATCAAATTGAATTAGAAAAAAAACGTATACAAGAAGAACAATTACGTGAAGAACAAGAAGCTGAAATGAAACGATTAGAAATGGAAAGGTAAATAGTTTTGTTAATCTTTTCTTTAAAAAAAGTAATATTTAGATATATGTGTACTACTTATATATTGATATAAGTAGTATATTTCTGGTAGCAAAACGATTGAGAAGATCAGAAAGTAATTGGTGTGGAAATACAGGAACAATGAAGTTTGCGACAATGAATGAACATTTTGTAAATGAAATATTAGACTATGGTTTTCTGTTTTACCAAGTAACTCTGTAATTTTGTCCTGAACATAAGTCGGTTGTTCTAACCAGAGTTCTGTTCACTACATTTGGTGTCAGTGACAGCCGTTGTGGGCCTGAGGCCGAGTTGCTAGTTGAGGCAGTTTGGTACAGAGAGGTGACGTCGAGTGTAACGTTCTGGCGGGGTGGAGTTGGCTGTAGCGAGTAATGTCGACGGAGAGGAGCCGTGGGAAATGCGGTTTCTGGGCGGACATCGAATATATATGGCTAAACAGGTTGCTGGAGGGCAGGCGTGGGGCTTCCCAGGTGCCGGGTGGATATCAGGTGTTGGTGCCTTGGCAGGTCGATGAAACTATGGAGGTCAGCGCTCCACCATCTCGACATTTTGACAGGGACGTGACAGTACCACCGCAAGAACGGATGCTTTAAAGAGGGGGAGCGGGTGTAGTATGAGTTACTTATATCCACATAATTAGTATATAACGATGTTCAGGAATGGAATGTATTTCAGTAGATAGATCCAGAAGGAAATAATGGGAACGAAAACAATTGGTATGAAAATGAATGAACAAGGAAATCTGAGACGATGGACTGATATTTGCAAAAACAATAGTCAAGTTTGAGACAATTAATTAATATTTTGCAAATTAATTATTTATTGTATAGTTCTCTTATTTTAGTGAGATGTTCTGTAAGTTCTTGTTCAAATACATTCGATTGTCCCCACTCGTATTCTCGTTCACTACAATATATTCGGGAAGTAATATGTATTTTTAGTTCTTGTGATATTGTTTGATTTTATATGAAGTCCCAAAAACACATGTATTTTGAGGATATATAATGGTTTGGAGAGAGTTTAAGACTTTATCAGTAGAAGAATTATCTAGGATGAATGTAATCAGTTATCATTCTGTTTCAACGTTTAGATATGTTTATTTAAGTTACATTTTTTCTTCCACAAGTGTCTCAAGAATCAACATTCTATACTGTTGTTTTCGAACTAAATAATACCCAGAGCATGGACAAAAGAAGGACATTTTAAACACATCCTAACAAATATATACTTGAATGATAAATCATGTCAGATGAAGTTACGAAACTAGTTTACTTAGATGAATGGTGAATCACGTTATTTTTAAATGTTTTCAGTTATTATATGACCCATGACATGTTTGTAGTCAATAAGATATAAACAAAAATACAGAAGTGTTTTGGGAACTACTAGTCTACAACAATTATAAGACCTAAACGGATGTCAAATAGATTTCGAAAAGGTGTATATTATGTATAGAGCTTTAATCTAAGCTACACATGTACGGTGGATCATAGCTATCTACAGATGGAGAGTTAAGATAGTTATTGGTAATCGATTATAGGTGGTGTGTAGCAATGTTAGTGAATCATGTGAGATCCTAAGCAGTGTAGTTAAGTAAACGTTTCATGCTATTAACAAGTATTTATTGTGGTGAAGTGAACTTGTGCTGTAACTAGGATGCTATATTTCTTCGAAACATGTGTCAGTAGTTTGACTGAAAGCATCCATAGATGGTGCGGATAAAAAAAACATTAATACCAAAATGGAAATCAGGTGATTATTTTGAAATTCTTTCATAAATATTGTTGATTCTGACGTTAATCTTGTACTAATGAGTTGAAAGTTTGTTGAAAGGAAGGTAGTTTTAAGTAAATTAAGACATTCTATTAATATGTAGACTTCATGAATCGTGATCTTAGTTACATGAGGCACTCTACATGATAAACTGGTTTATAATTTCTTCTTCGTTGAACTTTACATACCATTTTTGTGTATTCTAAGTCTAGGTATTACCTGAATGTCTATCTTATTTGGATAATTTCCTCCTTGTACTGTTTGTAATAGGTAACATTCTATATACCGTTGCACATTTGCATAATGTTATTTAATATTTTGTGATTTTAGTTTAAAAGGTAAATTGTATTTATCTCATATTTTCTTATCAGAAACATGAAGAAAAGAGGTAAACGACAAGATGAAAAAATAACTAAACCAATTACATCGAATCAAGTATCAGTTAAAGATAATCGTGCATTATCTGGTCGAATGAGTTCAAAACCTGTGAAAGACATCAATAGTAATTTGGGAAAATTAGATGCAGTAGATAAATCCCCTTTATCAGTTTTAGAAGAAACGTTAGTTATAATTTTTAGTTTGATTACGTTTTATTTATTTATATATACCTAAATATGTATTGACTTATCTATTTATTTAGTTTTATAATCGAATTTATTATTCTTACTTACTTACTTACTTATTTACTTACTCCTGTTAACCCAATGGAGCATAGGCCGCCGACCAGCATTCTGCAAACCACTCTGTTATGGGCTTTCCTTTCTAATTCTATCCAATTTTTGTTCATTCTTCTCATGTCTGTCTCCATTTTTCGATGCAATGTGTTATTTGGTCTGCCTCTCCCCCTTTGGCCTTCAGGATTCCAAGTGAGGGCTTACCTTGTGACGCAGTTGTGTGATTTCCTCAATGTGTGTCCTATCCACTTCCAGCACTTCTTCCGAATTTTTTGCTTTTCTGGAATCTTTTTTGTTCTCCCCCGCGATAGGTTGTTGCTGATAGTGTCTCCCCAACGGTTCCAAAATATTTTGCGTAGACAACTGTTAATAAACACTTGTATCTTGTGGATGATGACTTTTGTAGTTCTCCAAGTTTCCGCCCTATACAGTAGAACTGTCTTGACATTTGTATTAAAAATTCTGACCTTGATGTTGGTTGACAGTTGCTTTGAGTTCCAGATGTTCCTCAGTTGTGAATATGCTGCTCTTGCTTTTCTGATCCGCGCCTTCACAACTGCATCAAATCCACCGTGTTCATCAATGATGCTGCCTAAATATGTAAAGGTGTTTACATCTTCCAAATCTTCTCCGTCAGTTGTGATTGGATTGGTGCATGTTGTGTTGTATCGGAGAATCTTGCTTTTCCCTTTGTGTACATTGAGGCCTACTGCTGCTGAGGCTGCTGCTACACTGGTCATCTTCTCCTGCATTTGTTTTTGCGTGTGCGATAGAAGAGCCAGATCATCTGCCAAGTCTAGATCGTCCAGCTGCATCTTAGCTGTCCTCTGTATCCCATCATCCCCCCTATATGTTAACGTCTTCATGATCCAGTCGATTACCAGGAGAAATAGGAAATTATAGGAATGCAGATTTTGAGTGATTATACTGTGATGAATAAAACTCATACTATAACTGTTGTCTTGTAGAATTCCCATTTCAACAAAACCTTAACTATTAAATAACACTGTATGGATTATGCTAGAAAGATTGGTTATTTGTAATAGATGCAACCTTCTTGCGTGTCATATTTATTTATTAAGCCGAGAATCGACCATGAACAATATTATACAAAAAAAACAACTGGTGAGAAAGGAGAAAAGAATACTGTAAGAAATATGTTGAAATGTTTGTCAATTTGAGGTTGTTCACCTTTATGCAAAGTTTCAGTTTGCTGTGTATTTCTTGGAAAGTAGTAGAAATATCTGTTGAAGATCAAATACAGGCAGTTATTTCACTGATCATGTTTTAAACTTATCACTAGGTAAAAGAGGGTACTTTATTAAATGATGGTTATATAGATCCAATAAAAGAAAACTCTCCCAATAAGTTATTTACTAAATCTGGGAATAATATAAGTCTTTATATTTTTAGTTATGATGGTTGTTAAAGTAAAATTATATCTATTTGAAATTTTATAATGCTTTAACATAATGTATTTCTCTAAAAAAAATACCGAATATCAGACGCCGTACATCACGATCTCATGAAAAACATCGTAGATCTGCAACTAGTTTCAAAGATGAAGCATTAGCTGAGGAAGAAGTTGGAGCGTGTATGACAGAAGAAGAACACCTATTATATCAAACGTAAGTCTTTAAGAAAATTTAAAATTTAAGTGAAAAAGAAAGTATTTTATTGACTTTGTGTTCGTTTTCTGAATCTTCCCATTGACGTTGAGGACTGCAATTGATTCCATCACCAACCACCATTCATTTCTGCTTACAATGGTTGTAACTCAAGGTAATATCAAGGCAGTCTGCAGAGGATGCATATATGCCAAAAGAGATCAATCACAACCCTAAATGTCAATGGGAAGATTCAAAGTGTACAAAGCGATTGCGTTTGAAGTTAGCATTATCTGGTTTGAGTTTTGGAGTCAATATCAAATCTGGGATGCAAATACAGCCAGCTGACCATACCGGAATAGGACGAAATGTAGAGTTTATCTCGTTAAGGTTTACTAACTTAGGTGTTTTATTCACTTGTACAGATCTTTCCACCATGCTAATCGAAAATTTGATAATATACGTTCGTACCTAAATACGTTTCTTATTGATTTATATTAATGGCTCTTTTTCTTATACTATTCAGCTTGAAGTCATTTGAAGGTGACTTTCGTTCTCTGTGTGAATTACTTAGTACATGGAATCGCGTTACGTTACAACAACAAGTATCATTATTAGAATCACATGAAGAAAGTCCAACCTCAACTATTGTCAATTTACCTATTGGTAAACGTGCTAGACAAAGTGGTTTAAATTTTCCATCTAACACTGTCAGTACTAATTTAAACAAAACGAAACATTCAATTGGTAAAGTTGATCCTCCCAATATACAAGTTATAAATGAAAATATAACTGTTTTATTACCACCAATCTATTGTGATGTGAATATAATGAATGACAACCAACCTAATAATAATAATAATAATAATAATAATAATAATCTAGTTGAAATGAAAAATGACAAAGACTCAACTGATAATGGTGTACAAATTATTGGGATACCACATCTAGTTGTTGAATTTCCATTCAAAAAAGATACAAATATTATTGAAGGTAATGTGTATTTCGTATAAAAAGAAACACAGTTTTCTTATTTTTATTGTGATGAATTTTGAGATTAAAGTAAGAAAGAAAATTGGTTCCATTATTAGTATCAGATAGACTGATAGGTCCTGGGTTCGAATCTCACGAGTCGAGGTCGTGGATGTTGAGGAGTCTCACAATAGGACAAAGCGGCCATCCAGTGCTTCCAGGTTTTCCATGGTGATCTAGCTTCAATTGACTTATGATCTCAACTATTGAGGTTTCATTAATAATTGAGATTATGAGTAAAACCAACTGGCTGAATAACTTTGATTTTTAATCTCATTTTACCCAGATTGTTTTAATAAAATGAAGAGCCACAATCACATGACGCCAATTCATAACTAATCTACGGTAGTTATCATTGATCTTGATAATATTCAGTAAAATGTTTAACGTAGGAACGATTTACCTTGGTGAATGACTTGACTAGGTTTCAGTGACATTTTACTAGTTATATAAGTCTCTTGGGATATGAATTCAATTGACTAAAATATGATTCAATTTTATAAGTAAACATCCTTTTGAAATGGTTCCAGTCTACTGACAGATATCATGCGAGACTATTATTTGTTAAATTTCTTAGATATTAAGATTGTCGTTTCTCATTTTTGATTAAATTTAAGTGTAATTTTAGTTTTCAAATTATTGAAAACAGTTTTGGTGAAAAGAAAGTTCATTAGTTGTATGATAAGTTTCTGCTGTCAGTTTTCATTCCACGATAATGAAAATTAATGATTTATGTGACTGAACATTTCACAATGAAACGATAACTATACTACTTACAGCAACATATAGCAGTAATCAATCAATGCACAACTTCAGTGATACATTCACAATGAAACCAAGAATTACTATGATTGAAATGCATTCTCATAACAAGCAAGTATCAGGCTCAATATCAGACACTTTTATATATGTACACAGATAGTCGAAAAACTGAACGTCTTTTGTATAAGGCTTGCTTGAGAAATCCGGCATGATCACTAGACTTATATCAGATATTGATGAACTTCAACTAACATTAAATTAGACTGGAACGAATACCAAGATTTTCCACACATCGCTTTTAAGTTAAGATCTATGTTTAAAGAATTTCTTTCTACTATGATCTAAACCCCAAACTGATCAAATTTAGACAACCATTGAAGGTCAGAAATCCTAGGAAAGATGTTTCATTTCAGAACAAAACTCCTCAGCAGTGTATATCAACGATCCCAGGACCTTCGGTCCTGCAGCAAACGCCCAACCCCTAGACCGCTGAGCCAGCATCCAACGATGTTAATATTTAACTTCAGTCGATTCACAATATTCCCCGGTCATTTCCCATTACCTGGGTTGGATAAATGTCTCTTTTTCGACATGATTGAACTTTACTTGTCACGTCTTCTCGCTAGGACTCCAGGAAATGTATTTCAAATTTAGTCACTAGTGAATAGATTATCACTATTAGCATACATAGATTTATCTTCACAAACTCACCTTCTTATTAACTATTAACTATTATTGCTATTATTTACAATCGACTTATTCTATATTATTTCCAGCTATTAAACAGGAAATCAACTTAATGTTAACCGATCCAGATTTGATTCATGTTGAAAGTATAGTTGGTACAAAGATTAAAGATAATTTGTTAATGACAAACAGTTCAGGACAACAACAACAACAACAAAACACAATATCAACCGAACTTTGTCAATTATTGTCATATCATTTACCTGAACTCAATGAAATAATCAATTATCTTGGTATTGGATCCGATGGGCCACCTATACCAGAACCAAACAATTTCTCAGTTATATATTATCCAATTAATAATGATACTACTAATACATTAAGAAATAGAAAACAAATTAAACAATCAAGAATAATAAAATTAAATGAACAAAAATCAATTCATATAAATTTGAAATATTATGAATTTTTACATTCTGGTCAAGGTGATCCAATTATGAATACTGTACCAATAGGAAGTTTATTACAACTAACTGATTCAATTGGAGATGAAGAATTAGAAGGACGAATAGAAACCAATGAATCTTCAAATAAACAAAAAGTTGTCATCTTTTTTTATTTTGGACTTAATGAATTAACTTATCTTTTTTATATTACTTTCTATTCGATTCTCACGAGGCGGTTTCGTAGATGCATACTACCGAGGAGTCCCACAATAAAACGAAACGACCGTCCAGTGCTTCCAGGTTTTCTATGGTGATCTAGCTTCAATTGATTTTTTTCAAATATTTTGAACTAAGTACAGTTAAATTCACTTGATGTTGTTTGCTTGTATCTTCCCATTGTTGTTTAAGACTGCAATTGATCAGTCTATTGTTGGTATATGTGCATACTGTGTGCATTGCTTCGACAATGCCTTAATTGACAAGCATTATAAGTAAAGATGGATAGTGGCTAGCAGTAAAATTCAGGACTCGCGTTTCGTCCTATTTGGGACTCGTCAGCTGGATGTAGCCGCATCCCAGTGAAAATGTTAATCTATCAAAACATGTTCATTGAATATAAAGTTTTACATTTACAAGAAATCGGTAGAACTTTTTAAAAGAAAAGAAAGCCAGTGTTGGTTAAAATTATAGTTATGTAGATCATTTATAGTTAATTAAGCATATCATAATTGAGACTCATTATGTAGTGCGTGCTACCTATGTCGACAGATATAAGTAGTATGTATCACCAATCGAAAATGAAATGCCTAAAGGTAGAAGGTTGGGAAAATCGAATAGAAGAAAACGGAAACAGAGATTGATTGATATGGAAATGAAGGAACAACAAAGTCGGAAACAACTGATGAACACTTTGAAAATGAAGTAATGAACGTAGAATATTCATATTTTAACAAGAGATTCTAAAATATATTTACTTGCCTTCACCTGTGTTCTTTTTCTCTTTAATTTTACTTTCAATCATCAGTTTATCGAATCTATTGAACATAGAATAAGAGAAGCACATTGAATAACATAATTTTGCAATCTCTACTACTATCAATTACTCTATACAAACATAAAGTATTAAAATGTTAGAGAATTAATAGAGTTTTAGATTTCAGAATTAGCTTGTAACAGCTTCTCTGTGATTATACTTTCGATAAGACAAATTAATCCAAATATTTTGAGTTATTATGTACACATATAACTGACTTCGTGAATTATTCGCTATGTAACACTGATGTTTTATGTGCACGTATATGTGAATATACTTAATAACCATTTATGGAGATTGTAGTAATTTTAATAGTTAAATTTATGAGTCGACCATAGAAGACCTGGAAGTACTGGGTGGTCTTTTCCTCCTAGTATGGGACTCCTCACGAGTGCGTATCCACGATGATACATGTTGAATCACGTTTGATAAAACTGAGTTGAATATATTTCAGCCTCTGCAATTCATAAACCGTTTTCTTCGTCTCTCATCGTTTGCTTGCATTATGAAATGCCTGAAATATACGTTCCTCAAATTTTACCTTATTCGGCATTTTAATATCTACGTTGTTATTATTAGGATTTTTCGATAGAATAAAAAAAACTAACAATCATACTAAAGAAACTAGATCAGTTGAAGAAAAAAGTTATTTATGAGTTCATTTTACTTATTTTTAGAAGTTGTGAGATTTTTGTATTGTATCAAAAAACAACAATTTAGGTTGGCGATTCATCGCGTAAAACAGGTGGTCGATCTATTAAAAAAGAACGCAAATCACCAAGACAAAAGCATCAAACGTTAGATCAAGGTGAAACTACAAGTCGTAAACCAAAAGTTTCTATTGGTGGTGCAAACATCGGTAATGGTGCTGCTAGACGTACTTCTGTCATAAGCATACCTTCAGAGCAAACATCTTTGAATGATGAAATTTCAAGGTAATTATTAAGTGAAATTGTTAGACAGTATTATGTGATATTCTTTTTACCTGCTTAGTTAATCTATACAATTGTTATTTATATATATGAATCAAATCGTAAAATACGAATTATATGAATAATAAATATGTTCCTTTTTTCTTGTTGTATCCCAACAAGTAGAAAATTGTATTGTTGAAGTTTCGTGACTTAATGTAAACCACCTCTTCAGAGTAAATAATTAATCAAGTTAAATTAACACATTTAAATAGTACAAAGAGAACAATGATGAAAATTTATAATACAATCAAAATCATACAAGGTTTGAATATGTCAATATCAATTTTTTTTATTCAAGGTGAATTTGTTTGTTATATCACCGTATTAATTTGTGTGTTAGAATGTGGGTATGAAAAATGTTTGGGTGAGACTATAATTTATCGACGACCTTTGAGCAACGCTAGAGTGATCTTGAGGGTATCTACTTAACAACTAGTGTCAAATGAAGGTTATAAACCTGTGTGAGGAATTGGAATTATAATTTACAGTTGATGATTAACGCTAGGAACTAGATTTTGGGTTTTCATCACGAACTGACATAAGTTATAATGCCAAAACTACATTTACCCAAATGGATGAATCAATTTCGTGCAAATATCCGAGACCTGTTAACTTATATCTGATTGGTTGGTCCATAAATTATAGTTTCGCCAATCTATGCATTTGTAATATGAAGTAGTGGGGTTGGAATTGTGTGGAAAATAAATTAGGTCAAATGTGGTGGTATAGATAAACAGTCCAGGTTGGATGAATATTCGGGCCATCTTTCTCATTGAGGGTAGAGGGATTTAGCATTATGTGAAACACTTCGGTCGGAAAGCCTTTCTGAATTATTTTGATATTTTTAGTATCAATTTAATGATTATTGAAAATAACATGTACTGCTATCACTGATTTAATTTGTAAAATTCCCAATTCCACAGGATTATTAGGCGGTTTTATTTCGCAACTTACTATTTCTTTAGCACGAGCTCAGATCTCATAGAAAGACTCCAATTTAGAACGCACCACGATCTACACAAACTAATATGTAGACACAATTTTCTGTAGAAGTGAAAAGGATCTTATCTTTTATTCTAACTTGAGCGCTTCCTAGGATGTCGCTTGTCTTATAGAAGACTTTAAGTTTGTGAGTTTTCAAGATCCGTTATAATTCTGTCATTCCTTGGCAGTAAGGTAAAACCACAGTACCAATCCAAGATCTTTCATTAGGATTGTTTTTTAAAGAACAACAGTTTTGTTTTAAATGTTTTAAGGTAATATTCTTAGAAAAATTATTAAATCGTAGAATTTTTATTATGTTTTGCTTTTCTTTCAGCTTGTGTTCTGAGGTAATGATCCTTGTTGATCTTCTGAAATGATTCAGAGCTAGGGAAATTTTCGCACTGAATAAATGTGCAAAGTTAAAATCGATATACTTATTCGAATGTGTCAGTTCTGGGTACTCGGCTAGATTTAGGCTTCCATTAGAATTCCTTCACACTAAACAGTTTATGAATGGTAGTTCACTATAATCATCTTCCTTTTCGAAATTGAATTTGATGTAGGTATCAATGCTAAGGTTGAATTTGACAAATTCAAATAAATTGAAGATTGGGTAGAAAGTTAATAATAAATATAGTTTCTTTTTGTTATATCCGGACGAGTAGAAAATTGTATTTCTGACATTTCATAACTTATTTGGTTTTGATTAGTTTAGAGTATGGTATGTATGTTTACTGATTTTACTCTTCTGTTCACTCCCTTTATTTCAATTCTTAAGCCATTATTAAGAATTTTTAGGATGCTATTCTCTTCATAGTTCAATCTGGGTATCATATAAATTGTGACATTGCTACCACATGATAATACTCTTGTTATCTTTCTCATAGTTAATAAAAATTTGTAATCATAGATGCATTAGACAACCCCTCTGGGGTTATATAACGCTACACGGACATTGTGTAACTTTACAGTAAAACTATCTCGTTTGAGACGCAATGAAAATGCATAGTTATATTTGTTTTTAATTAAAATCTGTCATTATTATTTAAACTAGAATTCTTCTTAAGCTTTGTACCTCTTCGTTATAAGAGAAATTTAGTCGAATGTCTGGCAAACAGAGATATTAAGATATACTCAGTCGATACAATGAATAGGAAATTAGAGCTCATACATAATATGTTGATTGGAATGGGTTATCCACAGGGTTTCCTGAAGAAACAATGGCATATAACAAATAAGAAAATAGCGACATCAGCGGCTAGTAAGAAAACTCGCTTCTTGAGGTTGCAATTTAATGGAGATGTAGCTGGTGATATACTTTGTGATAGACTGACTAGAGCAGTGAACAGAACGTTTAATACAGCAAACCTTTGTTTATCATATTCGACCCGATCTTTGGTGATTCCCCAACTAAAGGATAAGTTACCTGGTTATGCCACTTCTATGTGTATCTACGAATTTAGCTGCTTCTGTGGAGGACGCTTCATTGGACGCACTACCAGACAACTGAACCAAAATGTTAGTGAACACCTCCGTTTGTGGTTAGGAAAAGGTACTGTCAAGTCAATACACAGCTCGGTTCTATCACACTTGATCGATAGCGGTCATGTAGTAGACACAAGTTATTTATCGTATTCATACTAGATTTCCTTACGGTGTTCGATCTTATCTCTTACACATAGAAGAAGCTATAGGAATTCGAGTCAACAATCCGAGTCTTTGTGTTCATAAGAAATTTGTAACACCCTTATTGATTATTATTTTCCATACTCTCTCCGTTTATTTTTCTTCACAACCTCCCACCCTTTTCTTTTCTCAAACATACGCTTCAAGGTCCAATGATCTGAACACCACTTATAACGTAGTCATATAATCTTTCTATGAATGTTATTTCAGTGTCTATATTTTTCTAATCATTGACCTATTTCCCATTGTGTAACACTGATTCAAGCCTTTATTATTCTTATCAAAACTAGTACACTTGTCATCACACTATCAATTTGTACTTTATCAGTATAGTGGTTGTGGAGATTGTTAAGTTCAGTTCATGATCTCAATCAAAAATTTGTACTTTCTTATAATGTTTAGTTATGTAATCTATTCCACTCATAAACTGCCTTGGTTGGTTTAATAATTTCATATATGCATATAAATATTACTGTATATTAGAGTAAAACCTGATGAGGATCCAGTTGAAAACAATCTTGTTCGCTTATATATGTTGTTCTAAATTACAATATGGGAATTTTTAGAATCTTCTAATTGTACGTATGTACGAGATAGAATGAATTTAATCACTCTTCAATCAATGATAGATGTCTAGGATAAAGATTTGAATCAGCTTCTTTACAATTTAATGAATGTTTATCAATATGAATATGTACTAGTTTATTCACACTGTAACTGATGTGAATAATTTAAAAATTATTTAGAATAGATTAAAGTTGACTTTAAGAATCCTGATTGAAACATTCTTCCTAGATTCCACAAACAACTCATGACATAATCGATACATCGAGGTCATTCGCACAGGTTCCTCAAATATATATTAATTAAGACTGATCATTATTCAGTATTAATTATTGACTGTGGGATGATTTAATCTCATAATGATCATGATATAATTTTAACATTGAATGATTAATACCCATGAAATTGGTTATGTTTTACTCAAATGTATACTTTAGTAATATCCATAATATTTTCATCTTTTATTTAGCATTGAATCTAATCAATTATTGATCGGACAACCGTAAGTATTTTGTATCTAATTTTATTTATTTCGAATGGTTGAGATTATGAGTCAATTGAAGATAGACCACAATGGAAAACCTCGGAGCACTGAATGGTTCAGTGGTCTAGCGTTTAAGCGCTCGCGCGCGAAATTGATAGGTTCTGGGTTCGAATCCCGTGAGGCTCAATCATGGATGGGCACTGCTGAGTAGTCTCATAATAGGACAAAACGGCCGTCCAATGCTTCCAGGTTTTCCATGGTGGTTTAGCTTCAAATGACTCATGATCTCAACTATTGAAATTACTATAATATCCACAGAAAACACTTTTGATATAATTTTATTTATCATAGTCGTATAACTTTAATCATGACTGTGATTATTATTTGTGACTGTCTATTTCATTACTTACCCAGAACAGTATGATGTAAAAATATAGACAATTCAAGTAAAAAAAGTTTATCAAAGATGTGATTCTTAAATGAGATAATAGGCGATATATCAACTTGGAAGTTCTGTTTATAGGACGTTTCATGCTGTTACATTTTACATTACATTCTCAACAAAACCATTACTTATACATTAAAATAAGGATAAGATACTGGTAATGGATATATCATTTAGATTAAAAATTTCTTCTGGTTTGGTGAACTATGAATGGGACTTGTATTCTTCGAATTCTTATCAAGTAACTTAATTGAGAACACAATAAAAGAACACAATAAAACTTTGTATGACATTATAATTGAGGTCTGAATCTCATTACTAGAAAATGAGAGAAGGCGACTGAATGAATATGAAAAACACCAAAATGTTGTCAAAGACGATCGGACGATATATAATACCCTGTTCTAAGTTTTAAATTCAAAGAGCTTAGCGTTGAACTCATTTATGATCTTCGTCGATATCAAGAATACAATTTCCATATCTGCTACATCTTAAACAATTTATGACGAACATTTCATACTTTTCAGTATTATTCAACCCTAACATTCTTGAAAAATTACCCTGTAACCTGATAACATCTGTTTCTAGTTACTCTGATAAAATATTGTTATTTCTAAGATTAATTAAATTGAATTTCTTCCATATTCTAGTAAGTTTTAACTCAGTTCACAAGGTGGTTTAGTTTTTTTTTTGTTAATCATTCATTTCAGGCCTATTAAAACGTAATCTATCGTATTTTGTTTACATATACATATGTACTTCACTGTATATTCGTTTATGAGATATAGGTTCTTTTTTCCTTTCTGTTTATAGTCTCAATCATTTTCGTTGGATTGTACCTGCTAAAGGACAGGTTCGTTTGAGAATTCGTTTTCGTTGTGATCAAGTTGGTCAGTTTGATCAGATATTCAATTTTGAATTATTGAATAGTAGGAGGATTTATCAATTATATTGTCGTGGAATATGTGCTTTACCAACAATTAGCCGTGAACCAAGGTATGTTTGTGTATTAACTTTTGTGCTCCAAGCCAAGAATTTAAACAAATAAATTATATTTCATATCACACGTACATTTAATGTGTTAACAATAAATTGATTGCATAATCTTACTTAATCGCTAATTTTATAAATTAGACCACCATTGAAAACCAGGAAGTACTGGACGACCAATTCGTTCTAGTATATGCCGTTCAATGTTTTCAGGTTTTCTATGGTGGTCTACGTTAGACTGACTCATGAATTCAACTATTGAAATCACTACAATCTTCATAAACTTCATACCAATAATTTTATAAACAGAAATTTTTGGTTTGAAATGAGTTTCCTTTTAATAATGCAAGATAACACCCGAAATTATTGAAATTTATTATTATATTGTTATGGAAGATGTCTCATATAGAAAACTACCAGTGTTATGGTTCTGTTTTAATGATTTGAGTATGATAACTTTGTACTGGAAAATAATTAGACTATATGTAGACTGTTTCTACCTAGTTGAATATAAGTTCAGTTACTAAAGAGCTAAATATACTTCTCGTATCCACTGAAAATGAGAAAGCATTTGGACAATATATTTTTATCCTTGTTGAAAAAAAACACATGTTGAGACAAAATGTGACAAAATCCTTTAAAAATAAACTTTTTTCAAGGTTCCTTGAAGGTGAACAATAAAGAATAAAATGCGAAACAGAATCAAACGTTTTAGTTTCATCACAATGATGTTAGAATTCGGTAGTCACGTTTTTCAATGTTATTTATTTATTTAGGAGAGAACAAGTTTCATTCAGTAATATACGACTAACTTGACAGTTCACAATGTCTCACTAGAAATAATTTCTAGTCAACTCAGGCCACTTACATAATTAATTGATTGGGTATTTGTAAGACGTAGTAGAATACGATGTCAGTTAAGGCATCACATGAGTAAGAACTAAAAAATTAATCCCAAAATCTTTTAACGATAGAAAACGTATATCCTAATGGATAAAGAAACATTATATACAATTTAATACTATACTATACTTTCAATGTCTACGTAATGCCTTTTAGCATTTCAGCCAGTTAGTAAATCAAAAATCCTATGTCTAAGTAAGATCCTCATAAAACTAAAATGGGACAACACAGTCATATATAATGCAGACTACTTGGTTAGGGTCCGCGTGACTATTGTAGCCAGTGGTTGGAGACTGGGTGACATGGCTCAGAATTGATCACAATGGTGTAGGTATATACACTCTTTGTCTTCCTTTAAACTATGAGATTAAAATTGCTTTGTATCTTTTTTTCTTTCTACGAACTAATTCTTTCTTCGTGTACTATGTCCTAATATGCAGTCTTCCTTTCATATATTACCACCAAGGATGCATATATGTGCCTGGTCTTACGTTGTAGCTGACTGACTGACTGAGATAACTCTCCACCATGGTTACGATTTAACTAAGTGACTAATTTCCATTAATTGTGAAACATTTTGAACTAATTTACCACTGATCAATAAGTGATCTAACTTTAATCATTTGATCCTGTAATATTACAAATAGCCTATTTATATCGTCAATCTAATGTGAGCATGTTTAATACTAAGTCATACCTAAATAATACAATACAAGAAGATATTTTACGTGTACTATCATATCATATTATGCTATTCATTTATTGATATTAAATCTTACTATAATCAATCTGATACTTTATCTAAGATCATTATAACTAAAGCGAAGAATTCATTTTGAATCTGTTGGGGTGATCCAGAAAATTGCTTGCAAAAGACAAGCAAGCATCAGGAATCACTAAGAAGCGTTTCGTGCAATCAGCGTTCACTTGAAGTTTTAGCCAAAAATATCAAGGAAGCGAAACGTCACATGTCGAGGTTCTGATTGGCTGGCTGCTACACTGCTACTATGTTCAGTAACATTCCAGAATCTTCGATCAACCTAAGCACATCTAAAAATATGATAAAAACCCTATATTTTTTGTGTTAAAATGAACCTTGGAGTAAACTACTTCTCGCATACTTTAAGTCTTCTCTCTCGTGTTCAGGTCGCTGTTCAGTTCTAGCTTGGGGTTACGGAGTAGCTTAGGAGAAGAATATAGCGTTCAATCCGCAAGACTTATCAGAATCATACATATTACATTCACAATAACAGTGTTTATTTGATTACATAATTTTGAATGAGTTCATTTATCAATTTTCTATCCACATATAATAAACTTTTTTTTAAATTTCTCTCATAAAGATTAATATATGCAAAACGTAAACGTACTTGTAACCAAGGTGAAATTATTCATGGTACCTATTTAATGTCTACATCATGTTTTGAATTTGGACCATTGTTAATTGAAAAATCTAAAGAACGGTAATTGTAAAAAAACAAATTGTTCTTGTATTTTCAAAAGTTTTTAATCTACTACTATAGTTAATTTAGAAATATCTATGAAGTAATAACAAGTATTTACTCAATGCAAGATTTTATTTCACCAATCCGTTATCATCATATATATATACGTGCCATACTTCACGGGATTGGGTAGACTGGTATATATATATTGAGTCAGTCACTCCATGTAACTTCGCTTTCATACGGAAACATATAGGTGGGTGAGTATGTTAGGTAATACAAACGTTTGTTGCTTGACAAATCTTTAAAATCAACCTGTTCATCATAACATCAATATCTTTCTTGAACTGAAGATTCACAAAAAGAATTTTCTTTGGACCAGTGTACTTATCCTTGAAACTAGTTTCGCATTTATCTTTTTTTTTCAGTAATCCGTACACAATATCCATTTTCCATGGATGTGGATTTCGAAACAACAGTTTGTGCTATGGGGGGAGAACGTATGATTCTGTGACCTGGCATTAATTATATATATGCTCTGGAAATAAACTCGTCTAAATAGAATCCTTTACTGAATAAGTTATTACAATGTACAACTGTTGTTATCGCACAGTGTATATACATACACCGTAAAATATAAATAAATATTATCCATATAAAACGAATATGGTTAGTGTTATGATTTGCTCAGAAATGCCTTGTACAAATAAAATGGGAACTTTGTGAAACAAATGACGACATATATTTTTCTGTGGTTAATAATCCAAACAATATTAACAATAATAATAATAATGACAATTACGCAATATGGCATATAGTCAGAAGTCTAAATCTTTTTCCTTAAAGCAATTCAACATTTATGTATCTAGCTAGTATATGATTGTAAATAATCTATGATATTCGTAGGTTACTAGTATTCGATCATAGATGTCTTCGAAACATTGCTCGTATATCCTGGGACCATCGAGTAAGTAACGCAGTTGTTAGAAAACGGGTACTAGGTAAGGATGGCAAATCAATTGATGGAGTAGTGAAACTTCATCAGTTGAGATGGCTGGGACACGTGTTACGTATGCCCAATTAACGACTGCCCCAAAGTCGGATGTTTTATGGTGTATAAGGAGGTTGGAAGAAAGCTAGGAGCAGCCAGATCAAAACATGGCACAAATTCATGAAGTCACTGACGAGTGGACTGAGCCATGTTAGTAGGTGTAGATTACCTGGTTCCGGGCATCCGCGAGATGATAGCAACCGATGATTAGAAACCTTGAAACACATGGCTCGAAATCATTTGCAATGGCGCAGTTGCATCCACTCTTTGTGTTCTCCCAAATTCTAATCTTCTGAAATTTCCATGTCCCTACCTTTTTTCTCTTTCCAAATTTATTTCACTGGATTATACACCTTGAATAACATTTTCAAACCCTATTATTTCCGATGACTGCTCATACTCTTACTACCACTACTATTATGGTATTTGAATTAACAATTGTATCTGTGTGCTAATGTGGTATGGCAAATGGAACTGATGTACGTACTTACGGAGTTCTACGTTGTTACTGACTGACTGACTGAACCTATGATAAATAATCCATGATGGCTCACACTACCTATTTATTTTACTTATAACCACTTTCATGACTTCATGTTCTCAGACATGGTTTATATAAGAAACAACGAATTAGTTATATGATTCACGTATACTGTTAATTCAATATTTTAGTTCAATTTTTTTCTAATTGTAACGATATTAATAACTTTATTCATTGTGTAATTTGTCTTCAGTATACATATCTTTGATTTTTTGGAATAGGGGACGGGATGAATGCTCAACACTGAATTTTCTATCTATTTTAATCTCCAATATCCACGCTTAACACAGCCTGGTGTTGTTTTCGAATATATTGAAGTAATTTTATTGCTACTTACATAATTAAAGGATACAATTTACTTTGATTGTACTTATGACGGAGCAATTGACTTTTGTGTACCGAACAACTTGAAGACAGTAAACTTTCAAAATTTCTTTAGTTTTCCTTAACAGTACAGTATTTTTTGAAAGAATATCGTTCTTTTCAGATTCTAGTATTCACCCGTATATTTCACTGCTAGATTATACTATTTAATGATTTCGATAAGTAATTTCTAGTGAACTTTTTAAACTTTATAAAGAAGTTTTATATGTAACTGTAGAAAAGTATAATACATGAATTGATTTTCCTTTATTCTTTTTATTTTGACTAGAATACAAGAAAATTGTTATCCTGAAAATATTACCTACTTTAATTTAGTGAATACATCACAAATGGATTCAGATATTAAATTATACTTTTTAAATGATCCAGATGAAGAATGTTTTAGTGTAGAACCAAAAGAATTAAATCTTAAACCAAATCAATCCAATAGTGTACGTATTTGTGCATTTCCAAAATTGAATAAACATTATGATGATGCACTTGTTTGTTTAATTAAAGATAATCCAGAACCAATTCTATTTAAATTAGCTTGTGATGGTGTTTTACCAGAATTGGAATTGGATAAAAAAGTATTTAATTTTGAAAAAGTATTATTACAAAGGTAATTTTAAATGTTTATGAATGCCAATTTGTTTTTATTAATTATATACCGCTTTCTTTCTACGAACTAATTCTTCCTTCGTGTACTATGTCCTCATATGCAATGATTTATTAGATTAACTAATGACTTTTCATAATGAGTTATCTTAGCATTTTGATTGAATATGTTACAAAACTTACTTACTTATTTACACCTGTTACTCCTAATGGAGCATAGGCCGCCGACCAGGTTTCTCCAACCCACTCTGTCCTGAGCCTTCTTTTCTAATTCCACCCATTTCTTGTTCGTTTTCCTCATGTCTATCTCCACTTTCCGGCGTAATGTGTTTTTGGTCTTCTTCTTTTCCTTTGGCCTTGAGGATTCCATGTGAGGTCTTGTCTTGTGACGCAGTTGAGTGCTTTCCTCAATGTGTATCCTATCCACTTCCAGCGCTTCTTCCTGATTTCTTAATCCACTGGGATCTGGTTTGTTTAATATGTGTGGGGAAGATCTGTAGCTCAAGTGGATGATTTTGATGGAGTTTTATTCTCTGAGCTGGATGGTTTGGTCGTGTAGCTTTCATTGTTCTTCTAAACGACATCGTCAGCACAAACTTCAGGTAGAAGTGAAGTGTTTGAATTTCTCCATATATGATTCATAGCTTGTCCTGTACACCTCGAGTTGATTGATACTTTTTGACTTTAAACTTATCATTGTTTACTTTTTTGTTTCGGTGGTATCTCATATTAGTTTGATTTTTATTCCTATGTTTGTGCATAATTTGGTTGATAAGTTGAATGGAATTCAATGTGCTTGTTGACCTGAGTGCCAAGCTTCTAAAAGTTCACTGGTGTTTTTGGAATTGCCCCGTAGAAAAGAATCTCAAAAAATTCCTATCTAAGAAAATCTTGACATAATGACACAAGTCGCTACTCAGTGACCAATCTATTTTCAACAAAACTCGAAACTACATGAAGTCATTTGCTGCCTATATAGCTTGTTGGTAACTTCTTTGACTATGAAGCTGGATGATACCGGATGGAATCCGCCAGGGAGCATCGATTTTCTCAGGATTACGGGTGCACCTTGCTGACGAGCACCTAGTAGGACGAAACGTACGTTCAAGGTTTCTGATGACCACCTCAAACCATCTCAAAATTATTCAAGTAGTGTCAAGTCACCTGAACTAGTGATCGATTTGCAGCTTGATTGACGGAAATCTCTCGGCATTGAGAAGGACTAAACATGCATAAGATCTGTTACTGCTCAGATTAATCTAAAACCAATACGTTACGAAATATCTATATATGTATATGCTACTTATGCCAACATTAGTACTATATAACGCCAGTCAGAAACAGAACATATTTTAGTAGATCGAGAAGGAAAAAACCGGAACGGAAAGCAACTTGTATGGAAATGCAGGAACAATATCGTCTGAGACGATTGATTGATATTTGCAAAAGAAACAGTCAAGTTTGAGACGATTGGTTGACATTTTGCAAACTAAGTTCTCAGATTTTTCTAAGATGTTCTGTAATTTTGTGTCCAAATACGTTCGACTGTACCCACTTAGTTCTCGTTCACTAAAATTGTACAGCTGAAGTAGATGATATTACCATAAAGGGGATTTTCTTTAGCGAATTATCCTTATTTCATATTCAAAGAGAAATAAACAAATAAATAAAATTCTATTTATCCCATTCTCACCGGATTCTAAAGTTAGAATACACTATTAATCATCAGAAGGTACGGAGAGGTTGAAAGTAAATATATATATTAAAATAAATTGAGTTTAGTATTCTTCATAAAATAAGTTTGTTACAGTTCGTTAATTTAGAAATGATCATCACATTATACTTACTTGAGGTACTTTGTAGGTGATTCGTGAAATTGGAAAGTAGGAAACGTAGAACAAAAAATATAATAATATTGAAATAATGAGGCAAATCAGAGACTCAGGTAGATATCTCTGGTGGTGTTATGTTGTCTGAGGTAGATGACTCAACTCTAGTTGGCCCTGACAATTTTGTCGAGGACGAAAGTGAGATCTTTACAGTTAAACCATTTAACCCAGTGAATACGAAATTATCGGAACAATAGTGTAAATAATACTCAGATTAGATGTTTAATCGAAGATTATAAAATCTTTGGAGTTGGAGAAATAGCTAACAATTACATTGTATGTATGTTTTATCCTAGTAAATATACTTTTATGTACTACTATTGTTTCTACTGATAGGAAAGAAGTACGTTCTATTATTTTGAAAAATCGCACTTTATTACCAGCTCAATGGAAATTATCTGGAATCGAAGCGTTAGGTGACGAATTCTCTGTATCACAAGATGCTGGCATTGTTGAACCACAGTCAGAATCTATTGTCTATGCTTATTTTCGTGCAATGAAATCTGTCAAACCAAACCAGAAGAGAAGCTTACGTCTTGAAGTTTATGATTTAGAAAATATTGCTGGTTTAATACAAGTAGAAACTATACAAGTGATGGCTGAAGCATATGATGTTGCTTTAGATATTACATTTCCTAAGGGTTAGTTTTAATTAAATTACTAAGATATGTATACTAATATTTACTCAGTGTTTGAAGGTAATCAGAAGGAAACCTGAACCTAGGATGAATTTCAGTTCATTTTCATTTTTGAAAAACTGGGTGGGTTTTGAGTCATTTGAAATCGGGCCGTAATGACCTTAAATCAGTTGTAAGATCTCTCTTTCCCTCTCTCAAATCCAGTTAACGATTAGTTAGCTTATATCGTCAGTAGGACACATAAATTTGTATTAACCAATCAAAACACCGACTAATGAACGACAAATAAGACCTTAATGCTTACATTATCCTCAAGCTCCTCCTTACTCCGTGGTCAATCAGAAGATGAATTTGGAAAGCAAATTAGTTCACTATTGTGCTAAATTCAATCATGACTGAAAAAGACTTATACAATACTATGCTAGAAGTTTCTAAATAAATAACAATTCTAGAAGAAAACATTAATAAAATGTGACGTAGTTGAAAGATTATCGGAAAATCGCGGAATATAATTAGTTCATAATTTCTACTCTTTATATTTGCATTCAGTTAGTCAGTCAGTCAGCTACAACGTAGGACCAGGCACATGTATGCATCGGTCAAAGTTGCCACACCTCATTGAAACAACACGATGAACACCGGATTCATAGTAGTGAATTTAGTGGTGGTAATATATAAAAGAAAGATCGCATATAAAGTCACAGTACAGGAAGAAAGAATTAGTTCGTAGAATAAAAGATATGAAGCGATTTTAATCTCATGGTTTGAATGAAGATAAAGAGTGTATACATCTACGTCATTGTAGTCGATTCTGAGCCATGTCACCCAGAGTCTCCAACCATTGGTTACGATAGTCATGCGGACCCCAACCACAAAAATTAATCGTTTACAATTAATCGTATTGCAGTGTTAAAGATCCCGTGTACCAATGCTTATATCTGATAATACAACTAGGCCAAGTGTTTTTAGATTCACTGTATAGGTTTTCGGAATTTAATTAGCAACTTTGTAAAACTAGATTAATTTGAATGACTGAAATATGTGTTAATTCTATTGATTCTACGTGTATAATCACTTTGTCGATAAGTGTGAAACTAGAACAAATCGGTTTTTTTTCTCCATTAAACTTGAATTTGTTAATGATTTTTAGTTTGATAACATCTTATGACAAAAATTATCTTTGAACATTTCAAACTTATTTATTTAATTCACTTGGTGCTGTTTTACTTCTTTCTTTCCATTGTTATTTAGGACTGCAGTTGATCAGTCTCATGTTGACATATGAGCATCCTGTACAGATTGCCTCGATATAGCCATGTTACAAGATTTTTAAACGAAGATGGATAATGGCTAGAAAAGGAATCCAGGACGCAGTTGCTAAGGGGATAACGCTATGGCATTTGAAGCGAATGGTATTGGGTTCGAGTCCCAGAGTGAACATGAACTCCTGGATGGAGGTACATCCGACTGACGAGTCCCAAACAGGACGAAACGCGCGTCCTGAATTCCACTGCTAGCCACGATCCATCTTTATTTATTTAATGTTAACAATCAATCTGAATATTGTTTAATGATAATCATAGTATTAATAATAAGGATTTGAACTATTATATTTTTTGTTCTACATACAAGGGAGTGATGGTGGTATTGATTTCGGTTTAATCAAAGTTGATGAAGAAGTTAAACATGCTATTACATTGAAGAATAAAGGTCCTTATGAAATAGTAACTAAGTAAGAATTTTTGATTTGTTAATTCAGAGATAACTAACTGTTCGATTTAAATTCAATAAGATTAATCTCTAGTTGCTTTGTTTCTTTCATTCCCATTACTGATTACATATGCATTATATTAAAAAGGAAGAAATTTTTACTAAACCATATCGATAAAGAAATCAGTCTTACATTGTAACTCTCAGCAATCAATGTTGCACTAAACAATTGGATTACTACAAAGTATCATTTAAGCCATAACTTCAAATAACTCATTAGTTATTAGTGGTCAGTACATTTCAACTGTATTGTAATTCAGGTGATTCACTGATGAGATTAGATGATTATCAGAAAATATTACAAAACAAACAGAAATTGAAAAAATAAACCAATTTAATCTTTTGAAAGTCTCATTCTCACAACATGCCTTGATGATTTCGGATTCGAAACTATACGAATTGTTAGTTTTCTCGATTGTTGAGTTATAAAGTAGAATGAAACAGTTGTCTAATGTTCCTCGGATTTCAATGATTCTTTTCAATTGATATCAGTCCATAATGGAGATGAATTTTAGGATGACGAACAAGGTGTGTCAATATAAAATGCATAAATGAAGTATAAAATTCTTTAGAAATAGTAGTACATCGAACATTTCAAACATATGACAAGTAAAAGTTCAGGAATAATGAATAAAAGGAATCATAGCATATTAGTCGGTAACTAATTATAACAACTCTAGTTATCATAGTAGACTATCGGGGAACCTTCCACGATGAAACCAATTAGTCTTCAGATCTTTAGGGATCAACATAGACGACCGATAAATGTTGCTTTATAAGATCATTTCTGTAATAAAACAAGCTACCTTCCCCGAAGTAATAACCTTTCTTACTAAGTCACACTTTAGTAATCGATAAGCCAACAGAATATCTCCGTTCTAAGATATTATTATGTTAAACAATGTAAACTTGGATAATGTGATGAAATTTATCAGAAATCAGAAACGTTGAAGTTTCAAGGTATAATTACGTAATCTGAGTATATCCAAGAGTTGAAGATCTTTCTTATTTAACTTTCTGTAGCAGTATAGCTGAAGAACTCGGTTTACGATTAATAAATCGCAGGTTCCAAACCCGCTCCACATATTGTTGCTTGTAAATCTGAGTGGTATTGTAGCGAGTAAGAACACGATTGGGACAATCAAATGTATTTGAAAAACGAAATTACAGAGCATCTCACTAAAATCTGAGAGCCATATAGTAAATAGTTAATTTGCAAAATATCAATCAATTGTCTCCAACTTGACTGTTCCTTTTACACATATCAGTCTGTTGTCTCAGATTTCATTGTTCATGCATTTTCATACCAATTGCTTTCATTTCCCTCTCCTTTCTTATCGATCTTCTACTGAAATACATTCTATGCCTGACCACCGTTATGTACTAATTATGTGGATATAAATAACCCATACCACAGTATCACGAATTCCCATGCAAAACGTTTGACCCAAGTCTGAGTACACAAATTTATATTTCATGAGCAATTTACATTATTTTATAACCATAACGATTGATCTGCAATCCAGTTATCATCTTCAATATTAGTAATTTCGTATGAAATAAAACTTAATTCTTATGTTATCGTCTGATGCTTAGGATTCATACTACTAACTAAATTTATATATTTTATACATTTAATATGAACTATATGTAATAACATGTTCATTTTCATTTAAGAATCATTTAGAAAAGTAATTCTGTACTATAACTTTCAAATTACTGTCATGTTTTCTTCTTTATATTTTTTTCAAACAAGCTTTATCTTTACAAAGAATGATAAATTTAAAACAGATTTTAGTAGTATCTTCACTATGTCACCTCAACGTATCAGTCTATCTCCAACAGATAAACTCACACAAGTAAACGTACGTATTTTATTTTATCAAGATATTTTAATAAAACTGTTTACATTGATCTATGTTTATTATAATTAAAAATATACTTTTTGTAAGCAATGATGGATAGTGGCTAGCAGTGGAATTCAGGACGCGCGTTTCGTCCCATTCAGGACTCGTCAGCTGGAGTTGATGGTCACTCTGGGACTCGAATCCAGTACCGTTCGCTTCAAACACCATCGCGTTATCCACTCATCTAATGAGTCCTGATAGCCACTTGCTTGTGCAATGGGGTGAATTTAAATTCACTTGGTATTATTTGTCTTGTATCTTCCCATTGAGGTTTAAGACTGCAATTGATCAGTCTGTTATTGGCATATGTGTATACTGTGCGTATGCCTCGATATTGCCTTAATTCACAAGCTTTTTGTAAGCAATGATGGATAGTGGCTAGCAGTGGCAACCATCGTTTATTAGCGGATAGCGTTGGTCCCAAAGCTATAAGCACATAGAACGTATTTGAAGCGGAGTGATGAATAAGTATATGCGAGCAATTACATAAGCAAATTTATAGTCAAATCGCATAAGGGAACAGCAAGGACTAATAATAGGATTTGACTACATACAACATGGTAGGTGAATGAATCATCGAGTGACATTTAAGCAATCAACATTTAGCTAGAGTCTGTCATGTAATCTAGTGATCGTACAGTACAAATAAATAGACGAATTTTTACTGTTCAAATGACATTGTCTGTTAAGTAAGTCAATAAAGAGCTTAATCAGAATTAACCGTAACCGAAATTTTTTGTAGGATAGTTGTTATATCTCTTTTAAGTAGAATACTCTAGATATATAGATTGTCACCTAGGCGACTTTGATATGAAAGAGAAGGTTCAATCGATTTTGAAAAGATGATAACCATATAACTTAATTTAGCAGTATAGGAGGGTTAGTTATCACTGTTTTGTTATCAGTATATACACTTTTGACACTGAATAAATATGGAGTTTCCTGAAGTCTGAGATAAGTTATAGAATTATGTTAGGTATGATGAATAGTTAGGTTAATCAATTCAGTTGTTCACATAAATGGAAAAGACTATACTGATTTCCCTTTTACTAGTTTTATTTGTTGACGTTATATTTTACCGATCAAATTAAACCTTACTTACTTACTTACTTACGTTTGTTACTCCTCGTGGAGGAGCATGGGCCGTCCACCAGCACTCTAAACCTAAGCCTTATTAATAGATAAATATAACTTATTCAATTTCATTTTGCTTAATTAATTTAGCTAACATGTTTCACACAATCAGAGTTAATTTTAAAAGAAGCAGAAATACTTAAATGTCAAATTATTGAACCAAATATTAAAGGAACTCCACAACTGATTGCATCAATTCCAATAAAATTGTCTGTAAAAGCAGAATTCAGCAAGTATGTTTATTCTGAAATTCAGTGTATTTTGTTTTCTCTAATGTACAATATACTGAGTTATGATATAAATGTTCTATGTTTGTTTATAGAACAGTGTGCGTTTAAAAACCACGATAACTTCATGAAGTAAATAGGAATAGATTTGTGGTGGTCGGTATCTAATATAATCCTTAAACTTCGTATTACAGTTCGTCCTGATAACCATCACTAGATAACGCCCCAACGGTGTATTAATCAGAAGGCGAATACGAAGTGTTGATTAAGTTTATTATTTCACCATATACAGATCACCAAAACTACAGGTACATTAAGCAAGCATGAAAGAGTAGTGCTGAAAAGCAAACAGGTAAGCGAGTGTGCGTGCGAGTCAAATGAGCAAGTCAGTGGACAGGATTGAGATGTACATATACATACATTGAGAAATTAGTTAGTCATCAAGCTAATTAAGCGACTAATAGTACAGCTAGCAGAATGAATATATCGCAATCAGTAAGCAATGCTCAAGCATACATATTCATAAAAGAGCAACAACAATAAAGGTATAATCGTATAGATAAGTTATTATAGTACGAATCACTCTATCCGTTAATAAGTTAAAAAAGGGCTTAACCAAATTAAATGTGAACAAAATCAATTGCACGTGAGCTGCTATAATCATATGTATTCCCATGAGCAACAGTTATCTCGATGTTAACTTTGAGGCCTCATTCTGCCAACGAATCACACTTTTGACCACACTAGTCACTAACTTTTTATCAGTCAACTAAACGACCATGATAAACATGCATACGAAAGCTTCAAACAAGATCGTTTTCTGTCAGTTTACTCATTAGTTTTACATTTTTAGTCAATCAGTGCTGGTTAACACATGGCTTGCCACAGCCGTACCGTCCTAGTATAGGACTTCTCAGTAGTGTGCATCGAAGATCCCGCACCCCTGACTCGAACTCAGGGCCTTCAGTTTCGCTCACGAACGCCTAACCTCCAGACTACTAAGCCGGTATCCAACAGTGTGGATGCGCACTGCTTAGGAATCTCATACTAGGACGAAACGACCACCTACTGCTCCCAGGTTTTTATTGGTGGTCTAAAATCGACCCATTCATGGTCTCAATCAAAAATTAAGAATCTCCACAACCCTATACTGAAAATATCTGTTAGCTTAAAAGGCTATACAGAATGAACACGAGATGGAATTATTAGAATGAACGGCATGGGAGTCGAGCCAGTGGTAAAATTGATGTTGGTGGCATAAATCAGACAGTGAAGAATATAGTCAAGGAAGAAATTATGTGTGGAAGAAAATTGAGACTTAAGATCTAGAGAATGTATTTGGACTAATATAACGGACTATAAGCCATCACCCACGCCCGACTAATAACTACGGCTGTCTTGTGGATCTCGACATATTAGTCTGTATTTTCCAACACAGTTAAGTCAGATAATCATGAATTCTTACTCTTACCTACTACCACATTACGTGAGCTACTATAGATTATCTGACCTAATGCACTCCATCAATTATTGATATCACTTGTATAGATACAGAAAACAGAAATCACAAAATCTAATAGACTTTTGAATACACATAGTTTTAGAAGACTAAAATACGCAGATCTGAAGTTTAGCCTTTCTATTGATCATTTAGATTTGAATATAATATCGTCTCTCTTATCATACAGAAAGTATCTATGTCTATAACATCTTTGACAGAACGCTGTATTACTTCATGAATGAAGAAAATGTTGAGCCTAACGTTATAGAAATATTTTAATAGATATCACTTGAAATTAAAGTAAAGGGACCACAATCTGTGGTTCATTTTAATAATTTGCATAAACGTTAGCAATGCAAAATTAATCAAGCAGAAATAGACATTATCCTTTTCAAAATTTATTATTCTATTAACTCTACTCTTTCGATATCATCAAATTATTCCATATGGTGAATTGTTCAATGTTTATTCCATTTAATATTTCTTGTTTTAAAATCAAGAGTGTCTTATTATATCACGATTATCTGTTAGATGTAGGGTATCAGGGAATGATGGTAAATCAATTGGTAGGGTTATAAATCTTCATCGACTGAGATGGCTGGGACACGTGTAACTTGTGTCTGAACACCGTTTATCACGAAGCGCAATAGTGACTAGTGTTGGAGACGATTGGAAGAAAGTTAGAGGCGGCCAAACCAAAACGTGGCATCAGTCCTTGAAGTCAATAACTTTTAGTCTGAGCCATGTTGGTAGATGCAGACTACTTGGTTGGGGTTCGCGTGACTATCGTAACCAATGGTTGGAGATTCTAGGTGACATAGCTGAGAATCGATCACAATGGTGTCGATGTATACACTCTTTGAAGTAACCACTTCTATAAGGTTGATGTTCATCTTGTTGTACTAATGAGGAATGGCAACTTTAAAATGAACCCAATTCGTAAATAATAGAAGTTTAAAAGCACACAAGCTTCATTTCAAAGCTAGAACTAATATCAAATAGTTCTTCAAACAGATGTACATAAATATATGAGAACATTTCAGTGTGAAGAAGTGAAATATTAAATTTTGTTTGTTCAAAGTAGATGAATGTATTTTCTGACGGACGTTGAATTTACTTATTACATTACAAGTTGAATTAGGCTGGATAACCTTTGAAAATGACAAGATGTAAGACAGTTGTTTCCTACTAGTATGGGACCTCTCAGTAGTGTGCACTCACTTCCACTGAAGTATGGAACAAGTATTACCGATCTGAGTGTATAAGTCATGTGATGTCTACGGATTGCAGTTATAAAAATCTGAAGCATCGCGGTTATTCTAGGTGGTTCAGATTTTAAGCTCTTGCAGCGTGGCCTGAAGAAAGTGCTGGGTCCGATCACTGACTAAATCATGGATGCACACTACTGAAGAGTCACATGCTAAAACACAATGGGAATCATGTTTTTTGTCGCTTTCAATGGTTAGGATTTAAGCTAGAAACTATTAATATGTTCTTAAGTAATTGATAATATAAATAACAATTTACAGTAATTACTGCCATTTCTTCAATATAACTGTTGTAGATTTACAATTTCTCCCGCACATGATATTAATTTTGGTTCACTTATATTAAATAATCATAAAACAAGACAATTGATCATTGAAAATAATGGAGATTATGAATTCCGTTACTCAATTATACCTGTTAGTAAAATGTTAGAGCTATTAGCAACACGTGAAGCTTTATTGAACAAAGAATCTACAGGCACGGTGAAACATAAAATGTAAGTTATTTAAGTTCTTTCTGCTTTTATTCAGCTTTTCGATTTCCAGTTACTCATCACTTGATAACTCTGATTGCTATTATGTGATAAGTTCATCGGTCAGAGTTCTAATTATGATATTTTTTGTTTCGTATCGTCTATAACATAGTGTTCTGGACTTGATCAAGTATACACCTAACTTACAATGTTAATCTTAAGCCAATGCAAACTAAGCTAATGTTGGTGCATTATACTCAAGCCTTTCTCTATCTTTTCCCTTGAGTCCAAAGAGAAGTCAGTAGTGAGCTTCCATTATTCTCAATGCGATTATGACTTAAAACTTAAAGACTTAAAGTGTTAACTCTTAATCACATATTAACATAATGAAGATATTACATTGATGTCATTAGTGAAAGAGAATCCGGTCATAGGTGCGTAATAAAGTAACGGTAACTGAAGAAAAGTACAACATATGACAAGAGCTTATGTATCACAAGTAGGAAAATATAGAAATGAAATATTTAGAAAGAAAAAAACAGAAACATTAACTTCACTTAGAACAGTTACGGAAGTTCAAATTTTCAAGTAATTGTCCCTTTAGAGCTTAGTTCAAGTAGTAAAGAGTATTTTTGATAAGTTCATTTATTATTAAACAGTTTCAGCACTTCTGTCCTTCCAATAGCCGTAAAACAAATGTCCTAAGTTGTTCAGGATTTCAATGATCCTTCAAACAATAATGGACCGATGCATATATGTGTCTGGTCCTACGTTGTAGCTGACTGACTGACAAACAATAATGACTCTCATAAAAATCTTTATTTAAATGATTTCGTGTTTTCGCACCGGAAATAAATCATACTGTGTTTTGTTCGTAGATTCTATGTACTAGAAACGCTACATTTTAAGCACATCATTTAAAGTTCTTAGTTTTTTTTATCGATAATAAAAAGCTATAGCTAAACACCGTAGTATAACTAATGAACTTTGAATTTATTAGTGTTTTGATTGAATAGACATTAAGCGTAGATTTCTAATTCTGATTATACCAGATAATCCTTATTATTCATTTTTATAATAAATAATAGTATTATATGAGACTCCTCAGCAGTGAATATCCACGATAGGATGAAGCAGCCGTCCAGTGCTTCAAGGTTTTCCATGGTGGTCTAGTTTTAATTGACTTATGATTTCAACTATTAAAATTACTATAATATCCACAAAATCCCTTCTGATAATAATAATTATAGTCTTCAACAAAATAATAATGTAGCAGTACAATACAAACGTCAAGATGACTTCACTATCCATCTATATTGAATTTCCAGGTTTTCTATAGTGGTTAACCTTAGATCGATCCATGAATTCAACTATTAAGGAAAATACAACTTAATTTCAAAATTCATCTCCCGATTTGAGATAACATTCATTACGGTCTAATCTTTGGAACCATTATAAAGTCACACATAGATTTATAGATCATGGCCATGAAATAGTATAAATCGATTTTTTAAAGTTTAAATTATGGACTAAATTTAGCTAGATAATCGTCTCGTTAATCTGAAGAGCATTGAGCAGTGTTTCCATCCTGTTACGGGACTCTTCAAACTGCTAGACATTGAATCCGGCTCATTCAGACATGGCGGAAAACATTATACCACTGATTGGAGATCGAATAGTTCACATTTGTATGATGATATTGTATGACTACTATTAGTTCCTGCCGCTGATGTCTTATTAACGCCTAACGTCGTCATACCGTTCCTGTTGTAATCCCTTGAAACGTATTGACTACAAAGCTTTTATACAGATTATTTATCTAAAATAGAGACCCATCACAGATGCACATAATAACTAAAATGGACACCACTCGTTTTATCAAAAATAGTGTTTAAGAATTATTTTGTTTATTTTCACTTCTGATAGATTGACGGAACATATTCATTCTGTTTTGACATTGTTAGGGAAATCCAAAAACTTCTCAACGAAAAAGCCAAAAGTGGTTCTGAAAACATTGAGAGGCATCTTATTCAATCAGTATTCACTAAAAGTTTTGCCAGAAACATCTAGAAAGAGAAAAGTCACTTGTCGAGTTTCTGATTGGATGATTGTCTATATTGATACTATGTTTGGTAGAGTTCCGGAATTTTCCGGGTACCTAAAGCCATCTAAAATACTATAAAAACCCTAGATTTTCTGTACATAAACGAACCTTTAGAGTAAAGCGTTCCTTCCATATTTCGCGCCTTTTCTTTCGTGTTCAAGTCGCTGTGTAGATTTAGCCTGGGAGATTACTAGAAGAGTTTAGGAACCGAATCTAGCGTTTCAATTACAAGACTTATCAGACATTGACTTATGTAATCCAGAATATTTAAAAATACTTCTTGATGATTGGTTAAACAAGCACGACCTATCTGATTTGTTTACAATCTGTTAACTGTTTTGTGTACATATTTAATTTTTATTAAAAAATATTTATGTTTTGTCATTATGAGTAGATATCATCGTAAAACTAAAAGGTATGCATCATTAGCTTATGTGATAATTGACTACACATGCAAATATATGCTTGATATACATAGCAACTATATCTTGTTGTATTTGACGCTTCATTAACTGTCATTTCTTTACAAAACCAATTATATTAAAGTTATTTTACAAAATAAATTACAGTATTCATACTTGTTATATGCACATAGAGTAAACTAGCCTAAATATGAATTAATTACTACTCATTATATCTAACTATGCACAAAGTTCATTACCAGGTGTTTATTCCATGGCTAAAAGATGAATGTTTGAATCAAATGATTACCAGCTATTACCTAGTTTATACACATTAAAGCTACAGGACACTGATGAAAGTTACCTAACTTATACTTTGAATTAATAAAGTAAATTAACGATATCATTTCCATTGTGAATAAGTATCCTATGATTTGATCATTTTATTTTGTTACCTAGAAAAGTAATAAGATTGGAAAAAGGTCAAAATATAAACTTGACAAAGTCATTATTTAGAATTAAGTAGTAAATCATACAGAATATAAAGTATCCTTTATAAAATAATAAATGATGTCAAGAAAAGAAAGCTATGACCGGGTATAAGTAAATGGAATAGTGCTAATTTGTATATGAGTTTCTGTCTTAATCAATCAATCAATCAATCAGAAATAACGTTCTAGAAATATTGAAGGTAATTTTTAGTAATCAGAGTAATTGACATGATGATAATCTATTCATATAACCGCAAATATAAGAGCTTGTTTTGTGTAACTTTATACTATTCATGCTTTCATTGTTGTTGCTTTGCACGTATCATATAATAAGCATGTTAATCAGTGCTTATGTGTTTTATAAAATTCAATTTGCTTCTTTTCTGTTAATTGACATTGTCAGCTTGGTATATCTTCGACAATTTTAAATCATATTTTACAATTGTCTAAGTATAATTTTGGTAAATGGTTGTAGAGATTGTTGAGTTTCGATTGACATCATGAATGAATCAGTGTTAGACCACCATTGAAAACCTGAAAACATTGGACACCTGTTTCGTCTTAGTATGGGACTCAACAGTGCGCATTCACAATTTCGCATGTGGGATTTGAACCCAGAACCTTCGATCACGTGCGCGAACGCTTAACCCCTAGTATAATTTATTGATTCGTAAATATATAAGTTCATTTGTTTCTTTCTAAGTGTTCATATTTTAATTATTTTTTAATTTAACCACACCTGATTGCAATTTATGAGCACCCTTTATCTCTGAAGCACCCTCTTTGTGAATCATACTGGTTCAAAACTCACAGATAACATTGTTTTCCTTGAGACTGAAAATATGTTGATAGATTAAAACCTATCAAAGCAAATGCGTTGTAATATTGAATTATCTAGTCCAGAAACTGCAATACAAACAATATAACACCATATACGTTGTTAATTATAAATCAATAAGTCTATAATAATTTGCTTTTATGTGGTATTAATAAATAGGGATAATGTTTTAAATAAATTAATATATTTGTAATATCAGAACGGGTTTTGTAAAGATTGTAGTAATTTCAACAGTTGAGATCATGAGTCAATTGAAGCTAGACCACCATGGAAAACCTTGAAGCACTGAACGGCCGTTTCGATCCAGCGGGGCGGGGTCGTGGATGTGCACTGCTGAGGAGTCCCACAATAGGACGATACGGCCGTCCAATGCTTCCAGGTTTTCCATGGTGGTCTAACTTCAGTTGACTCATGATCTCAACTGTTGATATTTATAATATCCCAATGAGTAGAAAATTAGATTTTCTGACGTTTCGTCACGCATTGTAAGCCAATTCTTCAGAGAATAAATAACCAAATCAAATTTAATACAAGTTTAAATAGTACCACGGAACAACGCAAGAATATTAAGTGCGATCTATCAAAAAGCAGGTCTGAACGAATCAATGTCATGTCATTTCGGTCAAGGTGATTCATAAGCGACATGTATGTAAATTTGTGTATGTGTATGTGTGTAACGTTAAGGATGAAAATATGTGTGACCTTTATAGTTAGAAGGGATAGAGTTTAATTTGTATGTAAGGTAATATTGTGAAATATGAATAATATCGGACTAGGTGGCTAGGATAGATAGTCCAAATAGGATGTATGGTAAGCCGTTCTTTTCTATTAAGAGCAGTAGGAATGACCATTATATGTATACTTTATCGAAATTGATATTTTCATAACCATAATCCTAACTATAGATTCAAGTACCCTCATGTCGACTTATTTGAGACTTCTCATTGGATTAAATGTTGTGCTGTTTATTAATCATATGATAACAGAAAGTGTTACAAATTTGAGAATTTGTTAACAAATGAAAATAAGTAGTAGATATTTATTAATCTTCTAAATTCTTAAACTCGTCATATTTGAAATTTGTGAATCATCGAACAGGTGAACCATTAAAGATGAACACAACAATGAACATAAACATTACATTTGTAAATACTTCTCTCGACTATGCATTATTGTATTTCTTATTCACCTTATTATTATGCACAACCTTGACGCTTTATTGTTTACTGATCTTTCCCTATTCTGATATCATTGGCTTTTACTTCATGTATGTATTCTTTTTTGAATATGTAGCATGTTGATGTAGTATTCAGTATTGTTATTCATATGTTATTGTACAAGAATGCTAATTCGAATGTTTCACTAACTTACTTTAACAACGAATATCAATGCTTTACGTTTAATCAAACATACATCCTCATACTGCATTTTAGTGCAATTAGATAGCATGCAAAGATAATCAGTATTACATTTAATATAACAATATGCTTATTTGCTTTATTGTGAAAGTATTACATTGAAAATGTTAATTTGTTTTTTATGTAGGTTAGATCCAACCATGTTGAGTTCATCACAATCTCGTTTACAGCAAGGTTTTTTCACATTGAGTCCAGCTAGTGGAATTGTTCCACCTGGAAATGCACAAATTATAACAGTTGATTGTTTGGCTGCTTCATTGGGTCAATGTTTAGAAGTTAGTTGTTAGTTTTAAAGATTTTCAGAAAAGATTATCCATCGATTTTTTCTCTTACTTTTAAAGTTCATAATATTATCAGAGCGAACTTTCAGTAATGTTGAAATTACTAAATATTAAACCATTTATTTTAATCTCGTTAAAATCGAAGGATAACATCTTTGGATGAGACTATAATCTATGGACTACCTTCAAGTGACGCCAAAGTGACCTTGAGAGTGTCTACCTACTTACTAGGGTTAAATGAGGACTATGAAGTAGTTTGAAGGATAAGGATTATGATTCACAGTTGATGGTTAGAATTATGGTTAACTAGCATTGTGACACATTCAAATGTTCTCAAACACAAGTTGTAAATGTAGCACAATATTTTAAATCAAAACGAGGATATCTGAACAGAATTCTGGTTGATATTTACTGTGCATTGTGACGGAATAGCAAGATATTAGCTTCAAAAACTGGAAGAGACAAGAATATTTGTTTGTATTCTCCAACTTTCAGCAGTCCTCTATGGACGACTTTGAATTGTAGTACGTCGTGTGAATTCGGTATGGTGTTGATAATCTCAGGTACACAATAGTGTTGAAGAAGTTTCCATAATTTCCTCCTATCCAAATTGTCAAATGCTTTCTCGTAGTCAAGGAAGTTTATGTATAGTGACGAGTTCCACTCAGTTGATTGCTCAACAATGATCCGTAATGTCGAGATTCGGTCTGTGCATGATCGATCCTTACGGAATCTGACCTATTGATCTCGAAGTTGGACATATATTGAATCCTTCATGCGGTCCAACAACACTCTGTTGAGACCTTTTCCTAGCATCAATAACAGTAGGATGCCTCTGTGGTTCATACACTTGCTCAGATCTCCTTTCTTTGGTATCTTGGTGAGATATCCTTCTTTCCAGTCCATCGGCACTTGTTCTTCCTTTCAAATCTTCCTGAATAGGACGTAGAACATTTTTGCTGTTACTTCTATGTCTCACTTTATTGCTTCAGTTGGTATATTGTCAGGTCCCTCTACCTTCTTCTTCATTTGCGTGATCGTCATGCTGATCTTTTCGATCGTTAGTGGAGTGGTAGCTATAGGAAGGTCTGTGTGTGCTGCCTCAATGTCCTTCTTTGTCCTTGACTGGTCTCTCTGGCTTATTGTATTTTCCTGCTAGTTTTTACGTTGTGTCATATATCTGTCTCATATTTCCTTCTCTTGCAGCTTTTTCTGCTGTCGGTGCTCTTCCACGTATTTCTGGTTATCCGCTCTAATGCATCTCTTCACTTGCTTGTTCGCTTCTGTGTACACAGTTTGTGCCTTGACTTTCTCTGTTCTTGTTCGGCTGTTGTTAATTGCTGTCTTCTTGTTCTTCCTTTCTTTGATCCTGTCCAATGTTTCAATAGAGATCCGTCCCTTATGATGATGTTTCTTGAGGCCCAGAAACTCCTGGCACGTTGGAGTTATCGCTTCTTTAATGCCTTTCCAGTTGTCCTCCATAGTAGTTTTTTCTTCCTTCAGTAGATCTTGTAAGGCTTGGGACCCGTTGTTGAGACTTGAATTGATGAAGTTTGTCAGTATCTAGAGGGAAGGCTATGTTGTGCCTTTGTAATGCTGTTTCTTCAGCTGACCAATGTTTCTTTAGCTTCAGTTCCATCTTCACCACAACTAAGTGGTGATTTGAAGCTATGTTGGCTCCACTCCTGGTTCTCACATCTCCACTAACCTTGTGAATGTTTTACTGATGCAAATATGATCTATCTGGTTCTCCGTAGTGTAGTCCGTTAAGACCCATGTAGCTTTGTGTACGCGTTTGTGTGGGAATATTTTGCTGTCTGTAATCAATTTGCTGAATGCACATAGAGTTTCGAATCTGTCGCCATTCTCGTTCCTTTCTCCCAGTCAGTCCATGTCGTCCCATATTGTTCATTCCGACCTTGATGTTTAGATCTCCCATCAGGATTGTCAGGTCGTTTCCTGAGAACTTGTCTATGATTGATTGCAGCCTCTCGTAGAGCTGGTCTTTATCGCCGTCGTTGCTATCATTGGTGGGTGAATAACACTGGATAACATTCATTGTGATTGCTTTCCTGTTTGTTTTGAAGGATGCTTTGATGATCCTGGATTCATGAGATTTTCACCCAGTAAGTGCATTTCGTGCTTCTTTGGACAGCATAATTGCGACTCCCTGAGTGTGTGGAGTACTTTTTTTTCCCTCGTGATCAGAGCACAGCAGCACCTCTCCTGAATTTATTTATGTCCAGCTTGGTTCCAGAGGGTTTCACTGATTCCGAGAACCGTCAAGTTGTATCTCCTCACTTCTGTAACTATTTTGCTGGTCCTACCGATCTCCCACATTGTCTGGACGTTCCATGTACCTATATTATTTGTTGGTCTGGTTGTAAGAAGGAGTATCGATTCTGTGACCTCCGAAGAATATTAGCTTTCATCATGTGGCGTCATAATTCTTCCTTCAACTCGGATGATAGAGTTTTAATGGTTTAATTTGCTCATTCTGGTTAGCTTTTTCTTAGAGAGATTGTTTTTCTATGGATTGGGGTTGCTGACCGCATGACCAACCTTCCTCCTTTTCCCATGCTTGGGACCAGCAGTAACCCTAGAATAGCTACAAGCTGAGTTATACTACTTGTACAGGCAAGTATTTGTTTGGAATCAGTTGCCAAAGGAGTCGTGCGACGACGCTTGAAGCAAACGTTACCGGGTTCGAGTTCGGGGGTGAGAACCAACTCAGAGTTGCAGGCACATCCAGATGACGAGTTCCGAATTGGATTATATGAGCATACTTGATTACACTGCTAGCCACATTCCACATATTCTATGTATGCTACTATTATTATTATTATCATTGACAGTAATTCTGCTAATGTTAACGAATTTTATATTATTAGGAATTAACGATTGAAATATCTGATCGTGATATGAAATTATATCCACATGGAATACCATATCATCTTAAAGCTGAAGGGGATCTACCACTAATTGAAACCAATGATCCTTCAATAATATTTGAAGAACATCATGTTTGCAAAAATCTGAGTGTTTTAGATTTGCCTGATCTATCAGATACGGTATGTATACATTTATGTGAATTATAATTATCATTCTTAATATTCAGTCTTATTCATTTTGTTAAAATCAAAATGATTAAAAACGTTGAAGCACTGGACGGCCGTTTTATCATATTATGAGACTCCTCTTCAGTGGATATCCACATTTCCGTATGTGAAAATTATACTCAAGGTCTTTGGCCCGGAGCACGGATGCTTAGCCTCTTGACTACAGAACTGGGATCCAGTGGTTTACATGTCTAATTTCAATCATCTAATGATTTTTCGCTATCACCTTCCAGTGTCTTTGATGGGTAGCGTTTTCATACTCTACACTGTTTAACTCCATTGGTCCCATTTTCCAGGTTTTCAATAGTTGTCTAACCTAAATCGTTTTGTGAAATCAATAAAATACAAAAATGTCCACAACATCAAATTAGAAGCCTTTTATTTTATTTTATTTTATTTATGTATTTGTATCTGCTAGCTGTAAACCGAACTTATAGTGTTGATTACTTTTTGATACTTCCATAACTTTATTCAGTGAATTCGGGTTGAAACATGATGATTGATTTTTTAGTCACATATTTTATTATAATATTTTGTTATCTGTTAACTATTTGGTCGGAAAATCATGCGTGAAATCTCATATGGAGTCGCATTTGTGAACTTCAGAACAGTCTTAATCTAGCGTTTCTTTGGCTAAATTCAATCTGTAACGATATCTATCATCAAAAGTAACATAATTTAAGCTAAATGTTGGATAACTGTTGAACTAATAATTATGAAACATTATTTGATACTACAGTTTATTTCTCTTGTCGTTCCGCATTTACATCACTTGTGGTACAGGTGAAATATCACCCCGGAAATTAAGGGGTGACTATATTATGTACCAATTTGTATTGTTTTTGTCTTATGACTGTGAAACATGATCTTTAAAGAGTTAAGAATTATTTTATTTTACAAGTATTTAACCATAGGTTTCCTCAAAGAAATGCTTGTTTATATTGGTGCCACCGACTGAGAGAATCTGAGATTATACACATGACATTAGATGAATATGGTGAATTGTTTGATAAGGCGTTAAATCTTCATCAGCTAAGGAGGTTGGCGTATATATATTATGTATCCCCAACCACCGTCTACCTCAGTGAGATTTTCACAATCAATGGCTGGAAATACATAAATAATATATTTGTAATATCCCAATGAGTAGAAAATTAGATTTTCTGACGTTTCGTGACTTAGTGTAAGTCACTTCTTCAGAGAATAGATAACCAATTTAAAATTAATCCAAGTTTAAATAGTACAACGGAACAATGCAAGAATAATATTTGATCAATCAAAAATAGGTCTGAACAAGCTGGTGTCATGTCACTTCTGTCAAGGTGATTCATAAGTGGTATGTATGTAAATTTGTGTGTATGTATGTGTGTAACGTAAAGGATGAAAATATGTGTGACCTTTATGGTGAGAAAGGATAGAGTTTAATTTGTAATATGGTAGTGTGAATTGTAAATATGATCAGACTGAATGGCTAGGATAGATGGTTCAAGTAGGATGTATGGTGAGGCCTTCCTTTCTATTGAGAGAAGTAGGATTAAGCATTAAATGGAACGCTTCAGCTACCCTCCTTTCTTTGTAGTTGGAAAAGCCTTTTTGCAATATTTTGATGTTTTTAAAATCAATTTGGTGGTTGTTGAAAATGGTATGAACTGCTATTGCCGATTTAATTTGAAGTTGATCCAATTCTACAGGATTGTTGGGAGGTTTCTTTGTGTACTTAATATGTTCTTTGGCTCTAGTCAAGATTTCGCGGGTTGACTCTCCAATATAGAAGGCATCACAATCGATACAACCTAATTTGTAGACGCAGTTCTGTGTGGACATGAACGGGATTTTTTTCTTCTAGGTGAACTAATGTATTTCGTAGTGTGTTCGTTGTTCTGTAATATACTTTAATTCTGTGATGTTTTAAGATTATTTGAAGTTCTTCTGTTGTGCCGTGACGGTATGGTAGAACTGAAGTACCAATCCGTGGCATTTCATTCGAATCATTATTATGACGTGATAAACTGTCTTGTTTTAATATACTGCTAATAATCTTCATGGGAAAATTATTAAATTGTAAGATGCTAATTACATTCTTTTGTTCTTTTTGTTTGTCTTCCTCTTATGTGATGATCTTGTTAGCTCTTCTAAAAAGATTTGATGCTAGCGAGATCTTAGCACTAAAAGGGTGTGCTGAATGGAAGTCAATATAACGATTTGAGTGCGTAGGTTTTTGGTAGATGGATAGGTTTAGAGTTCCATTTGGATTTCTTTTAACTAAGCGATCCAATAATGATAGCTCACTACGTTCATTTTCATTCGTGAATTTGATGTGCGATGAAAGTATATTTATTCGTTTTGAAAAAGATCTTAGATGAGCCTTTTTTTAAAACAACAAATGTATCGTCTACATATCTAAGCCAAATTCGTGGTATAATGTTGTGGGCGAAGATATTTGATTCTATGTATGCCATAAAAAGGTTGGCTACAATCGGGGACACGGGGGATCCCATTGCTACACCGTTAGTTTGTTTGTATAAAATACCGTTAAAAATAAATAGGGTTGAATTTAAGCAGAGTTTTAGCGATCTCATGATTAGACTGATGGTTGGAAATGTTTTGTGGTATGACTTAGAATCGGTCATAATGATTCAAGTACATCTACTTTTCATCTTTGCATAGATCCCGAGTTAAAAATTATTTTAGTCTTTATTTTCAGAGAATTTATTCTTCTCAAGTCATATTCTTTATACCTTAGTGTTTTTTATTCTATCACTGATACGAATATAACTTTTATTATCTTAAAATATTATTTCATCTTGCTGTGCTGATATGATTTAATCAGTCCCGGATTCTACGTTACACTGATTGTAAAATAATTAGTTCCTGTCTTAATGAAAAAATATCAATCTCTTTTCGTATTGTATAACTTATTTACAGATTTCATCCGGCAGTATATTTGGAATTGAAGAAAATCGCTTTGTTTATAGAAATGTTTTAGTTGGTTCACGTGTTGTTGCACGTTTCCGTATAGCTAATCGAAGTAATGTACCTGCAGATGTTTCATTTGAAGTTTGTGCAGTCGGAACAGTTAGTCCTAATCAACCAAATGGACGTTCAAGTAGCCGAAGTAGTCAATCTACTAGTTGTGATTCGTTTGAAGTGATACCAGATAAAGCTCAGATAGAACCACATTCATCTAGTTATGCAAATGTAACGTTTTGTCCAACATCTATGCAAGTGAGTTAATCACTAGGCAGAACTTTATTGTTTTTCATTGAAAATGTATAATTATTTTAACGTGAATTGATACTTAGGATTGTCTTAAGATATAGATAGCCAAACCAAGATATGATATCAGTCTATGAAGTTATTAACAACCTGTTTTGAGTTCATAAAACTATGGTCACTTGGTGGTTGGAGACTTTAAATGGGATGGTTTAAAATCGTTTTCAATGGAACAGGTGCGTCCACCGTTTATCTTCTCCCAAACTTTAAGCTTCTAAATTACCCACAAAGATTTTTTAATTTCACTAATTTGTATTTTCTTCTCGAACTGTATCTTCGATATCTGTTCTTGTATATTACCACTAATACTATTACTACCTCTACTCTTGTGGTATTCGACCAGACAATTTCACCTCTGTGCTAATGTGGATCACAGCTTAAACCCATGCACACATGTACCAGGTTTAGTATTGAATTTGATTGACCATTTAAAAATGAGTGGTTGACACAGAAGTAAGATTAGGCATTACTTAGTGTCTTGGGTGTATTAACTTATTTCTTTTTGATACTTCATGATAGGAAACTTAACTTTAATATGAATGATTTTTCTACGAATTCAATACACTCACTTCTTTATATTTTGTTAAATGTTCCAGCTTTACACAGCAACATTTAATGTATATGTAGACAATAAACTATCTCCAAGTACCATAGTTACTTCAGGTCGAGGAAGTACTAGTTCCAGTACAAAACGTTCTTCAAATCCACCTGTTCTTACTTTTGAATTATATGGTGAAGGAAATCTACCACAAATAAGTGTTTTACAACCAAAACTTCGCAATCGTGCTGGCCAAACAATGTGCGTGTTTAAACGCATTCAAGTTGGTAAAATATCAAGTCAGACATTGTCTCTTCAGAATAATGGATTATTAAATAGTCGAGTACGTAATTTTTTTCCGATAAATCTAACCTTATTTTCATTGTGTATTCAGTTCGTTATTAAATAACCTTGATAACTATATGTAGCATACTGTGGGATGAATTTTATAAATATGCATGGACATTTGATTGATACAAACAAGTCGAGAAAAATATAGGATGCTTATAGTAAATCCTTATTTGATGATTTTCTTAGTAGCTGGTATTGATCTAGCTAGTGTTGATTGGATTGTCTTTTGGCCATCGTAATATCTATCTCATTTCCCATATCTACTTAAACTCAAAGTCTAGACTTGAACTGCAGCACTGATATATTCTATCTTAATTTATAACCTCATATTTAAATCACGAACTAGTATTAGCTAGACCATATCGGAAAATCTGAAAGCACTGAACTATGCTTTCTTTGATGGGTGGGACTCTTCGATTGTGTGCACCCACGACCCATCAGCTGGGTGACTTTTGGTCTTGTGTGTAAATGCATACGCTATTCTGGATGCAGGGTTGTTGTTACTCACTGCTGAGAAATTTCACACTATTAGCAACATCAGTCTAGTGTTCTTAGGTTTTCCGTGGTGGTCTAGCTAAGATCAGTTTAAGATTTAAAATATGCGATTGTAATATAATAAATATTATTGATCATTTAGAATCTATAAAAATTATGCTTTAATATTGTTTAGCAAATTTAGTCACAATAAAATGTTCACTTATTCAATCTAATGGTGTTTGAAAAGTATAGATTAAATAACTCAGTTTTCATTTGAACTCCGAATTCGAACTTTAAAAGTTTAGTTCCATAAACTTTATGGCAGTGAAACATGGCCGGTAAGAGTAGAGGATATTTGTAGGTTACCAGTATTTGATCACATGTGTCTTCGAAATATTGTTCGTATATCCTGGGACCATCAAGCAAGTAACGCAGTTGTTAAGAAACGGGTACTAGGTATGGATGGCAAATCAATTGATGAAGTAGTGAAACTTCATCAGTTGAGATTGTTGGGATACATTTTATCTATGCCCAACCACCGACTGCACCGACATGCTATGTTTTATGGTGTAGTAGTAGGCTGGAAGAAAGCTAGAGGCGGCCAGATCAAAACATAGCACAAATACATTAAGTCACTGACAAGTGAACCGGACCATGTTGGTAGGTGTAGACTACCTGGTCCCGGGCATCTGCCAGATGAGAGCAATCGATGGCTAGAGACCTTGAGTCACATGGCTCGAAACCATTTGCAATGGCGCAGGTGCATCCACTCTTTGTGTTCTCCCAAATTCTAATCTTCTGAATCCTTCATGTTCCCATTTTTTTCTCTTTCCAAATTTATTTCACTGGATTATACTCCTTGAATAACATCTTCAAACCCTAATGTTTCCGATGACTGCTTATACTCTTACTACGTCTACCACTACGGGATTTGAGTTGACAATCGTATCTGTGTGCTAATGTGGTATGGCAACTCAAACTGATGTACGTACGTACGAAATTCTACGTTGTTACTGACTGAATGACTGACGGACTGACTGAGTTCCATAAACGTTTAAGGAAAATTTGTAAAGTTAACTTTTTTAAAATTTCCTTTTGTTTAAATTCACTTGGTATTGTTTACTTGAATCTTGCCATTGATGTTTAAGACTGCAACTGATCAGTCTCTTATTAGCATATGCGTATACTGTGTGTATTGCCTCAATGTTGCTTTAGTTCACAAGCATTCTAAGTAAAGATGGATAATGACTACCGGTGGAATCCAGGACTCATTATTTTACAATTGATCTGCGACTGGATAATGGCTAATATCATGTTTTTAGCATTTAAAGCAGATAGAATTCTGTTTATCAATGTGGCCATTAGTTTGAGTTACTGTTAGATGGTTGCAGGCAGTTGGAAGGAAATCCTGAACCCATGTTTCTTGTTAGGGATAGGTGTAGATCACCGCCAACCACATCCTTTTATAGGTTTCTAATTTGACTTTTCCGTTAAGTGATTTGTCGGAAATAATTCGAATTCGAGACATAGATCAGTATGATCCAATGAATCTCTGGGCAACTTATAAACGATTCAATACTCCTTTCGTTAAAATTCTTCACTAGTGTACAGCGGAATATCACAAGGAATTGAACCTTAAAACTTCTCAACTCATGGTGAACATAATACTATAGATATGCTTAGCTGAATTTCAGTGGTCTAAGTTTTCCATCTCTGGTTTACTTATCAATCGTATACATATAATATCGTACAGAACTAAATATATTATATACCTTACGGAATAGAATATTGCAACGGTAAACTACGAATACTCAAGGTACGTTTATGTCCACTGGAAAAATTAGTGGCTCTCTGGACATAGATGTTTTATAGTGTTTGAAGATATAGACACACGTTTAAGTCTCAGTGTGAACATCGGCACTGAAACGCTGGTACATCTGGCTAAAGATTCTTAAATAGGACGGAACATGCTTCGTTGATTCTAGTACCAGGCGCATACCGAATTAATCATATACTTTACATTCTAGAAATAATTTATCTTTTTACTGCTAACCATTTTTTAATTTCGATTGCTCACAGAAGAATTAGTAGGATTATTATTGAAATCACTGATTATTATGTCGCAATTAACCATTATTTGGTATTTTTAATATTTTAGTTGAACATTGATCTCATTGATCCAGAAGGGGTGTTTTTATTGAAGCCACAATCGAACAATGGTTGCCTACTGTTTTACAATCCCCCAAACATGTCGGCTGATTGTACTAGTGAATCAAGTAAGATTAAAACGATTACACGTTTCTTATTGATTTTGTCTTATAAACTTATGTATATCATCGAACATCAATTCTTTCTTCGAAATATTTTACCTAACAGTTTTTTTTAAATATCTGTTTCCTCGATAAATCGAAATAGTTGTCTCAGATTGAAAATTTTCTGTCGTATGTATTAGGATAGGTCATAGTGGTACAAACGTATTAAGTCTTTTTCTTGCCCTAGACTTTGGGTCCCAGTATTCCTTTCCACTGTCTTTTTGCAAACCTCTACGTTAATTATGACTGACTTTGATTGTTGGCAAGTTGTCTTGTACAGGTCATTGTGAGAAAATTTCTCTTTAATATGTGACCACCAACTACAGATCTGTGTAATGACCAGAATTTTATGAGGTTTCAATTACTGTTGTCACTTCACAAAATTAAAGAGATAACAAACATTGTTTTTAATGAAGATGATAACTTCAAATTAATGATACAACACTATGTAAATTCATTTAGTATTGTTTGTGTGAATCTTGGCATTGATGTTAAGAACTGCAACTGGTCAGTCTATCGGGACACGGTAGCTAAGTGGATAACGAGATAGCGTTTGAAGAGAGCAGTATGGATTCGAGCCCCAGAGTGAACAATAACTCTGGGATGCAGGGATATCCAGTTGACAAGTCCCAAATAGGACGAAACGCACGTCCTGGATCACACTACTAGCCACTATTCACCATTGCTTATAACAACACTATATAATTTATAAATCTGTTGATCATTACACTGTTCTCTTAATCAAGAATATAATTGTAGCTATAAGCTAATGTGTACATCGTAAGCTCACACTGAACAAACAAAATAGAAAGTTAAATTTTAATCGTAAATCACTAACAAAGTTTGATTTTAAAAAAACAATACGATATTTATAATTCATGATTGATTCCTCGTATCATTCAATTCAGTCGATAAACTGACAATGGATAATGAAACACTGTTATTGTATTGTTTTATCAACATATCATGAATGTAAAATATCCAACTTCAGGAAGCATACCCGTTCATGCAATTGAACAAGCTGATCAGTTATACAAAAAGTGCTATATTTATTAACGGAATGATAACAAAGTGGTTGTAGAGATCGAAAAGTAGTCATAGCTGTCGTATAGATTAATTAGCGAAATGTAATCAGGAAAGATTTACGAAAGCAAGATTATGTATGTTTGTGTTCATAGAGTAATTAACTAAGAGATGGAAGTTTTAGTTCATAAAAATTCGAATTTACTGTTTAGGTAACTGGTATATCTGAACGAAGAATAAGTGAATAGTAACCGCTAGGATCTATCTGTGGTCTGTTATTATATATATTCTTATTGTATAGTAATCAAGTAACTATATTATATGTATATTCATATTCCTTGTATTATAAGCTGCCATTCGACCGATTGACTACTATTATATGATCTACCATTCATAAATTATTCCCAATTTATTAATTATAGTGTCTCACACTCACAGCCAATTTTCAATCTGATCTTGTATAATTGTTATTTTCTATTTTGTGGTGCGATATGATCTGGTTTGTTTGTATCTAAACCAAGTATGTCTGGAACACATGATTTATGTAACGGAGGCTGATATTGGTGTTCTGAAATAAACCCACTAAGTTAGTCGAGAAGCTACTATCTCGGTGAACTAATAAGACTCCAAGTTGACTCTAGTCTCTTCGTACCAGTTTATGCGTCATTGGTATGGTCAATAAGTCGATGTTCTGATTGGCAATCGTATCACGTAATAATTATCAGGCTATAATGACATGAAAGTAAGAAGTTAATCAAGTTTCATTTTGACAAGTGTTTCGAAATTCATTATAAAAGAAAAGCTTTAGTGATGCTAAAAATACGAAAACTAGATACTTTCGGTAGCATTCTATTCACTTTCTAAACGACTCTGAGTAGTGAGTTTGTTTAAATTGAATGATTCATACATAAAATGCCTAATCATTGTACAGCTTATACACTTAATACTGTCATGAAATTGAGTTTTCTTTAAATCTCACGGATAGAATACTGATTGAGATTCCATGTGTATATTATCAGAATATCAAGTGTAATATTAAACATTTATTTAAGTAGTCCAATATGATAGCTTACTTTGTAGATTATTGGCAAGCTTGGATAAACTGATAAAAATTGATTAGAACTTAGATTTAAATAAGATCATGTGATATTAGTTTGCAATTAACCTGTATACTTTTGGACTAACGGGCTGGCAACATTGATTTTACCTGAAATACATTACCTATGCGTGGTGAATCAGTTCGTGAGTAATGAACCTTCATCAATTGTAGTAGCCGAAACAACTAATTACCATTTCTTTTATTCATCTATGATCTATACTGATTATGTAATGGTCAACCGTAATATCTATCTATTGAAACATCATCCAAATAGATGATCTGTTGTTTGTCTATGAATTGTTCCAACCAATAAGTAGATTTTTACAATTGATCAATCATTGGGTGGTGATCACTGTCATGTGTTTCACGTCCTTATTAGTGCAGATCGAATGCTATCGACCATGTTGCAATGTGGCCATCGGTTTAGGTGACTTGACACTGTGGGCACTACATCAGATGGTGGTTGGAGGTAGTCGACAGGAAACCCTGGACCCGGGTTTCCTGCTACTCGGCACTCGTCAACAAGGTGTACCTGTAATCTTGAGGGGACTGGTGCTCCCTGGCGGATTCGATCCCGTGTCACCCAGCTACACAATCAGAGACGTTACCACTGAACTATCCGGGCCGCGACTGACCTCCTGTAGGATTGAGCACCAGTTCCCTCAAGAACAGGTACACCTTGCTGACAAGTGCCAAGTAGCACGAAATCCGGGTCCAGGGTTCCCTGTCAACTACTTCCAACCACCATCTAAGTAGATTTTTGTTGAATTTAAACAGATTTTATTATTCCAATGTTTCATTCAAGAATATCTTTCTTAAGAGATAAAAGAATTCTTAGTATCCAAAGAACCAAAAATAATTCTTCATTCCTTTTTTTTGTTTTCTTTTCAAATCATTTCTTAGCTGGTAATGATGAATTATCTATAGCTAAACAATCATATTTAATTGGTTTATTATTAAAACCTAAGCATCAATTTAATTTAACAATTTCTTATAAACCAAATAAACGTAATATTAAAAATTATGGACAAATTCAATTAATCGTAGTAAATAATGAATATGAAGATACATTAATTGAATTAATTGGTGAATCATTAAATGATGAAGTATGTATTGAAAATGTACCACAATTAGATAATGACAAATATTTATGTATACAAAATGCATTAAAACGAATAGTTTCTGTATCGAAATTACCATTAGACGATATGGATTGTGGTAGGTTTTCTTTTAAATCCTTTTTTTGTTTTTGTATAAGGTTTTGATCAATTATGATGATTTTTGATCGAGATCATGAATCGATTGATGTTAGACAATCACTGAAAACCTGGAAACACTGGATGCCCGTTTTATTCTAGTATGGGACTCTTCAGCAGTGCGCATCCACGATCCTGCTGAGGGATCCCATAATAGGACGAAACGATCGTCCAGTGCTTCCAGGTTTTCAATGGTGGTCTAACATCAAATGGTTCATGATCTCAATCAAGAAACTTAATAATATCCACAACCCCTATACTGATAATGATGATTATTGTCTTTTTTTCTTTGAACATCCATCTTAAAATCATTAACTAGAGCACGTCGAAATTATATTACCTCATTTAAAGTTGATGAGAAATCTTGATATAAAATCAATTCCAGTTTATTTTGTAATTCTTCTTCTTATTACTTTTGTTCTTGATTTACTGAACGAATCGAACGAATGGTACTTATGCTTAGATGATTATTTGTTTAACGGTTACTGATTGAGTTCTTCAGTCTATATTATATTATAAGTAGTATGAGTTATTTCACTATACTGACTAGATAATATACTTATTATTTGCTTTGGTCCTATGAATACTGAAGATATAGTAGCCATTGTTATTTGTGAGTAGGTTGGTCTTTGTTTTTGTTCCAGATAAGTGACATTATTTTGTATAACATTATTGAGGAAACATTTTCATTATCAGCATAGGGTTGTGGAATCGGTTGAATTTTAATTGAGATCATGAACCGATTGATGTTATATCACCCTTGAAAACCTGGACGCACTGGAAGGCATAGCATGGGACTTCTCAGGTGTGCGCATCCACGATCCTGAAAGAGAGACTCGAACCCATGACCTTCGGTGTAGCAAGCGGACGCTTAACCTTTAGACCATTAAGCCGGCGTCCAACGGTGTCAATGTCTGACTTCAATCAAACGGCTGTCCAGTGCTTCCAGTTTTCAATGGCAATCTAACATTCTTCGGTTCATGATCTCAATTAAAACTAGACAATTTCCAAAACTCTGCACTGATAACTTTTATGTGCTCACTAGTGATTAGCTTCGAGAAGTAATTGTCAGAGTTCTAGTGAGAAGCCGTGATCAGCAGAGTTGAACCGTGTCAAGTATGAGGCAGTTACTCACTAAGCATAATAGAGGATGGTCACGCAGTATCGTGAAAAATGTTCAGCCAAATTATTTAAGAACCTAAATACATTTGGACAATCGTTTTTTGTTTTTTTCCCTAAAATATATCAGAATCGTTGTTCGGATGATTTGTTGTCAGATGATGTACTGCCATTACTGTAAACTTTGGATATGACCTCCTGAAGAGTCCAAAACCAACTCGATTCATTACGGAAATCATAAATTCATTAATTTCCTCAACTACTCTAACTCAATATAACTTATTGTTTAAATTAACAATAAATTTCCTTTAATTTATGGTTTTAATTTTGTTTTATAAACAATTACAGATCCTAATCAAGATGAGATTCAAACTACGTCAGGTAACTAATCTTTACTCTTTTCGTAAATTTAATGGGAAACAATTATCATTGGTTATTTGTTTAATATTTGATCGCAGTATAAAAAGTAGTTTACTGAAGAATTAATTATTTACGTTCATCAGATAAATCTCGAGGCTGATAGGTCCTGGGTTCGAATCTCTCGAGGCGGGATCGTGGATGCGCACTGCTGAGGAGTCCCACAATAGGACGAAACGACCATCCAGTGCTTCTACGTTTTCCATGGTGGTCTAGTTTCAATTGACTCATGATCTCAACTATTGAAAATCTCTACTAGTTTATGAAACAGATATTCATTGTATTTTATAAAGATAGAAATATGAACTTCAGTCTATTACAAATACTTGACTCATTGCTCCTATTGTTAACTTTAATTAAATATAATATCTAGTTCAGCTAGAAGAAGAACCTCACTATATCTATCTGTATAAGCAATATTATTTTAAACAAAAAGAAACGTTAAGCATCGTATTCATGATTTATAAATAAGGGTGTTTTGGCTGAACATTCAACTCCTTAGATAATTTCACAGATCTTGAAATAATATATGGTTAAAAGTAGCTGGCAGAACTCCATAAACGTAACACTTCAGCTTGTCCATTCAATGTCGGGTCAAGTAAACTTTGACATTAAACTGTTTAATTTCTGATTCAAAGGAACTAAAACAGAAGAGTAAAAGTTCTCAAAATGCATTTATTTTTGTAGTGAACGAGAACACAAGTGTGGACAACCGAATGTATTTGAATACAAAATTACAGAACATCTTAGTAAAATCTGAGAACCATACAGTAAATAATTAATTTGCAAAATGTTAATCAATCGTCTCAGACTTCACTGTTCCTTCATTTAACTCGCTGTTTTCTTTCTTCTTTCTTCGATATTGTTCACATTCTGCCACCGGGCATTTCACTTTCGATTGATGATACATATTACTTATATCTGTCGACATCAGTAGAACACGCCACACTTTCACCACATGATGTATTTTGTCTTTCGGAACTTGGAAAAATTCCTTCATACTAATCGGCCCAATACTCATTATGATTTCAACTCAATGAAACGTACTTCCATCTGAATGGTTGATTTTCATTTAAATGCATCATACTAAACATTAAGAGCATTTTAATTTTGATTAAGTCTGATATTACCAATTTTTCTGATTAGCGTTTTTTTAGCGAGTTAGTTTTCTACGGGATGGGGTCGCTAACCCCATGTCCAACCCTCCTACTTTATCCGGGCTTGAGACTTTCAGTAGCCGCCACAACAATAGCATCATGCACTGTCCCATCGCCCTTGGTAGATCAGGTAACCCGAAAGTTACGAGAACACCACCAGGGCATACAACAGGCTAGGTACCCCTGATACCCCTGATATTACCACCTACTAAATAGTGTTTCCTCGGTATCGAGTTACAATCCGTTATTAAATTTGATATTTATGATATCACTAGGTCATTAAAACCTATTTAATTTGATTCAGTCCGTGCACTATTTTTTTATCGATATACATCATTCAGCATTTGGGATTTAGTTAAAACATTGCTTATCATCCGTCTACCAGGTGATATGTTTGATCCAACCTATTAGTAACTTAGCAGAGTGACAAAGGTTCTAAACTAACAAGAAACATGAGTTTCATTGCAAAAGATGAATCTAAATGATGTTAAGAATGAATCCAGCGCCCCAGAACGTTTGATAATAAAGACTAAATAGTGAAGTTCATCCAAACTCTGACTAAACGTCACTAGGGTCCCCATTAATGAATATACATAGTTGTTTGATTAATGATGTAGATCGCTAATAAAAAAAGACCTGTGTAAAATTTGTTGAACACCAAGGATCACTGAAATACATATGCCACATACGATTTATTATTCAAGCATCATGTATATTTATGCAAATTATTGGAGAAAGTACGATAAGTAAAGTAGTCTTAAACTCATGCAAGGAAGTCCAACGAATTTCATTATCAAATAAGGGATTAATTTAATCCTATATAGACATTTACTTAAAATTAAATATCAGTTTACTAGATAACATTTAGTTCTTATTCACAAATAAATGATATTTTCTAGCCGTTTCTTCGGATTTTTTTCCCCTAAATTAGCATTACAACATAACCATTTAGACTTTGGTGACTGTGGTCCAAATGAAACTATAACGCGTACAATAACAATCACTCATTGTGGCAAAGTTAAAGAGACAGAACCGACTAGTTTTCGTTTCAGTTGGCCAACTAATAATCCGATTCTTCAATTTCGACCATCTGAAGGTCATTTACATGTAAATCAATCTAGACGAATTGAAGTTACATTCAAACCATCTGGTTCACCAATAACACTTAAATCTCAATGTATTAAATGTAACTTACATCGTATTGTTGTACCCGTTCCAGAGGGTTGTACGAAAGTAAGTTATTCATAATTATATATTTATACGTGCTTTGTCATACATATCTAATACCACACCTCAGTAATATATGAATGAATGCAAATAAAATTCTGAGGAGTATTAGTATAACTTATGGCCGTATGCGGTGTTTGATTGGTGGTTGATTAATGAATGAAATTTTCTGAACAGAAGAATGGCAAGAATAAAGTGAACACTAAGTGTAAAAACATAAAGTCAGATAAATTTGAACTGTGTAAACATAAAAGAAAAAAGGTTATGTGTGTGAATTACATCAGATCAAACTGTAATGGAGATGATAATTGACCTATTGACCCTGAAGCTGAACAAGTCATAAGAAAACGTTAACCTCTCTCTGTTGTATTCAAAGCTCTGGGGTTTTGGACATCCTTAAGATCAACGCTCTTGTTGTTTGAAGAATATGATGTTTTAGCATTCTCCATTGATTATTTTAAATACAACAGACATGTTAGGTTTCAGTGTCTAATATGTCAAGCCCACATGGGTTATTCTAGCTTCCGGACAGACGAGTTGCTTCATTCTTCGAGTCACATTTTGACCTTGTTAACTATTCGCTTATCAACTTTGACTGTTTTAAATCAATATGCGTGTATTGTTTACGATATTCATTAAGCGGCTGTAGCTTATTTTTGTCTGACTATAATTACTGAGTGATGCTTTATCAAAAGGAATTGTCTCACTCGCCTTCTACGTTTTGCTTCGTTTCTCATCAACTGCTTTTCATTCTGAATAGCTGTCTGGACAAATAAGTGCTTGAAATAAATTCAATCAACCCGACCCACACTTGGATTCTTATTACGGCCATCACACAAACGGGTTTAGCCTATGTAATATGCGGAGTTAAATGAAGGATTCATGTTCATGGCATGTTCATACGATCAAGCAGAAGTCAGATGGTTTGCCACTTAAAAGTGGTTACAAGCGTGAAAGTTCTTTCTTTAGAACTTTCTCTTCAGGGCAGTTATATCAATAAATGCCCCCGAATGCCCTGGTACGGCCGAGGTGGTGAGAGTCCGCTCTCAATCTCCAAATACTCTCACATGGCCAAGCTTATATAGCTACTGACAGGGAAGTCCTAATCACTATCTTTTTGCAACGGGAGTGTTGTTAATAAAATTGAGAAGAAGGAAAGCGAACGTTCGATGCTTGTACCGAGTTGGTGGGTATGGAGCACCCACCCATAGGAGTTGCAAGACCCTAATTCCAAACCAAGGGTGCACATGGGCTCCAGGATCCTGAAGGAACATATGGCATGAGAATCTGCTGTTGGTTACCTGATACCATATGACTGCATCTCCTAACTTTGTTCCACTGCCTTATGGATTAGACCATTAGATCAAAGGCTCTGGGTGTGGTCCCCTAAGGAAACTACTTTTTTGGTTCGGGTGCCTGAGCGATGTCCAAGCCCTCACACAAATGAAATGACGAAGTGTAACGCATACATATTTGGTGCCTCTTTGTACTAATGTTTGTGTGTCTAAACAGATAAATAAATAAACAAATAAATATCAATCAATACCAAGAGACGAGGTTACTTTAAACATTTGATATCATCACTGAATTTTACAAAAATCTTTGAGTTTTGTTTTTCAGCATTATCTAGAATTTATTCTTTCACTGGGAACACCAGTTTCAAATTAAAGGCACAGATGTGGTGATTTTGTACTCACTTTTTAAACGACCTTTAACTTCTATGTTTTTTACCGATGTCAATACTTGTGAGCAAACCATTTATATTGTACATCATGGACTGAGCTTAGATAATTACTGATAACCAGAAAGCACCGATTAGCTATTCCGTTTATTCGTAATTTGAAATCTTAGTAAGATTTTGTTTGCTTAGTTATCTGTGTAAATTATTTGATTTCATTTTTATACTCATCCTGTTAGGCTGTTGACTGGGATGATACAAAACAAGTTATTCGTTGGGTTGATGTACCTGGAGACAAGTAAGTTGATAATTTTTCTATAAAATATTTACGACTTTATATTAGTGTTAACAGGGTTTATTTCTGATGTCAATATATTTTTTGTTAACGATACGTAAAATTTGAAGAATTGGTAGTATTGGCCTAAAAGCCTCAACTGCGTGAAAATTAGTACACTTGACTACGACACAGTAAATGTGGTTCTGGTGAATTCTACTAATACACAATCCTGAACTCCTGAATATCACACGATAAGGAGATAGAGAGATGATGATGAAGTTCGAATGATAAGTTTAATTACCAAAACCGAATAACAATGTTTACAACTCACACATATACATGTATATCCGAACTGACCTAAAGAGAAGTGTATTAGTAAATAAACAGTCCATTCATAGTACACCAGTCACACTTTGATTTCTCACTTACTATATACATTTACAAGAAGATGTGGTCGATCAAATTTCTGTCCACTATCACATGTCTAACCTTCCTAATAATGCGAATTTGTAATTCATTACTGTTTCATATTAATTTATGTATTTTAGCTATGTAAATAGTTATTATAAGACATAATTACCTATGTCCATTTTGATGAATATAATTTTCATATAATTTCAGAACGAATGGACCAGATTCTTCAAATCGTTCAATACCAACAACAACATCAACAACAACGACAACAGGAACAGTAAACTCATTGAAACCAACAAATCATATTCAAACAATAATAAGTTCAGATAATTTACAAGAACGAAATATTCATATGAATTGTAATTATGGTTCATCTAATGAAATAATTTGTCGTAAACAAAAATTAATTGAAATTGAACCAGAACCTCATTATGAAGAAGTATTCGATCAATCAGATCCTAAACCAATAGAATTATTCATATCTGCTATAGCTGATTTTGTTCAATTTCGTTGTGATCCAAATAGAATTGATTTTAAAGAAACAAATATTTTTGAAAAACGAATATACAGGTTTGTTTATTGATAATGTAAATAGTGAAATGTATTGAAAAGTATATATTTCGGTAAACTTTATGAAAGTCAACATCTCATTCTATTTTGTAGTGTTGAGATTGTAATGCACTAATGTGAATTCCAATTATTATTACTTGTTTGTAGTACTTTATATATATAATCTTATCAATAGGATCCATGCTGTTATAACCAGTGGTCTTGTGCCCTATTAATATATAACGTAATGATACTGGCAATTAGAGAACAGTAATTTATCGACCGGACCAATGACGCATAAAACCCGTAAGAGTAGTCTAGAGTCCTTATCAGCCCTTCTTCCTGCCTAGCACTCTCTGTTGAGTTCAGAACATCAATCACAGCCTCTGCGATATGAATCATGTATTTCAAACATACTCGGTTTACATACAAACAAACCAGATCACATCGTACAATAAAATAGAAAACAACATTTGTACAAGATTTAGCCAAAAGCGTCTGTGAACGTGGGAGATAATAATTGATAGACTGGGCATAACTCAAGAACGATAGGTTGTATAATAATAGTCTTCAAGTCAAAATAAAGCTTATAATAAGAGGAACATGAATATGCACACTTGGCTACTTACTAATTGTACAATAAAAATATCTGTATTGTATTGGTACATAAATAGTTCTCAAAAGTTATCGTTCATAATTCTTGTCGGGATATAACATTTATATTAGAATTGTTCAGATTAGAAACACGTACTTTCGTTACGTTCTACTCAATTCCCAGTAATAAAAACTTATTTCACTGTAAAACTCAAAAGTAATTCTCTTAATCAGAAGAATTCATCAATGGACCTCTCACATATACTGGTGTGATCGGATGAAAGGGTGATATCATTTTAGGTCGCTGTCTCCATCTCAATTCAGCATGAGTTTTTTCCAAGTGTAAACTTCTATCCAGTTTGATCATTGTATTCTTTACTGAATGTGAACTTCGTACGTAATATACAATAACTTTGTGTATTTTTTTCTATTTAACTAATCATCAAATGTGTGTAAAATCATTATATGAATGAGTGCATTTTATTTTAGCCATGACATGCTTAAGGGTTGTGTCGTTGGATAATTAATAAATCTCCATATGCATCAGTTTTTTGTATTGTGTAACTGCAGCAGTTGCCCTTTTGAATTATAAGTAATAGGATCGAGGATACAACGTATACACTTTAATATCTTTTTAAACGTCAAAATAAGCGTTATTTCTAACAAATATCCTTATTGAATGCAGGCTCAGTGGTCTAGAGGTTAAGCGCTCGTATGCGAGACTGACAGGTCCTGGGTTTGAATCCCGCGAAGCGCACTGCTGAGGAGTCCCACAATAGGACGAAACGGCCGTCCAATGCTTCCAGGTTTTCCATGGTGGTCTAGTTTCAATTGACTCATGATCTCAACCATTGAAATTACTACTATATCCACAAAAACCCTTTTGATATAAATGTCTTTGTATTTTCTGTATCATACAGATTTGAATTATTTAATCAAGGATTAATTACATTACATTTTAAATGGTCAATATATATGATAAGTTCAATGCCTGAAAATGAGTCAAATAAAAATATTAATATTAATGAATGTCGGAGCACTGATGAAAATCAAAATGAACACTGGGATAAATCACTTATTCCATTCAAAGTTTATCCAATTGAAGGTTGTATACTACCTGGAAAATCACAATTTATCGAGGTAAGTATTTATGGTTGTTTGTAATGGTCGATATTCAAGGTTGTATTTGATCGATTTAGTTTAAGTGAGATCACGTGCGTGGCATGTGGCTTCAAGTTCATTACATATTGTATAATGGTTAGAAATGAAATCCAGAGCATACGTTTCTTCTTATTTGAGACTCAACAAACGCAAGTATTCGTAGCCTATTGTTGTGATTCTTCAAAATAAGACTTGGACCTATAACACTGGACTAAAATGTCAGTTAATTAGTGATGATTAAACAAATTATACACTTATACATATTACTATACATTAGCGAGGCTTTAGAATTCATTATATCTAACAGCACTTAACATATAGCGATTTACCACATTTCCACATACTTTAAAATAATGCTTATCACATATTAATCCATTTATTGTTCTTCTAAATATCAGTTACTCAGGGATGGTACAATGAAAGTGAAAACTTAGTCGGGTAGAAAATGAAGCTTAGTTGACTCCCAGTCGATTCACTATTATAATAAATCATTATTATTAGCTTTATTCAATATAGAATTCCCATCACAAATTATTTCAACAAGTTTCCGTTTCTTATTTCTTGATTGATGCTGACGATAAATATTGAGTGGTCGCTAGTTAGATGTTATCAGTTCAGGACTCGACGTCTGAATAATGTACATTCTTTTCGATGCATACTGACAACAAACACGATGTCTCTGATTGGGCTATTTTGTAACTTGTACAGAGAAAGGTCGCAAACTTTTCACAAACGCACCTGAACTGGTTATGCAATTACTTGGCATAATGATATGTTAAAATAAACCAAAGAAAAACACAGACAACTTGTTGAAATATCTAGATGGCAGAAACAGGTAGCTCAGATATTTAAGAAGGCCGCCTGGTTTCATCAACCTATAGATTCACTTTTCATAATTTATATTCTTCTACTGTTGATTTGAAGGTCTGTAATTTGTCAGTTTCTTTTTGATTGAGATCATGAACCGATAGATGTTAGACCACCACGGAAAACCTGGAATCACTGGACGGCCGTTTCTTCCTATTGTGGGACTCCTCAGCGATGCGCATCCATGATCCCGCTCGCGGGCTTCGAACCCAGGGCCTTCAGTCTCGCGTGCGGACGCTTAACCTACTGGACCACTGAGCTGACATCCAATGGTGTTAATGTCTTACTTCAACCAATCCACAAAGTTGCGCGACCATCTTCCATTGTACTGAGGTAGACACCTGTTTCTACCCGACATGGATTAGCTCCACTGGTCACGGCTTCTCACCAGAACTCCGAGAATTTCCCCACGAAGCTAGTCACTAGTGAGCACATGGTAATTATCAGTTTAGGCGCTGTGGAGATTGTTAAGTTTTGATTGTGATCATGAACTGGATTTATTCACCGCTACATTTCCGACTAGACCCTATCATTTCATGATAAACATAACTTCAAATATTCATTTTTGTTTACAGCTATTCAGTCTATTTTATCGTTTTATTGTGCTAACTTCAGGTCACTTTTAGTCCACTTTTACTTGGTGAATTTGAAGCGCAGCTTACGAGTAAAATTGATAATTTAGCTCAACAATCATCCAATACAAATCGTAATCGACCAATTTTGACACCTCCAGTAATCACAATAACAGGGAAGTCAGAACATTCAATTCTACACTTTGATTTATGTGACTCAGATTATATCTCAAGTGGGAGAAGAAATCCAGAATTACCTGGACCAAATGGAACACCATTCGGTGAAAGCCTAGATCCATTTACTAGAGTTATTGAATTCAATACAATTGGTCTAGGCTTAAAATCTACTCGGTATGAAAAATGTCGTTGGTTTTACTCATAAAGTGATAAGCTGTTTTTGCTGCTGTTGTAATAAGCATATGTCTAACTGTTTTAACTATCACTCATAGGTTCGATTGTTTATTTCGATGTTTGTGTTTTAGTTTTAAATGTCTGAGACAACGTGTTTACCAACTGATAAAGATATATATATAAGCTCATAAATAATTCCTGGCATTTACCATTCATATATTCTTCGTTAGAATATAACAAAACATACGATTATTGTTGTTATACGGATTGTTTAAACCTAGACTTATTCATCAGACTGACAGTCAGGAATAATTAATGTTATGTAGGTGTTTTCTAAATACTTTAATATATTTTGAATTATCAATCACAATGCATTAAAGATAATCGTCTAAGTTAACAGTGAATAACTGTAGATATCAGTGAATACAACAAATAGTCTCCTGTATACTATTCAGATGAGTATGATAAAGACAAACTGTGTGAATTCACTTTGTCAAATTAAATAATAACTGATTAGCGAATGCATTCCAAGTAAGGACCGGAGTCAGGCAAGGCTGTCTATTCTTCCCCTTTATCTTTCTTCTGGTGTTTGACTAGATTATGATGACCTCCACATTTGAGGAAAGCAGGGAACCAATTAGACGATTTGAACTTAGCAGATGACCTAGCCCTCCTATCCTATGCACACAAACAAATTCAGATGGAGATAACTAGCGTAGCATCAGCCTCTGCATCAGTAGGCCTCAACGTACACAAAGGACAAAGCAAGATCTTCAAATGCAACAAGAAGAACACCGGCCCAACTACAGTTGATGGCGAAAATCTGGAAGATGTGGAATCCTTCACATACCTGGGAAGCATCATTGATGAACAAGGAGGATCGGATGCAGACATAAAGGTGAGGATTGGCAAAGCGACGCCGGCATTCCTACAAATGAAGAACATATGAAACTCAAAACAACTGTCAATCAATATTAAAGCCACAATCTTCATACGAACGTCAAGACAGTTCTACTGTACGGAGCTGAAACTTGAATAACAACTACAAAACCATAATGAAAAACCTACTAGCATTTATAAACAGTTGTCTACACAATATACTTGATATCCGTTGGTCAGATACCATCAGCAGCAGCCTACTATGGGAGAGAACAAATCAGCTTCCAATTGAAGAGGAAATTAGGAAAAGACTTTAGAGGTGGATAGGACATATACTACGAAAATCACCAAACTGCATCACGAGGTAAGTGCTAACTTTGAATCCTGAAAGGAAACGAAAAAGAGGAATGCTAAAGAACACACTGCACCGAGAATTAGAAGCAGATATTAAAAGGATGAATAGCAACTGGAAAAGATTATTCAGGACAGAGTTCGATGGAGAATGCTGGTGGGTGCCCTGTGCTTCTCCACGAGGAGTAACAGGTGTAAGTAAGTAAGTAGGTAAGATTAGCGTGAAATAAAATTTACTGGTCAATCAAATATCTTTGTAAACACTGAGGTGATAATTTGAAATTCATTTGTATAGAATGAATTTTGCTTCTAATTATTTTCAACTACCTATTTCCAGTTTTATTTTAAACTATCTGTTACCTATTTATTTTATATACAGATACTTTTCAATTGTTAATACAACTAGAGAAGATTTCGAATTTATGATTATAAATGAAGATTCAATTAATGTTAAACAACCCCAATCAGTTAAATGTATTGAAGAAAAGGGGATTATCTTAGCTGGAAAAAAAGTTAATGTACGTTACTCGTGATGAATTAATTTATGGATATGCATCATTTTTCACATTTCTTGTGGGGGTAATTACATTCGACGTACTCAAAGGTCCTTATCCTTACACTCGTGAACACGTATCAGGATGGCTAGAAAAATGCTTTATTGAATTTATTATTGGTGCCGTTCTTTCACACCTAATTGAGTATAAATATAACATCACAAATGAAGATGCTTTCACAGTTGTATATCCAGTTCCTAGCAATTTACCAAATGTGTAGCTTAAGCAAGTGGCGTCATTTCAAAGGAACTGAACCTCTGTATACAAAAAAGTATATATAACTTGGCTCACAATTCTTAGTCCCAATTTTGTCTCCATTTTGATTTGCACTGCTTTTCAAAACATGTTCCTTTTTCATAATTATCCAGTCATCTTTCTTAGTTTACATTGTGTTCTTCTTCTTATTATTATTATCATAAAAACTACAATCACAGTGCATATCACGAAGAGATCTCAGCTAGATCACACATGAAAACCTGGGAGCACTGGAAGGTCGTTCTGTGCTGGCTCAAGACTTCTCAGCAATGCGCATCAACGACCCCGCACATCAGAATTAAATACAGGACGTCCGAACTTGCACATAAAAGCTAAACACTCAGACCACTGAGCCGAAATTCGAGAAAAAAGTCTTGGACTGGATTCTCACAAGAGAGGTTGTTGAAACCCACTAGTGAGAACGACCTTCAAGTTCTTCCAGTTTTCCAAAGATGATCTAAATGAGATCACTTCATGATTTCAACTGTAAATGTTCAATAATCTTTACACATCCTCAACATTAGTTTCAAAATTGTACTAGGTTTTTCACATTCAATTTTAACATATTGGTTAGGAGTCATCAAATTAAAGTTTATAATTTCTTTTACCCCAATGGCACTATGTGATTTGTAGCATTTAAGATTCAATCGATGCAAAACTCCATATTCAATTAACAACATGGATTAATCAAACTTAAATATTTTGTCTGTTTTAACACAATAGTAATAATAATTTATTGTGTAGAGCCTGATTGAGTTTAGTGATAAGTGGAACCCCACCTATTAGCATTCAGGAAAGGTTCATTTACTATAAATCATACAAGTTAATATTTCTTGTCATATCAACTATACTTCTGAGATCCAGTAATGTTAGATAATAAAACAGGACTGGTACATATTGATTGGGAGAAGAAAATAAGTGTTCAATATATGGCACATAATGAATATCTACCATTAACAGTCTACTAATGAGCATACTGTTCGTGAGTAAAAAAGTTTGCAAATAATCGTATCAAGACATGTAAAAAACAAGTGAATAATCACTTTGTTTCAGTGATCCTTTTATTTGACTGCTTAACATTAAAGCTAAGAGAATGCCATAAATTTCAATGTAATACAATACTTAATTATCAGTCTTATGTAATACAATCTTATATAGTATTGAAGATTTTGTGATCTCTGAGGTTGATGTAATGTTCATGAATCTGCCCTTTGACTCACACTTAGTGATGAACTGAAAAAATATCAGATGGGTTTTGTGGATATTATAGTAATTTCATGAATCAGTTGAAGCTAGACCACTATGAAAAACCTGGAAGCACTGGACGGCCGTTTCGTCCTATTGTGCGACTCCTCACCAGTGCGCGTCCATGACCTCGTCCTCTGCGAGATTCAAACCCAGGACCTACCGGTTTCGCGCGCGAGCACTTAACCACTAGACCACTGAGCAGGCATCCAATGGTGTTAATATCTAACTTCAACTAATCCATGAATTTGAGCGACCATCTTCTATTGTACTGAGGTAGACACCACCATTGTCTTCAGTGAGTTAGTGTCTCGCAACAGACCTGGTTGAACTCCACTGGTCATTACTTGTCACTGAAAAAAGGCCAAATAGATCAAGGAAATAAAGAAATTGAATGTGTAATTAAATAACTCAAACACTAAAATTTAATTAATTGATTAAATTACACTGCTATAATAGATAACTGACACTATATTGTGTAACATTTCCTGTCAAATTACAGTTTCCTCTTTGAGCTCTTAATTTCAACAAGACAGTAAGTCACTTGTTTTACAAACTAATGTCATATCATTCCACTTTTCCAACCTACTTTTATACTCTGATTAAAAAAAGCATAACGATGTAGGTGGTTGCTTATCATTTGTAACACACAAAACTCATACATGAATAAAGGTTTATGATTTCATTGAATGTTGAATATTAGTTTCATGCATTACCTGTGGACTTGAACAAAATGTCTGTATTATGGCCGAGGTATGTGAAAACTATAAAATTTAATTTAATTTAGTAACTTAGTTGTTTGTATTAAGTAAAATTTTACTTTTATTCATTAATTTGAAACAGATTGGATTTGAATACATTTCTTACCAACTTGGACTCATTGAATCGTTTTGGCGATTTGTTGTAAACAAATATGAATATAGTGTTCCATTACTTATTGTCGGTAATACAAGGGAACCAAATATATTATTTGATCAATCACATATTAACTTTAATGCTGTACTTGTTGGTCATCAAGTTAGTAAAACTGTCTTGTTAATTAATCAAGAAGTTTCAACGTCAATATCATCAACTACTTTCAATGACATATGTATGAATAATGAAGAACAATCCTCAAATATATTCGAGTTTGAATTTTTGAAGTCAAGTCTTCATAGTGCTGGAAAACAAGATTCGATTATTGTTGAACCGATGTCTGGTTATATTCCACCTGGTACAAAGTATGTTATTGACGTTGCTTCCTACTGATTTTTATCAATTTCATCCTTAAAATCTATATTAATCTGGAAAAGGTTTATATTATGGGCAGAGAAGCATTCAAAACTAGATGTCACTAGACATCTATTTCGTCCTGTTCAAGACCCCTCGGTGTTGAAGATCCAGGACACTAGCTGTTGCTGTGAACACAATACTTTTAGATCAACGGGTTAAAATTATGCCGTCCTTGCTACCAGCTTTAGTTACTTCAAGATACCGTGCAATAATCACTCACTACCACCGGTGAATTAACGTTCTATTTCTGACTTAGTACTGTTCAATAGTATCGATTAAAAAAACCAAAAATCTATGTAGATGAAGGTATTACACTGGTCTCATTTTTTCCGAGTATATGGAGATGCAGTGCACAATACTAACCGTGTATACTATTACAACAATCCAAAAACTGTTTTTTAATTACCTGGCACGTTTTACTATACCAAAAGCCTCTAGAACTACACTTTAGTTAAACTTAATCATTTCTTTAATAATATATATTGCCGCGGTTAGCATACGTCAACAACACTTATCTTACTACTTGAGAGACCTGATCCTCTCCGTAAGTTTCAGACTTATTCACATAGCCACTGAACTTCTGTAGAACTGAATTGTTCACACTAAAGAATAATAAAACATGATATTGCTCAGTACTCAGTCAGCAATTGGTACAATTTAAATGCACTGCAATTTTGATAAACATTAAGAGACAAAGATTTAATTAGTGATAATCCAGTTACTTTATCCAAGATTTACAGTAAATACTTTGCATTTGTTCAAGGTTTAATTGATGAAGGCATTTGAATTTGAACAAATGTTATCGTCAATTGAATGTCCGGCGCTTTAGCCGGATTACAAACCAGTGGTGCACATGGGCTCCAGTATCCTGCGGGAACAAATAGCGTGTGAACCAATTGTTGGTCACCGGCTTCCATGGGACTGCATCTCCTTACAATGCTCCACTGCCTTGTGGATCAGGCCTTCAGGTTGAAGGCTTGGAGAGTGGCCCTCTAAGAAAACCACCTGCTTCCGTTTGGGCACCCGGGCAATATCACAGCCTTCACACATATCGAATGAGATTTGTGTGGCGCATATGTATTTGGTGCCTCCTTGTACCAATATCCATGTGTTAAAATAATAATAAATAATAATCGTCAATGGAAGAACTATTTTCTAATTTTTTTCAATTATTTACATACTAACTGGGTCTCAAATATTTGGAATATTTACGTGAATAACTAGCGATATTAGTAGACCTAATTAACAGGTTTTCTTATAATTACAATGAAACTATCTAAGTCAAATGTTTATTCACCATGGATTACTGCACCTCAGTTATTTTGTATGGTATTTTCAAATTAGACTCTAAGTGGATGAATAAAAAAGTGAAATTTAAAGAGAACGGAGAATGATTGATTGACCCAGGTCCCAGGCTTCTAAAAATCCTCTGGTGTTTCTTAATATTCCATCCATCGAAACTGGAAAACAACTATAATCTGATCAGCGTCTTCGATGACATAAAATTCACAGTGTGTAATGAGTCGAACAACAAAATACCATTCTTGAATGGACTGATCACCAGAACAGATACAGGAAAACTGGAGACCCAATTATATCAGAAGCCAGTTAACACAGGTCGAATTCTCAATCACAGCACCAACAACCGAAGAACTCAGAAGATCAGCTGGGTACAAACTTTACTCATGAGGACAAAAACACACCGCAGGACACTTGCAGGGGAGAAGAATGAAGAAAAATACCTAATGACTATACTTCATAAGAACAGCTGCCCACGCGATTTCATCAAAAACAAACAATTCATTTCATCAACAGCAATGAAATCAGGTAATGAAACTGACAAACTGATCATCCTATCACACATAAAAGACATCAGGAATTGCGACTAGATTATTGATGTTTGGAATAGGTGTAGCATATAAACCAGCAAAATAAGTTAAATCGATCTTATGCAAACCAAAGGGCTACATGACAAAAAAAGAAAAGCCAAACATCATCTACAAAATAAACTGATTCAGTTGCGAAAAGCACTATATCGGAAAAAATGGACGTCCTCTTCATCTTCGCCTGCATGAACATCAATTAGCAATTAAACGCCGTGACACATCCTAGCTTATATCAATGCACGTGAACAACTTTCGACACATATTCGGCTAGAAAAATGTTTAAAATCTGGACAGAGGGAATATTAAGAACACCAGTTTATTTTTAGAAGCCTGGGATCCGGGTCAATCAGCTATCAACAAACACTTCGAAATCGATCCAGTCTACCAAACAATCAGAAAAATCATGCACAAATATTAAACTAGGAATCAGATCAAAGGGAGATATCATCAAAATATAGAGGTGTATAGTGATAGGTTTCCGTTTGACTAGTCCCATTCATGATCTTTTTGAAATGGTCCAGTATCTATACCTCATCTACCTTCTTCTCTTCCTTCGTCCAAGCAAACATAACTGGGACTCCATGCTCAGACAATTATTAAGCAGGACATTTTTAATTACTCTCCCCAGTTCGTGTTGTATGTTGAATCCAAACAAACAACTTCAGGGAATCCTTTGTACGTTTCAATTTGCTCGTACGTACTAAATGCCATTTTTGTGACCTGGTTAGTCACACAACAATAAAAAACGAATACTTTCCCATTGTTGCGTAAGGTTGGAATTACGTCGTTCAAACTTCCACAACCTAAAAAACCGTAGATATATGGGATAAGCTTACGTTCGACAACTTTATATTTTAAATTATTAACATATTGCACCGTTATTGTCTTTCCAAAATTCTCTTCTGCATACTCAACTATCGATTCTGCATTACTCCCAGTCTTTACCATCGGTATAACAACGTTCAACTGATCTTGACTTAGTCTTCTGAACCAAGGATCATTTTTTAAGCACTTTTCATCACACGGATGGTTATGTATCTTCCTCGACGACGCTATGACGAACCAGTTGACATCATGCCGCAAACGAAACATGGCCTAGCAACCACTAAACTTTGATATATGAAAATTAATAACAATAATGATAATCATTTACCCTTTTACTCTCTGACCATGGCCCTCCGGCTTCTTTTTATGGCCAAAAGAACATACATACACTACTTACTTGTAGCGAATTCCCGGCTTTTCTTTGTTCCGCTTGCTTTCACGTACTACGTAATGAGTCCAACTCACCTATTACTTTTATACGGTGTATTATTAGTAGCAAACCTTCTGCAACAGACCGATAGCTTTTCTGACTTGGTCCCAACTTGTCAGGTGCCTGGGTCTCATAATCCTTTCGAAAGCATCACTGGTATCCACAGCCACTGGACACTCAGTATTAGTTTGACTGGTTGATGGAGTAGCGTGATCCATAATACTGCAAAAAATAACAAACCTTTCATTCCACCTGATAACAATAAATGACACTTATGGACGAATATGTGGCCAGTTACGGTCCCATGCGGCAGCAACATTTATTTTAGCTAAAAAAACCGACTTCGGTTCTCGATCTCTAAAAAACAATGCTCAAAATATAACGGATTAAGATTCCATGACATAATAATATCGAGCTTGCCTGACAGTTAGGAACGATTATGCCAACAGTTGGTGTTCCATACAGCAGCAACAGTTATTTAGGCCAACAAAACTAACCTTGGCTCCCGATATCTGAGGAAAGTACTCAAAACAAAACGGATTAACATTTTATAACATAAGACTCATCAGATTGCCTGAAGAAATATATTGACTTGAGTAGCCGCAAAACCCCGGAAAACAATGCTGAATCGAAATAAATTTCACACCAACTACGGCATTTTAGCACACTGAAACAGTGAATTATGTAGCGACACAAAAATTAGGTGGAAAGACAAGGAATGTGGAAAGCCGACTGCCATTGCTTACAAAGATGGCGGATACAATAATTCCCGCTTCATTCTGATTGGTTGCTAAGCTGACTGCCACGTTTATGAAATTGAATTTCGTTTAATGGCAGCCTTATAATACTTTTCTCATTTTTGGATTTTGTTAAATTAATGTCTTTCAATCGTATTGGTTACTTAAACACTTATTATTACGTCCTTGATCTGTCTACCCAAGCATTATGATTATTAATAATGGCTTTATTAGGGTTTATGCCTTCCCTTAAAATCTTCTTATATCTTAAATGGTCAAAGTAGTTAAATTATATAGCTATTTTTATTATGATAAATGAGTTTTGGAGTTCATTAGTAAGTTACAATTATGTTTCAATCGTTCAGTGATGTCAATTTTTAACTCAAAATGATATTTTAATAGTTTGTTTTCATCTTTAATTTAGATTACCTATTCAAATTACTTTTCAAGCAAATGGTGAACGTGAAACTAATATCAATTTACAATGCCTTATAAAACATCGTGATTTACCTTTAACATTAAATGTTAAAGCTCAAGGATATACAATTCATTCATCATTATGGATTGATTGTACTCAATCAAATAATAACAATAATCATAATGACAAGACATGTACAGCTACTAGTGAACTAATTGAACTTACACCATTATGGTCACCATGTATTGGTATTGATCTAATAGATCTTATCAATAAATCAATAAATCGAATTCAAAATGATCAAAATTTAATCAATAAATTTTCTGAATTAAATTTTGGTAAATTTTATCCTGGTGAATGTATTACACGTAAATTAGTAGTCTATAATAATGGAAAATATAAATTTGATTTCATATGTCAATTTATGTCATTGAAAGGTAATACAAGTATCAATCAGAAAAATGTACAGAAACATAATAAAGAACAACAATTGATTGATCAATTAATCAATGGTTTCACTATAGATGATATCAATCAATCACCATCATTAATAATCAATCCTAATTCTGGTAGTTTATTACCAAATGAAAAGTTGACATGTACAATTACATTTCAATTACCAAAACAACTAAATGTATTAGGTGTAAATCATTTAAAATTATATAATTTACTTGGTATTTGTTTTATAATACGTGATGGTCCTATTTATGGTATTAAATTATTAGGTTCAATCAAAAAACAAATGATACAATTTTCTGAAACTTCTATTGATTTCGGTTCACAATTCATTATGCAATCCGGTCTTAAACCATCCATACGTTATTTATATATTAGTAATAATGATATAAAACAAGAATTAAGTATTGAATGTATTACAAAATCATCAAAAATATTCTCTTATAATTTTATACCAACAATTTTACCAAAGAAAAAACAACAAGAAACTATTGGATCCAATTCAAATATTCTATGTTTACCAATATACTTTTATCCATACCATGATCAATTTTATAAAGAAACAATAATATTTGAAATTAATGGTTGTAGTCAATATACAATTGATTTATTAGGTAAAGGATGTGAATTATTCATTGAACCAAAAGTATATCCATTATTGATGATGAATAAAACTAAGAAAGGTCTTACAAAAATCACTCAAGTTAATGATGAAGATGGATCCATTCATGATGAAAGATGTATCAATTTAGGTTATTTAAAAACTGGTCAAATATCACGACGATTTGTTAGTTTAATTAATAAAAGTTCTGCACCAATATGTATACATCAAATCCATTTGAATCAACCACAATCTAATAATAATAATAATGAGAATAAATCTAATTCAATTCATATACAATTTTGTAAATCAATTTCTATGGATAAACAATTCAATGATTTTGGACCGATCAAAGAAATTATGACACCAATAATTATTCCATCAAATGGAGGGGAAATAATGATCATGTTAAGTTTAACATCAAATTATCGATTACCTAGATTTATTGAAGAAGTTCTATGTGAAATTTCACGTGTAGATCAAAATCATCATAATAATGATAAAAATATAATTCAATCGTCTAAGAATCATATAAACACTACTATAACTATGAATAGTAACCATAGAAATAAAGAAGAAATGATTTCAAATCTACAAGAGAATACTAATATGTTATTACCAGTATTTTCAATATATGGTGCTGTGAATACATATGATATTAATTTTAATACAGAATCAATTAATTTTGGTTCAATTGTACGTGGTAGTCAATTAAGTAGACGTTTAGTTTTAATGAATACCGGTGATTATAATACAAAGTAAGTTAATTAAGAATTATATATTTCACAGATTGAAATCATGAGTCAGTTGAAGCTAGACCACCATTGAAAACCTGGAAGCACTGGACGGCCGTTTCGTCCTAGCATGGGACTCCTCAGCAGTGCGCATCCACGATCCCGCACCACAAACCCCTTCTGATAATAATCATCTGCTCACTAGTGACTGACTTCAAGAAATACTCCTGGAGTTCTAGTGGGAAGCCGTTACCAGTGGAGTACAAGCAGGTCTGTTGTGAGATATCAGCTCACTGAAGACAATGGTATATGGTGGCGCAACTTCGTGGATTGGTTGAAGTTAGACATTAACACCGTTGGACGCCTGCTCAGTGGTCTAGTGGTTAAGTGCTCGCGCGCGAAGCCAGCAGGTCCTGGGTTTGAGCCCCGCGTGGTGCGGGATCGTGGATGCGCACTGTTGAGGAGTCCCATACTAGGACGAAACGGCCGTCCAGTGCTTCCAGGTTTTCAATGGTGGTCTAGCTTCAACTGACTCATGATTTCAATCTGTGAAAATTTCTAAAAATCTCCACAAACCCCTTCTGATAATTATATATTTATTTGTTGAAAAATAAATTTAAATATGAATAAATAAATTAGTTGTATAGTCATAAGTAATGTATAATCTTGAATAGATCTGTATTAGTTTAACTTCCACCACTATATTGTAAGAGCAAGATGAAATTAATGGACATAAATTTCTGAAAATTACAAGTAGTAAGATTATTATTAGTAGTAAGTCACTGTTATGATGGGCGGTCAGTCAGTCAGTCAATCATTAACAATGTAGAACTTCGTACGTACGTACATCAGTTCGAGTTGCTATACCACATTAGCACACAGATACAATTGTCAATTCAAATCCCATAGTGGTAGAAGTAGTAAAAGTATAAGCAGTAGTTGGAAAGATTTGCGTTGGAAGATGTTATTCGAGGAGTATAATTCAGTGAAATAAATTTGGAAAGAGAAAAAAAATGGGGACATGAAGAATTCAGAAGATTAGAATTTAAGAGAATACAAAGAGTGGATGCACCTACGCCACTGCAAATGATTTTGAGCCATCAGTCAGTCAGTCAGTCAGCTACAACGTAGGACCAGGCACATATATGCATCGGTTCAAGTTCCCACATCTCATTAGCACAACAAGATGAACACTGGATACATAAGAGTGGTTAGGTCAAAAGTGGTAATATATAAAAGAAAGATTACATATAAGGTTATATAGTACAGGAAGAAAGAATCACTTCGTAGAAAGAAAGATATGAAATGATTTTAATCTCTTAGTTTAAGGGAAGACAGAGAGTGTATACACCTACGCCATTGTGATCGATTCTGAGCCATGTCACCAAGTCTCCAACCATTGGTTACGATAGTCACGCGAACCCCAACGAAGTAGTCTGCATCTACGAACACCGGTTAGCATTGTACGTCATGGTAATCGGTGTTCAGGCAGATGTAACACGTGGCCCAACCATCTCAGTCGATGAAGATTCACAACCTTATCAACTGATTTACCATCGTTCCCTAATACCCTGCATCTAACCTCACTATTACTTATACGGTGATCCCAGCAGACGCCAGCAATATTTCTAAGGCATCTGTGGTCAAATACTAGTAGCTTACGAGTGTCTTCTACTCTTAGTGGCCATGTTTCGCTGCCGTAAATTAAAACAGAACGGACTGCCGCGCAGTATACTCGTCCTTTTATTGATAGACGGATATTCCGACCGTTGCTACTACCTGGACGTGGTGGTCGGACTTGCCTATCGTGATGAAGCAACCGAGCTACACTGGCTGGAATAACCGTTCCTCAAGGTCCTACCATGTCAGACAGGTCGGTTGAAGAGCGTTTAGACTAAAAGCAACAAACCCAAGGTCCGAAGGCGAGGTCGTACTGCTGACTGTACAGAGGTGTGACAGCAGTAAGGTGTTTCCTTCAGACAACCAGCATGACAGCGATGCTGCCTTCTCACAAGGAGGGGTGGGGTTAGAAAAGGTCGACCCTAAAAATGCACACCTCGCCTTATTCCACGGATATCCGTCTCCTGCGGTAAGGTCTCAACACGTACGGAGCTAACACAAAAATTACTCATAAAAAGGTCGTGTGTGACTGACCTCAAGCAGTTGTCCCTTGCGCACTGCGGTCATGCTCTCAGGTCACTAAGACCACTTCTAACCCGATTTCCTATACAGGTACCTCCAGAAGAACCCTTCCACGGTGTGGGAAACCGGGAAGTGCCAACCGCCCTCATACCTCTAACAGCACTCAAGACCACTGCCTCTTTGAGCCATGTGATCCAAAGTCTCTTAACATCGGTAGCTATCATCTCGCGGATGCCCGGAACCAGATAGTCTACACTTACCAACATGATTCAGTCCACTTGTCAGTGAATTCATAGGTTTGTGGCATGTTTTGGTGTGCGAAATCGGATAGTGATGCGCGACATGTTATTCGCTAACCTCTGAACTGACTACTTGAGCGTGAACACAAGAGTGGACACGAAAGTATATTGGGTCGCCGAATTATATATATATATATATATATATATATATATATATATATATACTACCCTACCCATTGGGAAATCAGTCCATTTCTTAGTCGATGAGATGCACATGTACTTCAAGTCACTTATGATTGCCATCGATTGACCTTCACATTTGGCTACTGCTTGTTAACTTATCATATCAGTAACCTTAGAAAATATATGGTTTAAGAAAAGGAAATGGATTTGTTAGATAAAAAGTGTTAGATATTTCTAAAACTGAAGATTTATGGATGCATAATGACAGAATACATTTGTGTCACTGTGACAAACTTTGATCTACATCATCTCCAAACATTAGTTACAATAACGGCGTAAACCTCTATCAGGTATGCTGAACCTACCTGTATGACTCATTCCTTCACTATTAAAAGCCGTGGACAAGGATGTTGGTTAAAACCGTTTGGACTATTTACCACCGATTCATTTTAAGTGAAGTATCATTCACCTCGAAGTAACTGAGTTAGTTATGAAATTAAATGGTTTTCTTTACGCAACCGCTTTGAATATTACATTAGAATAAAGATATATTTATCATGATTTTACGGAAAAATATCACTGTCTCTCAGTAGTAACTAGGGTTTTAAGTGTGAGACATCTCCTAATACAATAGGGATTGTTAATGTGATAGACTGTTCTAATCTGATGATAGGTTTTAAAAAATTCGACTATAAGCTCTCGAATTAGGTTCCTTGCTATGATCAAAGCATATCTACAATCACTATAGAAGTGATTCTCCTCGTAAAATTCGAATATGATTTGACGAATGTCTTAGAAATGTTATCGCTCAGTTATTGAAATGAGGACTGACATCCTATGGGACTATTCTAATCTAAAACGATCTAATTGGCCAAAGACGATGTTTGACAGTTATATTACTGAAATAAATGTCAGAATATGGTGACTGTTGAAAAACATTATGCTTACATCAAATACTAATTTTTAGTAAGGTAGTAGTTGGGACGAAACAAACGTCATTTAAATAGATTGGGACTATCTAAAGTTCTTATTTAACACTCGCAACAGGAAACGAGTTTAAAAGAAAATTACTATTGATATGAAATCATAAGAAAATCGGAGTACATTCATTGTTTATTTAGACAACGAGGTACAAGGAGGCACCAAATACATATGCGTCACACACGTCGAATGATTTGTTTGAGGGCTGGAATTCTGCTCAAGCGCCCAGACCGAAGCAGGTGGTTTCCTTAGAGAGGGGACCAAACCCGGCACCATTGGCCTAGAGGTCTAATCCACAAGGCGGTGGTGCGACCTTAGGAGAAGCAGTCACAAGGTAGCCGGTGACCAACAATAGGTTCATACGGCTTTTTTCCCCTCAGGATCCTGGAACACATGTCTACCATTGATTTGAAATCAGTTTTTCATAACTCCCGTGGATGGATCCCCCATATTCACCAACCCGGTACGAGCACCGGGCATTCAACTTTACTCTCTGAGTTTCATAAACAACACCCTCATCTCGAGAAGGCAGTGAGTAGAACTTCCCTGGAAGTGGCTGTATATGCGTAGCTATATGAATGCATTTGTAGAGAGAGAGAGCGGATTCCTTCCATTCTCGTCCGTACCACGACATTTGGATTTTTTGCGAGAAATCATGATTTTGTCTTTTTTCAATGGGTATGAAATTCATTTTCTTCTTTAGCCTCCATCAGTTTGAGCACTAAGAATGATTAGAAAGTAATAAACAATTATCTCTGCTTGTTAATAAAACTCAGCATCCGGAAATATCTATGAACCCATACAGTGAAGAACCTATGACCTTCAGGTTACAAGGGGACATGATATTGTCATATCATTGAGTGGAAACTCAGATTTTTTTAGTTTGGGATATAGAGGGCTCCTCAACTAATGTTACCAAGTAGTCACTGCTTCAATCTCGACTTCAGGATATTCGTCTTGCAGTTAGTTATTCATGCACATAAAGTTTTTATTAATATAATTAGTTTATATGGAGAATTTTGCATAGTTAACAAGTTATTTATATTTCAAACAGAAAATAAATCTCTATAAAGTTTCTGATTAAAATTCGTAAGAAATCTTTGTTTTGCGAATGATCTCTTTGATCAGCTGGTTTGATCTGAGAGTATAAAAGTCACATAATGGTTAATGTTAGTTGACAACACTAAATAACTAAGATATGACATTCCGACTCTACTAAATTGATAAATATCAATTATTGTACATTATTTTATTTATTTAAGGCACTGATCTAGTGATTGAAGGACTCATCTCTTAAACAATAGACCCTAAGGTCAAATACTAGTTGTCTTACCTCAATTTAAATAGCTAGTTTTATGGGATTATAGTGAATGAACACTCAGGTGGGAAAGATCAATTTATTGTTTAGTGCAAATTTTCAGTTTCTATGTAAATTATAAAAAGCATACATTAAGTACTTCATTTGCATATCTTCTATCAGTTGTCCTTTACATCCTTCATGATTCTTCCAATTATCGATTCCTCTGTTTCCGTTTCCGTTTTCTTCAGTTCAATCTTTTGAGTCTTCTTTTTTACAAGCCTTCCACTTCTGATTGATGCTACATACTACTTATATCTGTCAACATAAATAACATGCATTACAGGATCATTAACTCGACTGTCACTGAAACCTTAGTAACATAATTTGTACTCGAAAACTGTATAACTTTGATCTCATTAATTTTTTATATGACCAAGTAGTGATATGTATTTATTACTGATTTCATTTTAAGATTCGAATGGGATAAATCAACTTTCACATCGGATTTAACTATAGAACCAATGAATGGATCCATTGGTCCAGGATTAGAAGTAACATTTATTTTAACTCTTAAACCAAGTAAATTAACACGTGAAATACGAATAGATGTAAGTAAATGAACTTGCTTATTTATTTTCTATATGGACATAGAACGATAGATTTTTACGCTGCCTAACCTGGTGATTGCTACAAGAAACTTAGTACATAACTGTTACACACTATTCATCATACATTATATAGAGATCATTTAGATTGAACGAAGAACTAACAAAACTGACAGATAGGCTACGGTTAACTTGTCAGTGAAATCAATACCAACTGTCAAGCTAATATCTATCATATTAAATATGTACATTTGTACACATAGGTAGGTCGCAAGCGCTATTACTGGCTCAGGAGAGATTTAGCTTTGTTTCCGCTCTTATAATTAAATGGTTCAGTTTATTGAGCATTTAGCGTGCTTGTTTAAAGTTAAAAACAGTATGGATCACTTCGGTTACAAGTTTTACAGTATGAAATGTTATAAACTATTTATTACTCTATGAATGATCACATATCGTGAGCACTATAACCTTCATGAACAGAACCTCATTAGAATTTATCAGTGTACGATGTTAAAAGTTATTGAATTTTATTGATATCACGAGCCAATCTAAGTTAGACAAGCATTAAAGACTTGAAAGCACTGAACTATCGTGTCGTCCTAAGAGGTGACTTCTCAAGAGTGCTTGTTTTTTGACTTCGCAACCTGGAATCGGGTCCGTAACCTTCAGTTCCGTGATTACAAATACGTAAAAATTTTAAAATTTTACTGCTGATCACTGTTCAGTTATCTCGAAGCTACGATGAATCATATAATACTACCAATATTTTTCACAGTTTCATAGACCCCACCAATTATTTTCTTACCTCGCTGTTCTCAATGAGCACACTTCCTTTGAGATGATTAACTCATTCAGCAAATGTACTGTTTATAGAGATCATAGTACTGAGAAAACTGACGATACTGACACCAAGCTTCCGAAGCTTTATGTCCAAACGCTTTTTACGTGTTTCTAATTTATCATGAATAAAGAAGGAAGCAATACTAATTTGATTTAAGAAGTATTTTTGTTCGTGGACGGAAAACTTTATTCTGAGACTGATTCGTAGGGTATATGAGGGGACGTATGAAAGCAATGAATGTACACGGTTGTTTAAAATGGTTTGACAAATTTCGCACACCTTCTTAGATTTATTGAAACTATTAAAGTTAGCAATGAATGTCAAGTTCCTATTGGGCTATTTATTTTAATGAATCATTTACTGTCACATATTCAAAAATACTTTATAAAAAGCATTAAGAACTCGGTGAATCAGCAAAGTTAAAATTTAATGTATCGAACATTTTACATGACAATCTACTTTGGGATTGTTTACAGAAACAAAGTCGAAGTGATTAGATGGGTCGTTACATGAACGCGTATACAAAGATAATCCTCAAACCATGGAACAATCAAACAGATCGAACCATAGGCCAATAGTCACTGTGTGTCATAAAACATAGACCAGTTATAGACAGAAGTATATTAAATCGAAATCGGATAAATCAAATACCTGTTTGACTTGAGATGAAACTTGAATGTCCAACCGTTCTACAAGAGATAACTCGCTCGTCGACTATCTCAAAAGAAATATCTCTGATCGCGTCATAATTTCAAAATCCACTTCATTTAATAATACTTTCAGATGGCTAATAAGTCTAGCCAACGTATTCTAACTGGCATAAAACATTATTCGACAGTTTCTAGTCGGCTACTTTAACATGAAACAAAGTTCTTCGTAATGTCGAGCACTTAACTTACTGATCGCATAATAAATTGTTTAGCAGATTTAAATCATCACCACGGATTAGATAATGCGGTACCTGTTATCAATAAGTAATTAATAGACGGCTCTCAGTTTTCACGAGATCGAAGTCATCGGATGTGAAGCAAACTTCTATAAATCGTGACTGTTTTTTTATTTTTTTTTATAAGTAGTCCAGGTAAACTTGGATAAAGTACAAGTTAACATTTATGTGTGCTTTCTCAAAGTATTTTTATAATTTTTCTTTCTTTTAATCGCCAATAAAAAAACAGAATGTAACATGTCAAATTCAAGGTATAGGATCAAAATTAATTACTGTTAGTGGAGCGTGTGTGCCACCTACTATTATTAAAGAAATACAACAATTTTCAACGATTGTTAGACAGCAAGACATTAAAAATCTACAGATTGTTAATCGTACAAATGCTAATTGGCAAATCAAACCAATTATTGATGGTGAACAGTGGGATGGACCAAAAATAATTGATATACCCCCACAACAAATAGGAATTTATGAATTAACATATAAACCATTAACAATGACTTTAGATGGAGCAAAACATAAAGTAAGATGTTTTATGATCACGTGTTAAGTTCTTGATGATGGGTTACATAAAGTATTAAATTTAGCTAAAGCAATACTGAAAATTAGAGAGTATAGAGAGTTGTTTTACGCTAACATGAGGCGACTTTTCAGGAGTGCTTACACTCATAAGATATCATGGATGGCACTAGATGAAGGTCGTGCAATATCACGAATTGATTGAAGTTGGAAATATGTATGACTATATGTCAACCAAATAGTTTAATGCTTAAGCATTCACCATAAACCTCGAAGTTACTTAATTCTATCTCTGGTGGAGTCTTTGGTTAGCGTTGCTATGATATTGCATACTGAAACAAAGCAACCATCCAGTGCCTCAAATCTATCAATTGCTGCTGAACTGAAGTCAGTCTACAATGCCGACTATCGTCATAAGCACTTCCTCTTAATGGTTATTTATTTACATATCGAGTACTTTTAAAATGTTGACAAGTAAGTCATTCAAGAAACTATGATATACGACAAGTAGAAAAGAAGAAAAAATAATTCAAATAAGAATTTACTTCAAGATGAACCCACAATAGTATGTCACTACATTTCTTTGATTTCTTTACTGTCTTATATAACAAACATAAAAAGATGCGGATACTTAGTGTTATGAATGAGGATTCGGTGACTTAATAAATGCATTGTCAAGTGTTAAAATGAAGGAAAAAATAGCGAATAATAGGTAATAATATGCAATGACATGGTGTGGCTGAGTGATGGCTATTCATAGGACCGAATTATTCATATAAGCCTTTATTGAACTGATCTCAGTGGATAAAACAGTTTCATACTGAGATGATGAAGAAGACTTGTAGCTCAGGTGGATGGTTTCGGTGGAGTTTGTGTTGATGATGTGGTTCAAAAGAACGATGAAAGCTCCACGACTAAACCATTCAGCTCAAACGACAAAACTTCATCGAAACAGTTCCATAGTAAAATAGGTCTTTTTTATAATAAAATAATATTCTTGTGGACAAAATATTGACAAAAAACAAATGTAATTAAAATGTCTTACGAGACAGAAGAAAATCAATTATATGGACTACTCACAGTCTATTCGATTAGGACATTGCCAGTCATATGGCTTGCCGCAGGCTTTAGTTTTACATCATTTCAACATTGTTATATCTAGAGCTTAGATTTTTGATATGCCACGTATAGCTTGAGCACTCGAACGCTAGAACCCTCCCAAGTCGCAAATGAAAAGACAGAAGACAAGTGAAAGGAATTCTATTCCAAATAGTGTAAATTATGGTACAAAACTATCAGGTATTTATAGTTTTTTTAATAAAAACCAAATCATCATTATAGTCCTCGGTCGATAATTCACTGTTCTCTAATTGACGGTATCATTACGTTATACATTAATAGGACACAGGGCACAAGTTATAACATATATTAACATATGTCATTGTTCATTAGCTTTGTTTTTTAAAGCTCTTATTCTTCAAGCACTATCCCCACTGATAAATAATCTATACATGTTCAAAGATTAGAGACTGATGTTTCAAGAAGTTTTTTTAAGAGTAACGCACAATCGTCTTTAATTATATCTTTACTTGTTAATTTAGTGAAATATAGGCTTAAATGTTATCAAAATGCCCTCTGTGTTCTGTTTATTTCAATCATATTGATTTTCTGAAGTCATTGTAGTTTATAAAATGTAATATTTACAAACAGATCATCGCTATGCAACCAATTCTCTTCGCCAATTTAAACAAGTAATAAAGGTAAACTTGGGATATTACATTTTACAGTTCTAACCAATTTTAGTGAGATGCTCTGTAATTTAATAATAAATACACTCGATTGCCCCCACTGGTGTTCTTGCTCACTACATTCGGTGTCGCTGACAATCAGAAGAGAGGAAGGGTGCTGTTCTGTGGTCGCTGTTGAGAGCCTGGCGCTGAATTGCCAGTGGGGCGGTCTGATGCGGAGGGGTGACGTTAGGTGGAGTGTTCTGGCGGAGCGGCGTTGGCTTTGGCGGATGCTGTCGACGGAGAGGAGTGATGGGACGTGAGGATCCTTGGCGGAAATCGCATGTAGATGACTCAGCAGGCCTCTGAAGCGCAGGTGTTGAACGTCCCATGTGCCGGGAGGATGTCGAATGTTGTTGCCCCGGCAGGTCGACGGAGCTATGGAGGCCGATGTGCCGCAGACTCGACATTTTGACGGAGAGCAAAGCACAGACTGCAGAGAAGAAGAGAGTGGCACGGCTAGTAGAACCACCGCAAGAACGAATGCTTTAAAGGGGGACGAGTGTGGTGTGGGTTACTTATTTCCACACAAGTAGTATATAACGGTAGTCAGGCATAGAATGTGTTTCAGTAGAAGGCCGGTGAGAAAAGAACGGAAATGGAACGCATTTGGTATGAAAATATATGAACAATGGAATCTGAGACAATGGATTGGTGTTTGCGACAGGAACAGTTAAGTTTGAGATGATGGATTGATATTTTGCAAATGAACTATTTACTATATGGTTCTCAGATTTTAGTGAGATGTTCTGTAGTTTTGTTTTCAAACACATTCGATTGACCTCACTGATGTTCTGTTCACTTTATTTTACTTATTTAAAACCTCAATCACTAATTGTATTAATTAGTCCTATACAATTGAATAAATAATAAGATATTTGTTGCTTAACCAGATTACAGTCTATTGTAGTAACTTGAGTTTCTTTCATCCTTATTTACTCTTTATGATTCAGGGTACAATATTCTTTCCATTACCTGATGGTACAGGATTATTATATAATTTATGTGGAACATCTGATGCACCAAAATCAATGATGCGAATAAATCGTGAAATTGAATGTAGAAAATTACATACAGAAATTGTACAAATACCAAATTGGTTAAATATATCACAGAGATTTCGTGTTTCAAGAGAAATTCTTCGACCGGATAAATTAGATCCAAGTACAACTATTCAAGGATTAAATTATTTAGATGTACCAGCTGATTCAAGTAAAGAGTATAAATTGAGTATATTTACTTATCGAGAAGGTTTTACATTGATTAAAGTAAGAATTATATCTAGTTAGATTTTATTCAGTAGTATATATTTAGTGTATAAAGTGATTATCAATAAAAAATTACCTTATTAAGGTTCTCTTTGTGACGGCCATAGCTTAACGAAGAATATCTCATGTTAATATTTAAACACGCACTATGTTAATCCACTTTCACCTTGATATAGCTTGTTTTTATTAGAATTCTCTATTCTGAATGACCTTAATTATTGTTACTCCTGTACTAACTACAATTGATTGAAGTTAGACATTAAAACCGTTGGATGCCGGCTCAGCGGTCTAGAGGTAAAGCGTTCGTGTGCACGGGACCGACGAGTCCTGGGTTCGAGTCCCATGGGCGGAATCGTGGACGCATACCGCTGAGGAGTTCTATACTAAAATGAAACGGCCGTCCAGTGCTTCCAGGTTTACCATGGTGATCTAGCTTCAATTGACTTATGAATTCAACTACTAAATAACTACAATTTGTTTCGAATCAAGTTGTAAAAAAAGACGAAATTTCATAGACTCTTGCTAAACAATTTATAGATGATAACTGTAGAATAAATGGATTCTGCATTTCCCCTTGATCTTTATTTACATTATGATGAGTATATCGTAAAATGACTTCATATTAATGTTAGTCAGTCAGTCAGTCAGCAACAACGTAGAACTTCATACGTACGTACATCAGTTCGACTTGCCATACTACATTAGCACACAGATACGATTGTCGATTCAAATCCCATAGTGGTAGAGGTAGTAAGAGTATAAGCAGTAATCAGAAAAATTAGGGTTTGAAGATGTTATTTAAGGAGTATAATCTTTAATCACCATTAATTTTAGTTCATTCTGCTTTAAAAAATTATGCTAGAACATTTGTATTTCTTTTTAATTATATGGATTCTATTGTATCTATGCTATGAGTGTAATGGATGAGTTCTGTTTGCTAGAATAAAATTGACTAACTAATTGAAGGATTTCTAATGTCTGTCCAGAGAATCTTCATCATAACTTAAAAATATGTTTTTATCAATTCTGGTAATATTCTTCACTGTACTACATAACAACAGATTATTTTCTGGAACAAATGAATAAAGAACAAGGAATATAGTTCATGCTTGTCAAAACTGTTTAGAAGGAGAATCTCATTAAATTTCATTTCACTCTATTTTCAGAACTTTTTAACTATGTCGGGATTATGTAACTCATTGTTTGCCTCATGAATCTGTACATATTTTTTTATCGTCATTTACTTCAAGTGAAATAGGAGTTCCATGATTACTTTGTGTATTATGCTTTCAACGTCAAGAATTTTTGCTGACAAAGACTAATCTAAATTCAGTAATATAATATTAAAGAAATAATACTTCATTATAAGCAAAAATGGATAGTGATTAGCAGTGGTTATCAGAACTCAGATGCTAAGTGGATAACGTGATGGCATTTGAAGCGAGCGGTGCTGGGTTCGAGTCCCAGAGTGAACATCAACTCGGGAATGCAAATACATCCAGCTGACGAGCCCCAAATAGGGCGAAACACGTGTCCTGGATTCCACTGCTAATCACTATCCATCTTTGCTTATAATGCTTGTGAATTAAGGCAATATCGAGGCAATGCGCACAGTATATACATATGCCAATATGAGACTAATCAATTGCAGTCCTAAACATTAATGAGAAGATTCAAGTAAGCAATACCAAGTAAATTTGAATAATACTTCAGCATAAAAAACTGTAATTAGTTCTCCCTATTAAAAATATGAAAAAGACCCTAAATTGTCCTAGTGTTAAATGAATTCTGCACTTTCATCTTTAACTACTTATATATTTTGTAGTGAGATTTATATAGTTTAAACATAGTCCATTATTGATAAACTAACTTAACCGTTGAACATTATAAGCCGGTCAATGGTTTTCAATAGTACTTTTGCTGATGGTAATCTACAATGAATGACACTTGCAACTTGAAACAATTTCCACATAACCTCTCCAAAAAAAAATAACGAATAAATTTATCAGCTAACTATTGTAATTATCGATACTACTAGTATGTAATGTATGCTTAAATTATTAAAGATGCTTATTGAATAACAGTGAAAACTAGAATTGAAAGTTTTCAATTGAATATACCGAAATTCTAGTCTTGATGTTCGTACTGATCCCACTACGTTGAATAAACAATGCTTCATCTATTAAAGTACTGAATTCATATAATCACTATCATATTCAACGATGAATAATTTTATTTATAATAATGAATTGTAGTCACTATCCAACTTTCCTAAGTACCTTATGATTAATTAACTGTATTTTACATTATTTTTAATTTTTAAAATTCAGGTTACATTTACAAATGAAACAACTGGTGAATATCAATATTTTGAAGTGAATTTTAAATCTATCAGAAATAAAAGTTTAGATGTGATTAAAATGCAAACACCTATTCGTAAACCTATTACATATACACTCATATTAGAAAATCCTTTATCAATACCAGTGAATTTTCAAATGAGTACAAATATCTCGGAAGTTCAATGTCCAAATCAATTACAAATACCTGCTCATTGTGAAGTAAGTAGTAGTATAGTGAACAGAACACAAGTGGGGATAATCGAATGTATTTAATACAAAATTAAAGGACTTGTTAATAAAATCTAACAATCAAATAGTAAATACTTAATTTGTAAAATGTTCATCGATTGTCTCAAAATGACTCAGACTTTATTGTTCTTGCATTTTCATACAAATTGCATTATGTTTCCATTCTTTACTGTTTGATCCTCTTGTCTCTCTGCTGCCAGACCTTCTGTTCACAACTAACATCATATACTACTTATGTCAATATAAGTGGCACACGCCACAGTAGTAGTAAGGTTTTAGTTATATGTTTACTATTGCTCATTTTAACTATTGGTTATCTTGTTTAAATGTGATGAATACTTCAATTTTGTAATTCCACAACAGTTAACAGATATTTAATTGAATGATAGACTCACTATATTATGAATAGATTGAAGTCTAAAATCTGAACTGTTGAATTTTAACTCACTGACTGGAAATGCCATGAAAATTGGAGATTCTAGGTTCATAATAATATTGAAGACAAGGTGGATAAATCTCAGAAATAAAACAAAACAGGTTATTCTTCGAATTTCACGAACAGGATCCTGGATGCTCACTACTGAGGAGCCTCACAATAGGACGAAACGGCCGTTCAGTACTTTCAGGTTTATCCAACTTCATTATCTATCATTATCATTATTATATAGATATTTTTTTACCTATATAGTATACTTCATAAAATGACTTATTATCTATTCTATTTTTTCTTAGGGTAAAGTAACACTTGAATATTTACCAATTAAAATTGGTCAAAATAATGGAAAATTTGAAGCTAATTGTAATGAATTAGGTTCATTTATTTATGAATTAAATTTACAAGCTACACCAGCTAGTTTTGAATCGACAATACATTTTCGTACAACCATAGGACAACGACATTGTCAAATTGTAAAATTTACAAATTTATCAAAAAATAAAAATGAATTTATTACTAATGTAAGTTTATTATTTTTCTAATATTTGAAAAAAGATATCTATACTTTTTGTTAAGTCTTGATAATTTGAACTCTATATTTGGTTCCTAAGCTATTCTTCTCGTAACCCCTCAAGCTAGAACTATACAGCAATTTGAACACGAGAGAAAATGCGCAAAATATGCGAGAAGCACTTAACTTTGAAAGTTTGTTTTACTACAGAAAATATAGGGTTTTTATAGCAGTTTAGATGTCCTTGGGTTTTACCGAAAATTCTGGAATACTACTGAACATAGGAGCAGTGTAGTGATCAGCCAATCAGAAACTCCACATGTGACTTTCTTGATGTTTCTGCTTAAAGTTCTAGTGAAAGCTGATTGGAAAAAAATGCTTCTTAGTGTTTCTTGAGCCTTTCTTGGCTTTTGCGAGTTTTCTGGATCACCTCAACACTTTTGTACTACATTTTTGATTAAACAGTTTTGGGCATGTGAGATTCCCAGAAATCACTTGATAAATACCTTATTTTGTAATTTTATTTTGAAATTTTGAATTTCTTGCTTTCGTGTCAAAGGCGCCCATTTCCACCTTCATTTTGTATTTCCCACTTGGGTGAATCTTAAGCGATATTAGTTCGTTGCATCTTTTAGTATGCTATTTTGTAACGCTTCCCAATGACAATTTTATGCTGTATATATACGTTTGATTTGTGCCCATTATCATTGCTTGTGCTTTTGGCTGTTTGTGGAATATATTTCCCTGTTTCGAACATGAACTTCACTCCACAGTTAGTGGGGCTGGGACGCACCAGAATAGCTAGCTTATTGATCTTTGGTCACAGAGTCTTTGTTCCGTTCTCAAACTATGTGAACTCGTGATCACTTCAAACATAGCAAACAGAGACTACCATAACTTACGCCTGTTACTCCCAATGAAGCATAGGCTACCGACCAACATTCTATCCAATTGTTCATCCACAATATCGTGGGTTGGTTGAACTTAGACACTAACACAGTTGGATGCCGTCTCAGTGGTCTAGAGGTTAAGCGTTCGCATGCGAGATCCAACGTCCTGGGTTCAAGTTCCACATCATGGATCGTGGATGCGCACTTCTCACCAGTCCCATAATTGGACGAAACGGTCGTCCAGTGATTCCAGGCTTTCGATTGTAGTGTGGTGTCGAGTCGCGGTTGACTATGATCACCACTACAGGAAGACTACGTGCCAGTTAACCGATAAGATCCCCCGTAAGCCAAATATCAGAAGGCAGTTGATGGCTGTAGTCGAGATGTATTTGTTGGCGATCTCGTGGTATCGAAAGAATACCGAGATCATGCCAGGTTACAAGTGTGGTTACGGAGCGTAACCGAATTCGTGCAAGGTCACAACCAAAGGAAGAATATATGTGTTTTGGTAAAGTTAAACAAACAAGTACAGTAAAACAATCCCTGGTACAATTGTTTATAATAATAATTGTTTCCATTACACCAATCGCGTTCTCTTAATAAAAGCAAGTCACTACACGATCGTGATCTAACATTTATCCATTCATGATATTAATCCAAACTCAACAATCTTCACAACCCTATACTGATAGTTACTTTCTTGCATATGAATATGGACCAAAATTTATTACTGATAGGTACACCAAATTATGTTTAATGATAATTCAAACTTTTAATTCCAATAATTCTCGAATTCATAGTTGATCAAAGAAATAATAATGATAAAAGTGTAGATAAATATGATAATCAAAATATGTTTGAATATGATTAAATGATGGTTGTAATATAAAATATTTGTATAATTTTAAACATTTGAAGAAATTGTTAACAAAGGGTTAATAATACAAGAGGTTTGTAGAGATTGTTCACTTTGTAGTTTACACCATGACTTGGTGATAGTTAGATAACCGTTGAATATTAGGAAATATTTGACAGTTATCGTACTCCTCATCAGTTCACATCTCGCTAAGGAACTGAACGGATGATTTTTAAGTCTTGGGGCGAGCGCTTAATCTTCAGATCATTGAGCTGGCATTCAGTAGTGTACATGTTTAACTTCAATCGACTAGCTATATTGAGGATTCATCATTTATTCTTGGACACATATATAAAGTTAATCTTCTTATGTAAATACTCAATAGTCTTAGGAATATATCTCTGTTAATTTGACATCATGACTTAAGGGGGTCTATCTGACATTCAATTCAGTTAATGTTTTTTTTTAAATTCATGATCTTATGAAAAATAAGGTGATTACCAGACTACTAAATTAGTTGTATGATCACGTATTATGAAGTTTAGTATTAGTATTTTTATGGTTAACTTAACTATACCCCCAATATGTCATTCATAAATAATTTAGAAAAAAGAAATTATTTTCAGACTTTTTGTTAATTGAGCGACATACAATGGTTTATGAAAATTCAAATTTAGATTGATCATTTCATAATATTCACAAGATTTATTCAAGAATTCTGAGAGGTTTATACTTGAATGTATATTATATTGCATAAACTTTCTCTATATACAATCTACAATTTAAGTTGGGTTTAAAAAACAAACAGGCTGACGTTTTTCTGACATTTCATAACTCAGTGTAAGTCACTTATCAAGTCAAACCTTGGTAATAATACCTACAAACAAGTTGATAGTTCACTTTCTTTTTACTATATCCTTGGTTTGATTATATAATATATATATATATATATATATATATATATATATATATATATATATATATATATATTCACTGATTATTATAAAATATGTTAGTGCTTAGAATTCTTGATTGTCATTCATATTATGTGCCTTAAAATCTAGCTCTTCGGATAATGACACTTACATTTTAGTGGTACCTAACTTATATCAATCTTTGAAGAAGATATTCAATGAAAGACAATTTGTCTATAAACTTTTAACTTATTTTACATATATATATATATATATATATATATATATATATATATATATATATATATATATATATATATATATATATGGTTTTACAGCTGTGAGAATGAACTCATTGTAAAGGATTCCTAGGTTCAGTTACCTGTTTTTTTTTAATCATTTAAACTAAGTTAAATTTTTCCTTCGACAGCTATGTGATACATTTAATTACAATTACAGAAAAAACAACAAATTCAAACGGTTTTATCAGAAAATAACACTTAAATTTTATATGTTTACAGGTTGCTAATTCTGATTATCATTGTGAAAAACAAATAATTGTAGCACCGGGGGTTGAAGCATCATTGGAAGTTGTATATGAACCAACTAGTGTGGGTAACTCACAGGCTACTTTAACAATTACAAGTTCACAAGCTGGTGAATACAGTTTTCTACTTAAAGGTACTGCTCTACTACCACAACCACAAGGTCCAATAATCATAAAAGCTGGTGAAACAAAACATATCATCTTCCGAAATGTTTTCCCTACACCCATACTTTATTCATTTCAGGTAAACTGACAATTTTATTTAGATTTACACTCATGTGTGTTACTGAATAAACACTTGTCTATTTCGTTCTTATTAGAAATTTTTGATCATAAGCACATTCCTATCAAGTAGTGTAGAGCTAAAGATGTTATACTGTTTACTTTTCAGTGCTGATAAGATTTTATCGATCAATTTTGTACGTGAAAAGAATTGGTAAAATGTAAAAATCACGAACCTAGGGTTTCTCAGTGGTAGCCATCAAATACCAAACGACAATATATGTGGTACCATTGTTTCTAAAACAATAAAAGCGATGAAGGACTTAGTATGTAAGCATATGTTTGTAGTCAACTTAAACCAAGTTTCATCGTTTTTCATCATTGTTTCGAAAGCTTATATGCAATATTTTATACTTGTGTAATTTGAATTAGACTGTCATTTATTTCATGTTTCTTTTTTTCCTAGGTTGACAATACTTTATTCAATCTACCGAAACAAAGTGAAGTTATTAGACCTGGTAAAGAATTTAGAATACCTGTTGGTCTTGACGGTAATATCACTAAATCTCCTGTAACGGGTAAACTAGTTGTGACAGCAGTCCGTGCACAGTCAAGTGCACGCACAATCCGTAAAGGACCATCAAATGTAATTAGTGATACCACTTCTCTATCATCATCATCGTCTTCATCATCACCACAACAGCAACAGTCAAGCTTCATTGATTCTACAATTACAGAAAAAGGCGAAGGATTTCAATGGGTTTATTATTTACGCGGTGTTACAGCATAAAGATGAACAAATATATAGTCGGCAATTGATAAGTTTTCTATAAAAGGAAGCCAGAGAATTTATTAAATAGTAAACTCAAATGAAATACAAATTTTATATTATTGGCCTCATTTTTCTGACATCACTTTAAAGCTTATATGTCCCTTGAAAAGAACTAAAGATGACCTTTGAAAACTTAATCTCACTCTGTTCATGCTTCTTCCTTATGTTTATTAATGTGATAAATTGAGGTCACAAGTTAGTCATTAATGTAATGCTACGTTAGACTTTTAAGAGGTTCTCCTCTAGTCTGAAAGTATAATGTGTTAAGAGAGTATAGAGAGCAGCGTGTATCATAATCTCAGACATAAAAGTACACCGATGACTCAGTAAGCACAAACAATCCATTGACATTTAAAAAAGAGGGCAGCAGGCGGCAACTACCGGTAACCCAAGAGTAACCTTATGACCATCTGATAAACTTAATTAGAAGATGATTGCGTAACTTTTCTTATGCATTTGAATTGCAGATATTCAGAAAAATATTTTTCAGTTTGATGCAATAACGCAAAAATTCCTCTCATCAGCGTTCAGTGTTCATGTATGAAACATTAAAAGCATTCTGAAACTATTATAATTGAGCATTGGATCCAGGGTTCCATCAAATAAAATAGCAGGATATACTACGAAACTTCCAAGGACTGGTGAAAATCTCATTTGAGACTGTAATCCTATAGGGTTGTAACTTTCTTGTCCTGTGCGAAGATATCTAAGATTTCGCAATACGCTACCTACAAAACATCAGATGGTAACACATAACTGTCGATCAGGAACCAGTCGGTTGTTAGGCGTTCTGTAGCTACCGAAGATGCTGAGAATCCCTCTGATTTCAGACGGAACAGTCGTGAGAGTGCCTACAGCTAGTAGTGGGTCCAACCTTACAAGTTTGTGCTACTAATGTTTGAAGGTTATCCATAGAAATCCAGGGCATTAGCACACCTGTGACGCCTTAGTTAGGCCCGATTATTACATAGCAGTATTGTGTTAAACTAACCATGCATGAAAGTAGGGTCTGTGCTCTGATAATAATTTATTTTAAGTAGTGACACGTTATATGAGGCACGACAATCTACAGGCAAGATCAAATTGTTGCGAAGGCTTTACTGTTTATTACGTTAACTCGTCCACCTATTTACTTTGTCGTGTTATGACGAAAGTTTTCTTACAGAAGCAGGATAACAAAATGTTAGTGCATAAATGTGTTACGTATGCAGAGGAATATACCAATAATTGTCGTGTTAAGTCGAATGGTGTCCTTGGACGTTAAATGGACATTTCCTATTGGTCGATATTTATTTCACTTGTTACATATTGTGTAAATGTTGTTTACTATTTTTATGGTACGATGTGGTCTTTTTGGTTGGTATATAAATAGAGTATGTTTGAAATATAACGATTCATATCTCAGAGGCTAAGACTTGCGTTCTGGACTCAACTGGCTCGGTTAGACAGCGAAGCAGGGCCAATCGGGACTCTAGGTCGTCCGTACGTGTTTTACTTGTCCACTGCAATCGATCAATAAAACGCTGCTTATCAAAACCTGAAGTCCACACGTTAAAACAAAATGGATGATCATTTACTTATTTACTTACGCCTGCTACTCCTCGCGAAGGAACATAGGCACCTCACCAGCATTCTCCATCTAACCCTGTCCTGGGCAAACCTTTCTAATCATTATTCATCCTTCACATATTTGCTTCTATTTCCCGATGTAATAACTCCGCCTGTAGCTCTAACAGGGTTACTGCCGGTCCCAAGCCCGGATAAAGGAGGAGGGTTGGGCATGGGGTTAGCGTCCCCATCCCGTAGAAAACTAACTCGCTAAAAAAACGCTTACCAGAAAAAATAATCCAAACCATTTAAACTCTGCCCTGGGAGTTAGAAGGTCTTCAGTTAGAAGAATTATGACGCTTCATGGTGAAAGCCGAGTTCCTTCGGAAGCCACGAGGCCGATGCCCCTTCTAACAACCAGAGCAAAAATTTTTATAGGTACATGGAACGTTCGAACAATGTGGGAAACCGGGAAGACCAGTCAAATAGCAATGGAAATGAGGAGATACAACTTAGCAGTACTGGGAATCAGCGAAACCCACTGGACCCAAGCTGGACAGAAAAGGCTAGCTACGGGAGAGATGCTGCTATACTCCGGTCACGAAGAGGAAAATGCTCCACACACTCAGGGAGTCGCTCTTATGCTGTCCAAAGTAGCACGAAATGCACTTGTAGGATGGGAGTCTCACGGATCCAGAATCATCAAAGCATCATTCAAAACAAAGAAGGAGGGGATCTTAATGAATATTATCCAATGTTATGCACCCACCAATGATAGCAACGACGACATTAAAGATCAGTTCTACGAGCGGCTGCAGTCAATCATTGAGAAATGCCGAAGAAAGGACCTAACTATTCTGATGGGAGATCTAAATGCCAAAGTCGGAATAGACAACACTGGATATGAAGATATTATGGGACGACATGGACTGGGAGAAAGAAACGAAAATGGAGAAAGATTTGCAAATTTGTGTGCATTCAACAAATTGGTCATAGGAGGCACAATATTTCCACACAAGCGTATACACAAGGCTACATGGATCTCACCGGACCACACTACAGAGAACCAAATAGATCATATTTGCATCAACAAAAAATTCCGAAGGACAATGGAAGATGTGAGAACCAGGAGAGGTGCTGACGTAGCTTCAGATCACCACCTAGTTGTAGCCAATTTAAAACTGAAGCTAAAAAAGAACTGGACAAGTGGACAAACAGCACTACAAAGGTTCAATACAGCCTTCCTTCGAGATACTGACAAACTCAATGAATTCAAGATAGCTCTCAACAACAGGTTCCAAGCCTTACAAGATCTACTGAAAGAAGAAGAAACTAGTATGGAGGACAACTGGAAAGGCATCAAGGAAGCATTAACTTCAACGTGTCAAGAGGTTCTGGGCCTAAAGAAACACCATCATAAGGAATGGATCTCTATAGAAACACTGGACAAGATCAAAGAAAGGAAGAACAAGAAGGCAGCAATTAACAACAGCCGAACACGAGCAGAGAAAGTCCAAGCACAAGCTGAATACATAGAAGCAAACAAACAAGTGAAGAGGAGCATTAGAGCCGACAAGAAGAAATACGTGGAAGAACTAGCAACGACGGCAGAAAAAGCTGCTAGAGAAGGAAATATGAAACAGCTTCACGATACAACGAAGAAACTAGCAGGGAAATACAGTAAACCAGAGAGGCCGGTCAAAGACAAAGAAGGCAAGCCAATCACCGAAATTCAACAACAGCGTAACAGATGGGTGGAATACTTCGAGGAACTCCTGAATAGGCCGGCTCCAATGAATCCACCGGACATCGAAGCAGCACACATAGATCTTCCTATAGATGTCAACCCACCAACGACGGAAGAAATTAGAATGGCCGTCAGACAAATCAAGAACGGGAAAGCAGCAGGACCCGACAACATACCAGCTGAAGCACTGAAATCAGACATCGAAGCAACCACAAGCATGCTTTACCTTCTATTCAAAAAGATTTGGGAGGAGGAACAAGTGCCGATGGACTGGAAAGAAGGACACCTCGTCAAGATTCCAAAGAAAGGAGATCTGAGCAAATGTGAAAACTACAGAGGCATTACACTACTGTCAATACCAGGGAAAGTCTTCAACAGAGTGTTGCTGAACCGGATGAAGGATGCAGTAGACGCCCAACTTCGAGATCAACAAGCTGGATTCCGTAAGGATCGGTCGTGCACAGACCAAATTGCAACACTACGGATCATCGTCGAACAATCAGTTGAGTGGAACTCATCACTATACATCAACTTCATTGATTATGAAAAGGCATTCGACAGTGTAGATAGGAGGACATTATGGAAACTTCTTCGACACTACGGAGTTCCTGAGAAGATTGTCAACATTATCCGGAACTCATACGACGGACTACAGTGCAAAGTAGTGCATGGAGGACAGCTGACAGATGCATTCCAAGTAAGGACTGGAGTCAGACAAGGCTGTTTACTCTCTCCCTTCCTCTTTCTTCTGGTGGTCGACTGGATTATGAAGACCTCGACATCTGAAGGAAAACACGGAATACAATGGACAGCTCAGAATCAATTAGACGATTTGGACTTCGCAGACGACCTAGCCCTCCTATCACGTACACACGAACAGATGCAGATGAAGACAGCCAGTGTAGCAGCAGTCTCTGCATCAGTAGGCCTCAGCATACACAAAGGGAAAACCAAGGTCCTCAAATTCAAAGCGGAGAACAGCAATCCAATCACTCTTGATGGCGAAACTCTGGAAGATGTAGAGTCCTTCACATACCTAGGAAGCATCATCGATGAACAAGGAGGTTCAGATGCAGACGTAAAGGCGAGGATCGGCAAAGCAAGGGTCGCATTCCTACAATTGAAGAACATATGGAACTCAAAACAACTTTCAACCAATATCAAAGTGAGAATCTTCAATACGAACGTCAAGGCAGTTCTACTGTATGGAGCTGAAACTTGGAGAACTACAACAACCACAATCAAGAAAGTACAAGTATTTATAAATAGCTGTCTACGCAAGATACTCAACATCCATTGGCCGGATACCATCAGCAATAGCCTTCTGTGGGAGAGAACAAACCAACTTCCAGCTGAAGAAGAAATTAGGAAAAGACGATGGAAATGGATAGGACATACATTACGCAAATCGTCAAACTGCATCACGAGGCAAGCCCTAACTTGGAATCCTGAAGGGAAGCGAAAAAGAGGAAGGCCAAAGAACACATTGCGTCGGAAATAGAAGCAGATATGAAAAGGATGAATTACAACTGGACGGAGCTGGAAAGGATTGCCCAGGACAGGGTTGGATGGAGAATGCTGGTGAGTGGCCTATGCTCCTTCACGAGGAGTAACAGGCGTAAGTAAAAGTAAAGTAAAATCCCGATGTAATGTGTTCTTTGGCCTTACTCTTTTCCGCTTCCTTTCAGGATTCCAAGTTTAAGGCTTGTCTCGTGATGCAGTCTGATGATTTGCGTAATGTATGTCTTATCCATTTCCATCGTTTTTTCCTAATTTACTCCTAAGATGGAAGCTGGTTTGTTCTCTTCCACAAAAGGCTGTTGCTCATGGTATCCGGCCAATGGATGTTGAGTATCTTGCGTAGACAACCATTTATAAATACTTGTACCTTCTTGATGGTGGTT